AACAGCGAACCCGTATACGGACCGAACTACCGACACCTTTCATCGGCGCTGTGGAACCACTGCGCGTTGAGTTTGACGACCGGAGGAGTGCCGTTTGCACAACATGTTTAGGATTGGGAAAAAACACAAAAAACAACGAAGAATGCATCGGAAACAATTATGTTAACGAATAATTGACCCACACAATTTGAGTAGACTTCATCGTCGTCACAAACCCCTACAAAAAGGAAGAATATTATTCAGGTATACTAAAAAGACCCTAATGTGTTAAAATTCATCTCACAATACAATTTACGAAAAAATCGATAAACAGGAACATCTTTCAGACAAAAAAAAATTGATGAGAAAACTGATTCTTCTCAGTCTTTGAACCACTTCTAACATAAATATTAGTCTAAACAATCATACATTACTAGGAAAATTTACAGAATTAACAAGTAATATCATAAGTATACAAGATGATTTATAATTTCTGTATAACCATTAGAAAAATGACGGCTTCATCGAAGCGAATGTAATACATGTTGATATGTATGATTATGAATACATTGTTACAATTCCGATACATGATACTATTTTATAAGCAAATTTATTTATCTTCAGTATATTCGATACATTTTTAATCATATTATCGAGCTTTTGATACGTGAAGTGGTACTGGAGTGGCGCACATGTTCTGATACTAAGCCGTGAAAGTGTCCCGTGCGAGAAATATTTGATGTCCATTTATTTTATTCAAAGTGAAATATCTTCTCTCTATTAATATGATTACTGACTATTATTCATTCTGGAATCACAATTTTAATGACAACACAACATTTTTTTCTTCCAATACTGCATGGTTCACTCAGTAGACTAAAGAGTATTTAGTATGTAACGTGGAATTGCTCTGAAGTATTTTTGTTCATTTCTGTATTCAGTGGCGTAGCTCCAAATGCAGCAGCACGAGGGACACAAGCCCTGTCCCCAATCGAGAAAGAAAAGGCGAGATGAGAAACAAAGAAAAAGGACGAGAAAAGAAAATGCTTCAACCTTCTCTCGCACCCCCTTATCAGTAATATTGTAAATTCATATCTTTTCCCGAGTAACATATATAAGTGCACCCCCCCCCCCATCTTTTTTAAAATTCCTGTGCCCCTCAATGGGTGAATCCAAACTGCATCACTGCCTGGCAGGCTGCCTGCATGGATTCATCCCCCCCCCCCCCCCCAACTCAGTTTTTTTTGGGGTACGCGTATGCATGTTCCCTCCTTTTGAGAACACCCTTTAAGTCCGGTGTGTAAAGTCAATACGGGCCGGACTTTAGTGTATGAAATGAAAAGTGACCTTTACCGGACATTTTGGGAACACACATGCGGTCCCTTCGATCCCGGAGTGGGGGGGGGGGGGGGGGGGGGGGGGGTTCCTTTCAGAATGATAAGCCTATTCAGAGATGGCGCATGTGAAATGACCCCAAATATCCACAGATCTCTTAGACATGGATACTTGTCGTTTTTTGCATTTTACAACACCATGGTGACGGAGGAGCTTCTGATTAAATACCTTTTCTTTGCCCTCTTGAAAAAAAAGACTTTTACCTGTGTATCATGGAATATATTCGTCACGATGTGTTTTACATTTTTGTACTGCTTATATGCGCAGATCTTTACTCCGGAGTGGCTTATTGATATACAAACTGTATCGGTCCGTTGCACACTAAGATTTATTTTGCTGACGTAAACCAGAGTGTGTCAGCGACTTGCGCGGTGTATAACGCCTCGAACGAGAGCAACGCAAATGAACAGAGCAACTGCATTGAATCATTGGCTTTTAATTAGTGTAAATAATAACGCAATAAAAACGACGCCTCATTTGCATTCGAAAGCATGTAGGGGAATTAGGCCCAATGGAGGGAGAGTTGGGAGAGTGGATAGTGCACCTCTTTCTATTTTTTTCTCGATCTTCTTCAAAGGTCTTCAGTGGCAAATTAAGCCGCAGCACTTCTCTCTATGGGAGATGACATACTGATCAAAGAATGATTTTCTTATAACTCTTCAAATCAGGTCTTGAATTGTTCATTCCTTCTCCTTGTAAGAAAAAAATTTATATCGATGACCTTTCATTGTAAAAAAAAATTAGATACAAAAATCAGACAAGTACAGATTTATACAAATGAACAGCTAAAATCGTTTATACCCAAAACCCTTATATACATCACTACCCTTTTTTTTACCTCTTGGGCATCTCCCAGACGGTATTCCACGGGGTCAAACCATCAATGGTCAAACACGCACGTGAACCGGTAAACCCAATTAATCACACAAATTCACCACATAATCGTCGATTCAAAAGTAGTAATCGCAGAAAATCCATCACATACTCTTTAAATCCAAACTGTCAATTTTAAGTGTTTATTGTCGATTTTTTTTTTTTTGTATTGATTTTGTTGATTGATTGATTTTTTTTTTTTTTTTTTTTTTTTGGGGGGGGGGGGGGGGTTCCATCCTTGTTCTCCGATTGCGAATTCAAAATTTTAAAGACACAGAGACATGCAGACACCACTGCCTATTCTTTTTGATTATTCCAATTATCATGTGGAAATTTAAGCATACATAACGTGTTGCCCAGCCGACCAAATAAAAGGGGTGCCGAATGAACCCACTAGAAATCGTTGGAATTACCCTTAAAAGACCTTTTGGACCACCATAGTGTGCCAAGGTTATTTTGCAATTCAACTGAAGAAGATGGATACATGAAGACACACATGAAGACACACTACGAGTACATTTTCAAAGTCATCTCTAATAACTAAAGTCTTTCTTTGCTTGAAAATTGGCATAATGTGACAATTGAAATGACAAAATGACTAAAACTCTTGTTTTGTTACATCAGTATTTTATTGCTTCTCATGAAAGCAGAACGTTTTCTAAGAATGGAGATCAGAAAACATGATCACAAGGCACGTATTTCAAATACAATATAGAAGTCGATAAGAAAAAAGAAATAAGTTTACCTTATTTAACCTTTACATTTTATACAAGATAATCTAAAGGCTATCGTACACCTAATGACCTGCCAACATTTGGGTTTGAAAGAAATAACCATGGATTACATTTTAATATTCTTTAAAAGATAGAACTCAACATTTTCTGGGTATAGTAAGTCTTCCAGTCTGAGATAAGTCCTAATTGGCTGCAAGTCAGCTGACAGTCATGTGACTGAAGCCACACAGCCAATCAGGCCTTTCATCTAACCAAACACTAATCCATACTTCTTTCTTTTTACATCATTATCAAGAACATTCCAATTAGACACCCATTAGTAACGACTCGACTGTAAAGAGCCAGAGAGATGTTAACCTTCATACTTTAAGCATAGAGTTAACATCCTTCTGGCTCTGATACCTCCGTCACACCAACTCCAAACTGACTGATAATTGAAATAAGACTGGCCTTTCAGGGTTACATATATAGTTTTTTGTTTGGTCTATTGTAGGTCCGGTGTTGGTCTTATCGGTGTGACTGGGATATAGAAATACACTTTGAATTAAATCTTTAGCTCATTATTAAACAGAAATACCAAATTTAGGACAGAACTATTGAACAAACGGGCATGCATTGAAACACATAGGGTCAATAGGTTGGGCATTGGATCATCAAAGACAATTATCAGAATGACATGGTCCTCTTGATCTTTTGATTTATGAGTACAAGTAGGAAGAGGTAAAATAAGAGAGGTTTTTTTTTCTATTTGTATTGATTACAATGCTTATGGTAAATTTTCCTGTTAATTGATTTGTCCATTTAGCTACTCAATAGAGATAGTGGCATTCTTAAGAAGAACATAATTAACAATTATAATGATGTACTTGATAGAGCACCACGATTAAATCGCAAAATAATACAAAACAATTATCAATTCAATAGGTATGAGATGAAATTTCAGCCTTGTATTAACTAGAAATATTGTCACATCCTTGGTACAGAGTCAGAAAGGTGCTAACTAAACAATGTGTTTATGTGTATAAGAGTTAACAATCCTTCTGGCTCCAAACAGATTATATGTAACATTTTCAATCTTACCATGTCCAACAATAAAACAAATCTTTTATGCATCAAAAGGATGATAAATTCATGAAATGTAAGGAATCCTAACTCTATTTTCCTCATTACAGAGCTTAGGAAACAAGTTTCTTCATGTCCTCATATCATGTTTTCATCTAAAACAAGTCAAAATCACCAGTTATATCGTCATTAAATCATCCTAAATGCTTTTGAATACACAGAAAATCTAATTCAGGTTGGACCATATAAATTCTATGATTAGGAAGACATTGGATGTAAGATTGTACAAATACTAGAAAATGTTCACAATACATTACAAAAATAGAAAGGGAAGTGATCGTGAAATCCCTGAATTAAACTCATCCTCTGTTATCTATAGACGTATATAGATTCACTCAACGGGAGTCCATGCAAACACTGCTCTTTAAAAAATTTGTTGGAATTCGAACAAAGTCATTAAAAATTTGCTTGATAGGATTGATCTTGAACTGTATACAAAATTGGTCCAATTACATCCAATGTTGACTATATCACAATCAACAGACAGTATACCCCATGATAATTTCTAGCTAGAAAACAGTTTCCAGTGGGACCATATTTTCCTACCACCTACCAGATTAGAGCGGGAGTGATGCAATCTCTCTTTATTCTTCAGTCTTGTGAAACAGCAACTTGAATAGCCTCCCTTACTTTGCGCAATGTCAACAGTACACAGTAATCCACATGTTTACCAGGAAGTTGACTTGGAATTTATCTACATACATTGTATATTACATTATTGAGCATGTATTGTTGACCTTGTGTACTTCATAAAGACAATGAAAATATATACATTTCACCTGGACACTTAAAGAGTATCTTACACAAATATGTCCATTAATGCCAACAACCTCTTGTCATAGTGAGATAATGATAAACTTGTATTTTGACAATCTATAAATATGGTAACAACTAATAAGCTAGTTGAATTATGGAAGACAAGTTTTAGCTATCATTTAAATATACATTCTATATCTTTTGTGTAGCATATGAAAACTAATATGAAATGATAGAAAAAGAAAACTTAACATTAGGCTAAACTCTTTTTTTTCCTGTAAGACAAGATAACTAAAATACACTAAAAAAATAAAGTAAAATGTCTCTGAAGAAAGGCAATTTTGATTAAATTCACTTTAAAAGAAGGAGTGCGACAACACACTTTTTTTCTTGCGTGATAAAATGTCATTTGCGTAAACTCGGTCATAAGCACTTGAAAGACAGCTTTAATATTTGAAAATGGATTAACTTTTAAAAAGACAACAAACAAAAAACAAACAAAGTATCACTTTCTCAATCTATATTTTTATGTAGATGATATTTCTTCTAGGTTCCATATATTCTAATGTTCCTTGGAAAATAACAAATAAATGCTATGTATACTGCTGATATGTAAATTGCAAATTTTATTCTACCATTTTTAGCGTATTGGTGACTAATATATTGGGGAATAAAATAAAGTGCACCCTCCACCCTGAAGCCTTAACTTCTACATTTTTCTTTACTCTACATGCATTCCCCTAAATCAAACAATTCCTTTTTGTTAATTATTGAACCATATTCTAATAGCAAAGATATAATATATACCAGTATTGAGTCTTAACTGAATAAAGCATCATCAATTCTTTCAGGAATCAAGGATTGGCAGTGTTGTTGGCCATCTACCCAACTGTGAAAAGTTCAAATGATAAGACCTAGGCCCCATTTCACAAAACTTGTCATCAGTGACAAATGAGTTTTTGTTATAAGCTAGTGAAATCATTGCTTCTGATTGGTTATCAGCAGAATTGTCACTGATTTTTGTCATTTATCATTGAAAAAAAGCTTTGTGAAACAGGTTCCTGGTGTTCCTTCTGATGATTTTACAGGTTCACCTTCTCATTCTTCTTTGCTGTTTCATGTCTGGTAGAAGGAAGCGAGTATTACTTGTCCACTACATGTGTAAATCAATGTATGAGAAAAACGGTTGTCTACTTGATTAACGAGAAGATTTGAAGAAAAAAATAATTGTGTAGGCCTACATATCCTGTGTTGGATAAAAGATGCTTGTGTGAGTCATGATGAGAGTTGCCAATTTGCAATATGGAACAAACAAGGAGCTTCTAACTTTACTTTAATAGATTAAGTTCAGGTATTTATGTTAGATAATACAATACTATCCCTCTAAACTTCCCATAAAACACACAACCTTTCAAGTTTGATTATAAGTAGACAAGTTGACCAATGTATTCATTTTTATGCCAACCTCCACAACAATGGTCACTCCCGACAAACTAAAGAATCGCTCAACAAAGCAACATCAAATATACAAAACCTATATTCAGCTTGTTGAGTTACAACAACTCATGACAAAAGAGTGCAGTGATTAAATCACAAGACACTGAGGGGAAAAAAAACATCACAACTCTGAAAACATTTGTAAACTAGTCTACTGAATCGTATCTTTACTCTGACCCTATCATAGCTCAACCTTCTTTTTTGGTGTATCTAAATTTTCACTTTCTGGGGTTTCTTCCGATGTCTGTTCTGGTAGTTCAGTCTTCTGCATGTACGCTTCAAAATCCTCTGCCATTCTACCACCGGTGTACTTCTCTACGAACTGGCCGTTGCTGTATAGATTGAGGGTGGGGAACCCCTTAACCTCATATTGTTCACAAAGACCTGTAAAAAAAAAGGGAGATAAATGGTGTAAAGGGTAGAAAGAGAGAGAGAGAGAGAGAGAGTCATTACAGAGTTCACAGCATGTCATTAAAAACAAAATTCCTCCCTTTCCCCTGATTTTTCCCTGATGGGGTTTAAAAATTCCATAATTGTCTCCACCTAATTCTAGTTAGGAATGTCACTATGGCCATTCATAAAGTGGAAAAGCAGTTTGGACGCGAGACAAAAAAACTTTAAAGAGGCCGACTACTGTCTTTCTCGGCCTGAACTGAGTAATTTTTTTTTAATTCCCTGACTTTTCCCTAACTGGACAAAAAAAAAACACCCTCATTTTAGAGATTTCCCTTGATTTCCAGGATAGCTGGGGAACTTCATTCATTCAACATGGATTTCTCAAACGTTAAGTTGTACCTTTAGTAGAATTTCCTATTAATCTATCAAAATACAAACTCTGATTCCACTCTTTCACATTAAAGTTAATACAAAAAAACACAAGTAGGCCTGAGCTGCTTCGTTGCGTAAACCAAGCTACAGACCAGACAGTCCAAGTGCGAAATCATTTCCGCTCACCTCACGCACCGATAAATGTAGGACAACAGTATAGATTTTGCAATGACTGTAGTACATACCAAAAACTTGGCTCTAACAGGTCAGAAAGATGGATAAAATTGCACACTTTTCACACTAGGTTGATTTCATTCTCAAATATGTATAGCCATGTTTGCAGTCACAATCATTAATTTGCAATTGCAATCACCAACATGAACAGATGTCAACAACGTTTTAAATATGTACAAAGTCAATGTCAAATCTACACTGCAGTCCTGCAAGCATCAGATTGTTTTTTACCAGTTGGGCTCCAGTTTAAAAGAAAACTCTCATGATGTGGACTAAAATAAAAACAACAGTAGGATATCAACTCACCCTTTTCTACAGTGCAGTCGACAGCAGCAAGTTTCCTGCCTGGTGTATCCTTGAAGATCTCTGCCGCCTGCTGGAAGCTTGGCTTGGCCTTTTTACAGTGACCGCACCATGGAGCATAGAACATGGTCAGTACATGGGTGTTGTCCTGAATGAACTGACCAAAGGTCTGACCGGTCAGGTGGTTGACTGCGCTGGGAACGTCGCTCCAAGCTGGCTCAGGGGGTGGAGGTGGTGGCACACTGGCAGGGCTGTACAGATAAAGAGATAGACAAGAGATATAAATGATATAGAAATGATATGGCAAATAATCAGTATACTAGCAGGACCCGTGGAAACTCCACAGGATTTTTTTTTTTTTTGGGGGGGGGGGGGGGTTAAATAAATATGTGCTCAGGCGTAGATCCAGGATTTCTTAGGGATGGCCCAAATTTTAAATCATGCGAGCCAAATATTGGTACATAATGGTAACCACTAAAGCAGTGGCGTAAAGAGCAAAATAGTTTTTTTTTGGGGGGGGGGGGGAGAAGAAAAAAACGCATCACCACCACCCTAACATGCATGTCTGAAGAGCATAGGCAAAGTGATTTTCTATAAGCTTGATGCAGTAGTAGTAGTAGCTGTCTTTTGTGAAGAGACAATGACCGCCTTCACTTTTAAATAACATAATAATGAAGGCGGCTTGCAAAGATAGGTAAGTACAGGTAGCTCTTGCAAGTTATTAATGGCACTCTCTCGGGGAACTGGTGGCAATTTCACACCGGCGAGGACAAGCCAGGACGGGTATGAACCACTAGACCCTGCAGTGACTAGTCAAAGGATGTCGGAGTTCCGTATCGTCAATCGCCCTCGATGCTGTCACGGTGGCATGGTTTTCCGTTAGGGTTTTCTCCCTTAGCCTTGGATTCTAAAGAGAACCTGAACCAGTGGGCTGTGGCATACAACTATGCATGACAGGATGCCAAACTCCCTGAGGTTTTTTTTATACCCGCATGCAATTAAACAATTAACATTTATTAAAAGAATGAAGCAATTAAAATTACTCTTATAGAATTACTTGTTTGATGTATAACATATTAAACAGGGGAAATTGCACTTTCCTGCTCACCGTCACAAGCTCTTTTTGGCTTTTTCTTTTGTTAAAATGGGATTTACAAACAATAAATTTTACATTGGTTACTGTGCTTTAACCAGAGCTTGTTTTTAGTTTTCTAGAGCTTTTCTAGAGCTTTTTTTAGAGCTATGTAGCTAAGACCCTTATGCCCAGCAAGCAAGCAAGAACTTTAACAACTTAATTCTTTTTAATCATATTAAAAAGCCTTGGTAAAGAGAACCTGAACCAGAGGGCTGTGGCATACAACTATGCATGACATGGACGCCAAACTCCCTGAGGTTTTGTTATACCCACATACAATTACACAATAAACATCAATTAAAAGAATGAAGCAATTAAAATTACTCCTATAGAATTACTCTTGTTTGATGTATAACATATCAAACAGGGTAAAATGCACTATCCTGCTCAAACAGGCTCTTTTTGACTTCTTGTTTTGTTAAAATGGGATTTACAAACAATAACTTTTACATAGGTTACTGGTCTTTTTTCTTGTTTTCAGTTATCTAGAGCTATGTAGCTAAGACCCTTATGCCCAGCAACCAAGAACTATAAAAACTTAATTCTTTCCAACCATAATAAAAAGCTAATAATATACAATATACAATAATTGATTAATGAAAGTTGTAAGATAAAAGAGCTACCGGTAGATACAATACAAAAATACAGTGATTACACCACGTCAAGTCAATTCACTGCACAATATTTCTGAGAGCGATAGAGAGACTGGCAGCACCCCCGTAACTGTGCTATGTACCTAAGACCCTTATGTCCAGCAAGCAAGGTAAAGCAAGAACTATAAAAACTTAATTCTTTCTAACGATATTAAAAAGCTGATAATATACAATAATTGATTAATGAAAGTTGCAATATAAAAGAGCTACCGGTAGATACAAGATAAAAATACAGTGATTACACCAAGTCAAGTCAAGGCACAATATTTCTGCGAGCGATCAAGAGACTGGCAGCACCCCCGCAACTCTGGGGACATGACACAGTTCACACCGCATACACGTCCGTGATCGCAAATACATTTTTACATATGTGTGTACAGGGTTTCAGGTTTCTAATTTCAAATTCAGTCAATGGTATGCAAACATTTTCACTGATAATACCCACTTTTTATTACATTATACAATCAAAATTGAAATATAGTCAAATTAAAGGAGGTACTTACTTTGGCACAGATCACAACAAACGTAACAGATTTTTGTTGCGTGCAGAAAAAGACAAAAATTCAAATATATCAACGGCCACCTATTAAGCACGCAATATAATGATAAAGACTTAATATCTCACACATTATTAGTCACTGCTGTTTTAAATTTTGATTCCAACTAAGGTGAATTAACAAAGTGTATTTTTCATAATGTCTCTACTTCAACAACCACTTCAATAAATAGACACCACTGGAACTGGTACACCGTCCAATGAAAGAATAAACACATCATTACGTACTCTTTGATGAATTCAAGAAGTGCCTCTGCTGTTCTCGCTCCTGAATAGGTCATATCTTCTTTTCCATTTCTGCAATTATATGAAGAAGAAAAAAATCAATATCAGTACAAAAACATGAAATAATATAAATTCAATAATTGTAATAGAAAATAAAAATTGAGTAAAAAGTCATGTTGCTACTAAGCAGACTTTCTACCGGTGTGTTGGCTCAGTCAGTACGCCTCATAACAGGGAGGTCGTGGGTTCGAACACCGGCCGCGTCATACCAAAAGACGTTAAAAGACGGGAGTTGCTACTACCTTGTTTGGCGTTCAACAATAAGGGATAGAGCAACGTCGATCTGGCGCTGCTCAGTGGCTGCCGGACTCACGATCAATTGGGCAAAAAGAATTTCCATTTTCGGTTTACCTTAATAAAATTTGGAGTGGACTTTAAAAAGATTATTATTAGTATTATTATTAATAAAAAAAATCTTAGAACTATCAAGAGTAAAAAATTGTCCAGATTTTTGTGCCATGTATTCTATGGTAGACTAACCAGCAATAGACTCATGTAGCTTTAGCTTTATTTCTTCATAGTTTACGCATACAAGTTTAAAGTTTTAATGAAGAATATAAATCAAATATCCAAGCACTCTTTCAAAGGCACTACCAAGAGTGAAATTATGGATTCTCTTGAGTGACTGGCACAGGGGTATAATTTCCAAAGCTCTTTGGAAGCGCATAGAGATGTTATCATGCACTACACAAGAACTGAACTATTATTATTGTTATTACTATTTTCTTTGGGGCAGCACCCCTCAGTACTCTGCCAGTCACCTCAGAAAATTCATAATTTCAGCTGGAGCCTCTCATAATATGGTTATAATGCTCATGCAACACAAAAAGAAGTGTGATGATGTCTACCATACTTACTTGAAATATTTCACTATTGATGGTCAATATGGAACCAAGACATGTAAAGAACAAAGGAGAAAATAATGGATTATATCATTTGGTGACAAACAATGTTTAAAAAAATAAGACAGTGTAAACTAATCAAAAATGTGTAAAACAAGGTTGTAATTATCAATTGAGTATTACTATTGAAACTAACAGTTTCTTTCATGCCAAACCAAGATACCATAATATTTATCCTTGATTCAAAAGCACTGCAAACATCTTCCGATTACATCTGAATAACTGTCTGTCAAATAATCTTTAAACCCTTTAGACCCCCCCCCCCTGAATTCTATTGCTCCATCAACTGCATTCTAATAATTACATTCATACCTTATTCTGAAATTTTACTAATATGTTTAGCAATCTGATTATTAACCAACTTTACTGTTTTCTCATCAAAATTGTGAAAAATTGGCTTTGCCTTACATAAGGCCTAAAAATAAAACTTGATGTATTGCCCTTTGCGACCGACCCCAAAATCTGAAAATCTACGGTCGGCATTTTAAAAAAGTTTTTTTTTAAACCGTTTTTTATATTTTTTTTATATTAATGAATAAAAAAATATGTATTTTGTTTGTTTAAATGGGATATAAATTCATTAAATCAAATTATTCCAAAATTCTCACTCGTGCAAACCATGGATAATCATGAGGTGAAAAAGATATCAATGGAATGATGACGTTGAAACACATGTATTAAAGCATTAAAAACTGAGAAATATCAGCCAAACGAGGGCAGGAAAAAAAAATTTAAAAAAGAAGAAAAAAACAACAACATTCAAATCTAAAAAATATCGGCCAAAAGAGGACGACCAAAATTTTTTTTTTTTAAATATAAAAAATTCTGACCGACCGACCCATGTTTTGGCACCCAAAGGGCAATACAACAAGTTTGTATTTTAGGCCTAAGGTAGCTCAAACCAAGCTGACAAAAGTTGATGCTTTATACTCACGGGTTGGGAATCCTTTAACTTCAAAGGCTGATGCCGTCATTACAGCAACAGTAGCATCAACAGCTGCAAACCTTCCTGGTAGCTAATTAAAAAATAGAAATATGAGCTCTAATTAGTTGAGAATCTTAAATAGGTAGAAATTACACACAATTAATAAACTAACGAGAACGGTAAGTGCTATCTAGTCCATTCACACAATGTCCCCTAGCTTTTGTTATTCTCTTCAAACTGCTTGTTTCAGAGAGGAAGTATTGTGGAATTGTAATGGTCATCTCGGATGGGAAAGAAATGATACATTTTTGACTTTCTTTTACTATTATTTTTAATTACTTACAGCCCCTTAAAGTGTTGGGAGCCCCAGAAATTTAATGGCAAAATTTTACTAAATTGCATCATAATGTGAAAGAGGATTTCATATAAGACACATTTCTGCAAGCATTTTTTTTCTTAGAATGTGTTTGAAGTAGAATATTGATAAAAGAATACAAAATGTAGGTTTTCTGCATACAACAGAAAACCAAAGTTATGTACACTTTTCTCAATATTTGTCTTCAAAGACATTTTATTGGGGGAAATCTTTGCAGAAGTGTGTCTTAAAGCCTATCTGCACCAGTTTGGCAAGGAGCAATTAGACCTCCCTGCATGGTCACTGACATGTGGTTATCTCATCAAATCGGCTCTCAATGAACATAAGAAAAAGGGGACCATGGGGGACCAACGTTCACAGATTAGGCATTGTTTGCTATATAGAGGGCGCAAGTAGCTATAAGTAGTGCAGCGGGGCTTTAAATTACATCCTCTTTCACATTATAATACAATTAAAGTAAAATTTTGCCATCAAATTTTTGGCAAATTTGGGGCTCCCAACACTTTAGAGGGGCTTTAAATAATATAGAAAGCAAATTTTCTACAGTCTCCTACACACTGTAACATTTAGAAGGGAGATACTGTGTGGTGTGATTTGATGATGATTGTCCTGAACTGTATTTACACTCTATTCTGTTAAAAATTTGAATTTAAAATGGAGAAATTGGGAAACTTACATTTTGCTCTTTAGCTAAAGTTGCTGCCTCTGCAAATGCTGGTTTCATTCTCTTACAATGTCCACACCCTAAGAATCAGAACAAGAAAATTGAATAAACAATTGTTAAAAATCACAAGTTTCATTCATAATGTGGAAAATCTAGAAGTATCTACATGAACCTAGAGCTACTGCAATGCAACTTTTTGCTTCTGCTCGTTTTTATTAAATATCAAATTTAATGACAAATTATCAATAATGTATTAATTTCAGGTAGGAACATACTAATGTGGTATATTGAAAAGAACTAGATCAACAATCGTTGTAGAAAGAAATATTGGAAAAAAAAATGATTGCGATAGATCATTCATGGCTTACAGAACATGCATGACACCTCTGAAGACTGGAAAGACCACATGAAATGAATGAAAAAATCACAAAAAGCAAAGCTACACCGCAAGTGATCTACATCATGCGAGACCAACAACATCAGTCTCATAAGCCTGCTGACAACTTCATGTGAGAGGTTCGTTAGACCAACATGTCAGTCTAATAGACTTTTGGACAACTTGTCTTAGGGTTCACATGGGCTGTCCATCAATGAGAATGCACCAAACAGCTACTGGTGACAGATAAAAATGCCAGAGGTAAAAAAAATGTCAGGGGTACAAATGCCAGAGGTAAATATGCTAGGGGTAAATATGCCAGAGGTAATAATGACAGAAATTAAAATCTCAGTTCGCTTTTCTACCTCTGACAATTTTTTCACAAAATGGAGGTAAAAATGCTAGGGGTAAAAGTACCAGAGGTAAAAATGACAGAGGTAAATATGCCAGAGGTAAATATGCCAGAGGTACTGTACATATGACCAATTCAGCCATTGGGCTGCGACACATGTTTTTAATAAACCTTGAATTGAAATTTCGCTTTTCTACCTCCGACAATTTTACACAAAGCACAACTACTTACATGGAGCATAGAACATAATCAAAACAGATGGGCTGGAAGTCAGGAAGCTCTCAAAAATGGAGTCGTCAATCTGGAATACATTCTCTCCTCCGTCCAGCTCCGCCCAGAAGTTTACATCCGGTGGAGGGGGTGGGGGCTCGCTGGGGGCAGAGCCAGGGCTCAACTGGTTGTGCATGAAGCGTATGAAATCTGCTTCCTGCAAGGACGAGACAAGAGATGAGGTATTAAAGGTAGGGGTTAACATTGAAGAGAAGCGATGACTCTGTGGTAGAGCAGTGGTCCTGTAACCGAGAGGTCCCAGTTCAAATCCATAATTTAGTTGAACTTTTGAACTCTAGCATCTCTCACCTGCATCCGAGATTTATCTCCCCACCCATTCAATGTAGATTACATTCCTCCTTGTTTACCAATTAGGGCTAAGAAATCAACTCCTCCGTTTTTGTTGTAGATTTCTTCTCTCCTGTAATTTACAAGCTTTCCATTGTTAAAAGTCCTGTCTGTGTACATTTCATACCTGAGTGACAGTAATTCACACTCATGGTATTTCCTGTAATGTACAATATGTCAATCAACGATACATGAAATATGTATCCTTCGTCTCTCTCTCTCTCTCTCTGACAGATGTTCAAGTTCAATGACACTCAAAATATTAAAGTCAGCAAAACTTCGATCTAAATCAAAATACAGTCACAGTTGTATTTCAGCTTCTCATTCTGGGGCATTCAACAATTCTAAAGTAATGCAATCTAATTTAACTAGCTTTTCTGCCACTTTTGGCCACTTTTTGTCAATAAGAAACTATACTTTCTCTCAATTTTTCCAAAGTAAAACTGTGAAAATCTAAAATTCTCACTAAATAGAGAAAATGAGACACAAGATTGTTATTTGCACTCCCAAAACAAGACCATGAACCATTTCCCAACTTGCTCTAGCCTTACCTCTCTTCCGCTGGTGTAGTCCTGTACCAGTTTGCCGTAGCTGAAATACTTGATGGTAGGGTATCCTGTTACACCAAAGGCTGTACAAGAATCCTTGTGCTCTGTGCAGTCTATTGCAGCATAGGAAACCTGGCAAAGGAATTTTTTTTTTTTAATGAATTTCTTGCCAATATCAAGTTAATATTCTGGATTGATAAAGAACTTCATTCATAACTAGGTATGTCTCTAACATATGAAACAAGTCGCTAACAACATCAGAAACTAAGAAAATGAAGGTTTATGTAATTATCTGTACAGGGCAGATTGGAGAGGAGCTTGCAAGATACAACCAGTGTTGCCAAATTATGTTTCACTGATGACAACTTCAACATCTCATAAATTTCCTATTTTTAATCGGACATTGCTCAAACACTATCAACACTATATTGTCTCTTGTAATTTTTATCAGCATGTGTTTATTTCTTCTCCTTTTTCTTACTAATTCTTTCATAGTAACTGACAAATGAGAGTAAAGAGCTTCAGTTCATTTTGCCTAGGGGGAAGGACATCTTGAAGCATTTGACTTCTTCCTTTCTTCTTGTAAGCTCGGATGAAAAGTTTACACGTTCACTGTTTATCAGAAGGAATATCTGCTATAGGTAGTATTCAATCACATATTTATATCTACCTGTAGATCGAAAGATAAATACTTACTTTATTTTCTTCCTTAAATTCCTCAGCTGCTCCCATATATTCTGGTTTGGCTTTCTTACAATGTCCACACCCTGAGAGCACAATAGAAATGAATGAACGAATGAGTGAACTGGGAGGGGGGAGGACTGTTTTTTTTAATTATTGTTATTTATTGTTTTACTCAAAAAGCTTGAAAGAGTTCCAGACATGCCTATAAAACTTGAATAGCATATTTGAAGATATTCATTACAAATTAAAATTTGTAGAAATTTGAGAAAATTTCCCAAAACATACCTTCGAACACATTTACCTAACTCTTGCAGGACAAGAGTTTTTAAAGGGCTAAATTGTGCCTTTTTTCTTCTTCAAATTAGCAATAGTTACATCTTTTTTTTTCTTGCTACACTGTTCTAATAAAATGTCATGTCTCTGAAAACAACATACATAGTTAATACCTATGTTGTTAAGGAGAAAAACTGCCAACTTAGTTTGAAAAACAGTGATTTTGAACCTCTCATCGTGTCACCAACTTAATATATGATAGCTTATATTCATTTTAAAAATTCTGGATATCAAACACAATATGATCATGCAACAAATTGGACACAATGTGCGCAGACATTTTCATAATTAGTTTTTATGTACCTCGTATATTTATAAAAGGGCTCAGAATCAAATTAGTTGACGCAAAGCACAAAATGTGGAATGCTTGTCTCGACAGATCATTACGAATGTTGAGCTCTCAGCTACTTACATGGCGCATAAAACATGACTAGGGTATGCTTCTTCTTCTTGGTGAAAGATTTAAAGTTATCATCGGTGAGATGGTCCACTTCAGATTCTGAGTCACTCCATGATGGTTCAGGGGGTGGGGGTGGAGGGGGCTCCTGTGGACTAAAAGAAAATAATATATACATGTGAATAAAAAGAAGGCAAAACTGACATAAGGCTTAAAGATACAATGTCCCTTTTGCAGCCAACCTCAAATTCTGTAGAATTTTGCAGGAATTATGAATATGTCATGTATGTCCTATCTGTGAAATTTAAACGTTAGCAGTGTCCTAATATTTAAATTATGCAAGGAAACCCGTTTACTTGCTAGACTTCCCTGTCAGACACTATTGAGTGACTGACTGGCTTTTTTTCTTCTTTGGTAATAACATACATGAAAAGAGTTGTAAAGAGTACATCAGCATTTGTCTACATCAATAACCCACTTCTTGTGATGGCCAAGATTAAACTGATTGAATCTTTGCCCAGCATAAAACGTATGACCATTCGGTACAATTGTCTGAAAATCAAGACTATTACTTTTGGGCTCTATAGCCCTAAAGTCGATTTGACAACTAATAGTCATTATTTTCCCACTTGAAGACATTTCCAAGCCTCACCTTTTTTAGGGAAGTTCTAAATAAGTATTATCTTTCAAATGCAGTTGGAATTTAACTTTTTCATTTATTTGGACTGCAAATGGGACATAGTACCTTGAAGGACATATTTAAACAAAATAAAATAAAGAATAATCTCTTGGTTGCAAGAGTCTTTATTGATGGATTTCATCGCTTGTTCCGTTTATCAGAGATAAATCACCCATCACTCCCGATACTTCACTCCCTCAGGGCTCAAACAGTGAATTAAAAGACAGTGCACACATCATGGGAATTACATAAATGGGAACCGAAAGGCAAGGGAGATGGAAGGGATACACATATAAAGAAGAAACTAAGATTTCACTAAACAATTATAGTAAAGAAGAAAGAAGATAGTAATGGAGTATTAACAAAATACATTCAGGCAACCAAAATATTCAAAACCCGTCTTCTTTAAGTGACTACAATAGAAGGAAGAATTTTGTTTCTGCAAGTTGCAACCACCCAATGTATGATGCTAAAAAAATAAATTATTCTCCTCTTTTTTGTTTACATTGTGGAATATACTACAAAATTTTGATTCAATACCAGGCCCAAACTTACTCTGTTAAATGTTCCACAAACTTGTCTGCTGTCCTCTCATTCAAGTCCCATGCATGCTCTCCATTCCTGCCAGTCACAGAAAATTAAGCATTAGAACACCATGTAGGATTGAATTGCGAACGGAAATTGTTAAAATTTTGTCAAATAGTACAAGATAAAAGTATACGATCATTCATTTTTTCACAAATTAGAGAATATAACCTATATACAAACTCTGTTAAATATGAAGAAAAAAAAAATGATTTGAAACAATTTTTCAAACATGATGTATTTCTTTTAATCTATTGCAAATGAATGGGTAAATATATGAATTACACACTGTAAATTAAAACAAAATTATTCATTTGAATATGCAAGGCATCTGCATTTTATATAACAAAACAACAACAACAACAACAGCAAAGTGAATTTATTGAGGAAACATTTCTAACAGACTCTTGATTCATATTTATCAACATCTTAACTTGACAATTGCTTTCCCAACCACCTAAGGTTGCATTTAAGGAACAAACAAAGTGTAGGGAATTGTAAAATAAAACACTTACTTGAAATATTTGAGAGTTGGGAATCCTTTGACCTCAAATCTCTCAGCCAAAGCTCTTGCCTTTGTTGCATCCACAGCACCCATAACTCCCTCCAGCTGGAAGCAAAGAAAAAGTAAAGATACATTAGGAGGCAAGTTGTTCTTAACATTTCGACCTATTTAAAGAACAAGGCTTAAAATCCACAATCTACAGTTTACTGAATCTTTCTTGTGTGTTTATACATGCACATGTATGTCCATCTCCTGTTTTCTTACCAGACAATTAGGTACATGTAGGAAAGAGTGGAAAACAGCCTTTCGTACAAGTAGAACATCAAAATGTATGTCCTGTGTAAAGGAGAGTCCCGCTTTTGTCTTCAATGATCAGTTCTCCTCTTTTCCCAAGGGTCTATAAAAAACACAATTTCAGTATTTTCACAAGTAGACTCTCATGCTATCAGGAAAACAGAATACTCTGGCCCTGACGACTAATTTTTGCTCTCAAATATTACTATCAGGACATTATGTAATACAGACATAACTTGAAAAGTTTACGCTGTGCCTTGGAGTAAATGATGATCTTATGAGAAAAGAGAAAAAATGAAGAAATGATGCATTTCCTATTGATTTCAACAATTTAGAATAATAAATTTGAACAAATATTTTGCCACTTCAAGAGGAATGTAAGTTACATAATCTGGCAAGTGCACATTCTCACCCCATTCTCCTTGAGCTCTGCTGCTGCTTCTACATATTCAGGCTTCATCTTCTTGCAGTGACCACACCCTAAATGCAAATGGGAGAGAAAGGGATGTAATACATCATAAGGAGAGATGAAAATTGACACCATCCTCCATCATTTCACTCTTCTCCTCTCTCTCTCTCCTTCATTCTTTTCTCTTTCTCCTCCTCCTATTTCAGCTTAGCCATCATCCATTCTTACCATAGCATTCATCTTTATAGCAATGAACTTAAAAAGCATCATTACTATCATCCTCATCATCAACAACATCAATATCCCAAATATGGTCATCATTTTAATCTTCATCATCATTATCAACATCATCATCAAAATATATCAATATCACATGAGTATCATCTTCAATATCATCCCCTCTTTCATCATCCCATAATCATTACCATCATCACCACCATCACCACTACCAACATTACTACCTTATCTTCCCCACCACCACCACCACCACCACCACCACCACCACCACCACCACCACCACCACCACCACCACCACACCACCACCACCACCACCACCACCACCACCACCACCACCACCACCACCACCACCACCACCACCACCACCACCACCACCACCACCACCACCACCACCACCACCACCACCACCACCACCACCACCACCACCACCACCACCACCACCACCACCACCACCACCACCACCACCACCACCACCACCACCACCACCACCACCACCACCACCACCACCACCACCACCACCACCACCACCACCACCACCACCACCACCACCACCACCACCACCACCACCACCACACCACCACCACCACCACCACCACCACCACCACCACCACCACCACCACCACCACCACCACCACCACCACCACCACCACCACCACCACACCACCACCACCACCACCACCACCACCACCACCACCACCACCACCACCACCACCACCACCACCACCACCACCACCACCACCACCACCACCACCACCACCACCACCACCACCACCACCACCACCACCACCACCACCACCACCACCACCATAATCATCCTATGTCATACTCACATGGTGCATAGAACATGACCAAGACCGAATCATGGCTGGCGATGTAATCATCAAAGTTCTCCTCTAGATGGACAACATCATTTTCCTCATCACTCCATTCTGCCTCCTTTTCTGGCTCTTTTGGTTCCTGAGGACTGATCGAGACGGAATCATTAAGTATACATGGACATAAACAGTAAAGTTAACAATGATAAACCATTTCTGTACAGCACCTATCACAGCATGATCTAAACTTCCTATGCGCCTCACAATGGGTTTGGATAGTTGTACCCAAGCTTTGTCTTTAGCTTATCAGTGTATACGGTAGTGTAAATGTATTTCGAGGAAAAATTCATGCCCAATACCAATTTAACATCTTGATAGAGACAGACAACTGTAGATAAAATGCCTTTTTTATGCCGGTATTAGAACCTTAAACCTTTTGATTGGGGTTCAAGTGAGTGAAACACTATACCATGATGCTCCAACGTTACCATGATCATCTTGTAGCATATCATACTCACAATGGGAAATGCCGCTATTTTTGTAATATAACCAAATTTAATACGTCTTTGTGAAGGGCCTCAATACAAATTATTTCATTCACCTCTTACAAATGTAACTCAATAGTCAGAATGTGAACTGTACACAGTATATGTTGCTAGGTAGGACAGACATTGTGGCTTGCTTACCTAACACATAATATAGATGCAGTTTGCATTCTGACTATTGAAATACAATCATTCTTAACAGGTGAATAAAATAGTTTGAAATGAGGCACCCTACAGAGACGTATGCATTAAATTTGGTTACTAAAAAAGCCTATTGAAAGAGGGACAAATAGATAACTAAAAAACTTGTATCAAATCTTTTACTGCTGTATCTTTTGTGTACCAATTTCCTTGCATATGTTAAAAGTGAAGATTTCTTTTGAAAGCTACAGTAAATGATATCATATTACATGTCAAAATCTCTAATGCAGGTCTATTATCAACATTTTTTTGATCTTGAAGCTGTTGAGGTGCAAGAGGAAAGAGTGGCAAATATAGAATCATGTCAAGTTGCAAAGGGATGCTAGTGCCATAGCATTCAAAACTTACTCCTCCATCCAATCGATTATTCCTTGTCTTGTTCTCTCACCGCCAAAGTCAAACTTCCTCTTTCCTTTCCTGAAAGTAAGAGAGAGAGGGAGAGATGAGTTAGATAGTTGGAGAATGAGAGAGGAAGAGAAAGAGAGGGAGAGAAAAAGAGAGAAAGAGAGAAAGAAAGAGAGAGAGACGCACACATAGGTGAGAGAGAGGGAGGGACTCTGGGAGGTATGGAGCAGTAATGAAAGCAGTGGTAAGTTGTACGGAAATTATTATATGGAAATCATTGGTCTTAATTCCTAAAAGTCTTATCAATACAAAACAGCATGTGTATAATTGCATCAATACATGAAGTGCAATACATGCTAGGATACTTCTTGTATCGTAACAAAATATTTTGGTTGTAAATGTTATTTTTTTTGGGGGGGGGGGTTAGTCCATTATATTGGTTTAAGTTGATGAGGTAAATAAAACTTAATTTTCTCAATTTTTAATTTTGAGATATATATAAGATGGTGCATGAGCCCATGATAGTTAAAGTGATATATTTTTAACTCTTACATATTCTTAAATATGTTTAGTGTTGATTTTCATATTTTATCCATCTTGAATATAATATAAATAGGAGTTCCCAAAAGGAACAAGCCCTCATTAAAATGAAGAACGAATCTGTCTGGTTGGGCAAATTTATAGATCTGAATTGTAAAAAAGGAAAAATTAATAATATACCCAATAATTCAACTTTCATCTTTGTTTTTGTGGATGAAATAAATGGATGAAAGTCATCTGGCAAGTGGCATACATGAAACATTCAACAGAATTGCCCATCTAATAATAAATGATGTGTTTTAATCATATCTTGTCTTTGGCTTACTCAAAATACAATATTGTTGGGAATCCTGTGATGTTATAAGCTTGTCGGGAGGCCATGTTTTCTGGTCTGTCCACGTCCATTCCAGCTAATACCTTGATTGAGGAAATGAGACCAAAGAACAAATGAAAGTCAGATCAGATCAAGAGGAAATATAAAGAGGAACTATCATGCCAATATTGTGATGGGAAAAGAATTAAATACCCCCCCGCCCCCTCAGACATCGATACAAGCTAAAAACAATCATATCATATTTTAAACATTTAGATTACAATCACAAGTTTACTAACCTTTTGTGAAGAGATTTCCTGAAGGAAGTTTCATACATTGTTGTGAAAACTTTGTACAGTTATACAAACCAAATGAAAATGAAAGTCCGATACATATTTATTCAGATGAAAAGAGGAACTACAATGCTAATACAATTGTGATTGGAAAGTAATAAATACCCCCTAAAACATCAGACAATTGATATGTTATACTAAAAACCTCTATATCATATTTCAAAGATTATCAGGACAATCACAAGCTCACTAAACCTTGTGAATATGTTTCATAAAGGAAGTTTCATACAATGTTATTAACAACATTCTACAATTATAGAAGACATCTTTAATTAACTTTTCCAATTAACTTTGTTTTTGAACCCTATTAGTAATTTGAGACAAATATTAAAATCTTAGATCCTAATATATATGTAGATCATGTTCTCAGTCGTTTGTTAGAATTGATTGGCCATTCTTAAAAGAGTGAAACAAATGTAACATATGCAACCACACAAAGTGGTGCCTACATGTACATGTAACAAAAATGTTCAAAAATGTATACCTAGTCTAGGAAGGTAAGTTAAAATATATCAACCAGAAGTGTCCTTCTATAAAATCACAATATTCTGCAGATGAAATATAGATTAAAACTGTTTTTCCTAAGATTGATCAATAAATAAAATTGCACAGCTCAACAAATGGGGAGAATTATTCTTTGATGGTGGCAATTTAACTTTTCTATTACATAGCTCTACTTCCCAATGAACTCATCTGACTCTGAATAACTAAGTTGAAATGATGGTATAATCTTACCGCATCTCCTTTCAGGTCTGTGGCTGCTCCTGCAAACTCGGGCTTCATTCGCTTGCAATGACCGCACCCTAGGAAAGTGAACACAATCACATCAATAACAGATGGAAAAGATTTGCATTTCAACTAACATCTAATTTGTACCCCCCAAAATCAGATGGAGGAAAATACAATTAAACTAGAATGCTTTAGAGAGTAAGTGTATGATTGTAGTCAATGACTACTTGTGGGCAGTCTTTCTCTTCATCTTTTGCTGTTGTTATGCTTACACTAGTATTGCAGTAGATAATTTTGTTTCTAGATGCTTATTTCACACAGTTTATTCATAACAAATTGACAAATTTCATGACAAATTGTTTGAAAGTCCTATCCAGCGGACTACAAGAGTGTGGTTCATAAAAAGGTTTACTCCAGGTTTACTAGAGATTTTTCAAACCCACTTTCTCCCCATTCCCAGACCATTGCAGCAGACTATTGCACTGATACATTTAAAGTTCCACTAAGCTACAATACAACCTGCCTAAGAAAGACTGCCCATGGGAGACACAACAAGCAGTCTTCAGGTTGGCCGTTTTAACAGGCCAGTGGTCTTTTTAAACAGGTTTCCTTTAGTTATGTTTCAATAAGAACCACCATTTCTCATAGGAAACAGAAGTGTGGTCTTTATAGACAGGTAGTCTTTGTATGCAATTGGTCACTAGGTTAGACTGTAAACAGAATAGCGCTCTTTCTAGAAGCTAAAAGTGAATGAAATGTTTAGAATTTGCATTTAGACATAAAATTATCGAAAGCAATACTGTTAGTATAAAAACAACAAAACCTGTAGATAAAGACTGCCCATGGATTTCCTCTATCACATGTCTCAAAGAGAAGAACTGCTTCAAGAGAGGCAAAATGGAACATAAAGAAGTAAATTTTTTTGGGATTTTAACGTAGGAAGTCAAATGCATGTGTGTACATACACATACATGCTTGATGCTAAATTAAACTAGATGGAATTTTGACTGCGCGCAGTCGAAAATGATGCCTCCGCCATAGAGCAATTTAAACAAGTTTGGAATTTAAATCTCCAGTGGTTCTTGAGATATCATGATAACAATCTCAATGTATGGAATTTCATAAGTTGACCTCTGTGACCCTTGACCTTTGACCTACGTGCTCCAAAATCTACTCAGATTGTCTTCCTATGGTGATACACACTATCATTAAGTTTGAAGTTTAAATCTCCAGTGGTTCTTGAGATATTATGATATGGTGATACATACTATCATTAAGTTTGAAGTGAAAATTCTCCAGTGGTTCTTGAGATATCGCGATAACGATCTCAATGTATGGAATTTCATAAGTTGACCTCTGTGACCCTTGACCTTTGACCTACGTGCTCCAAAATCTAATCAGATTGTCTTCCTATGGTGATACACACTATCATTAAGTTTGAAGTTTAAATCTCCAGTGGTTCTTGAGATATTATGATAACAATCTCAATGTATGGAATTTCATAAGTTGACCTCTGTGACCCTTGACCTTTGACCTACGTGCTCCAAAATCTAATCAAATCGTCTTCCTATGGTGATACATACTATCCTTAAGTTTGAAGTTTTTACATCTCCAGTGGTTCTTGAGATATAATGATAACAATCTCAATGTATGGAATTTCATAAGTTGACCTCTATGACCCTTGACCTTTGACCTACGTGCTCCAAAATGTAATCAGATTGTTTTACTATAGTGATACACACTATCACTAAGTTTGAAGTTTAAATCTCCAGTGGTTCTTGAGATATCATGATAACAATCTCAATGTATGGAATTTCATAAGTTGACCTCTGTGACCCTTGACCTTTGACATACGTGCTCCAAAATCTAATCAGATCGTCTTCCTATGGTGATACATACTATCCTTAAGTTTGAAGTTTAAATCTCAAATGGTTCTTGAGATATCGCGCTAACAAACTCAATACAAGGAATTTCATAAGTTGACCTCTGTGACCTGTGACCTTTGACCTACGTACTCCAAAATCTAATCAGATCGTCTTCCTATGGTGATAAATACTATTCCCGAGTCTCAAGTTTAAATCTTAAATGGTTCTTGAGATATTGTGATAACGGTCAAACGGGACGGACGTACGGACGTACGGACGGACGTACGGACGTACGGACGTACGGACGGACAACCCGAAAACATGATGCCTCCGGCACCACCTTCGGTGGCGGAGGCATAAAAATATTTTTAGTGGAAGGGGATCGGACTTTATGAATTAAAACCTGTGCTTTTAAGATCTTTTTGCAAGAAATGGTTCTCAATCTCAACCATTCCTTACTAAATGTTTTATCAGTATCTGTATGTATGAATATGAACAAATGTTACAATCACACGTATGGAGAAAAATATATTATAATCACTTACATGGTGCATAAAACATTGTCAGCACTGGCCTCTTCTCTTTGCTGATTAATTTTTCAAATTCCTACATCAAAAAGAGAGAAATCAAAGAGGAAAAAGACGATTAGAAATTGAGTGTTGTCAATGGCAGAATCAGGCCAATGTCCACAATCAAACTAGATCTACTAACAGAAATATATCTCGCCCAGTCTATGACCAACACAAAACACTGTATTCATGGATAATATTAATATTGTGGTTATTCACACATTTTACATTTATTTTCTTCATCTGACTAGGAGTCGTGTCTTCTGAAAACTATTTTTTGGAGTGGAATTACACACAAATTGTGAAATGACAAAATATTGTCTGTGCTACATGTATCAGACTTTGGTTAACAATCATGCTCTCATTATGAACTCTTTCTTCATTATCTGGCTCTTCCTCCCATGGTACACACCTCCCTCTGAATCTCCCTATCACTAACTCCACCCTTAACCCATCTTTTAGTTTCGTTATTAGTGCACTGCCTAAGAAGAAACAGTTTCTAAATAAAATACAATAAAATACTAAATAACTAAGACAACGTCCTGTCTTCAGTCTTTAAATGTTTCTCATTTTAAATTACCATAAAGTTTTAAAATGATTACATGTTCATTCCGTGCTTTAAATTTTCAGATTCCGGCTCTTCCTCCCATGGTACATTCCCCTCAACATCTCAAATTCACAAACCGCTAACTACTTTGATAACCAATTATTTTTCCACCATTGCACCTACTAAAGAAATGATTGGGTTTGAAATAAATTGTCTATAATGAAAAGCTTATGTTCCCTTCAGTCTATCAAAATTTCCTTCAAGACACTACAATATGAGAAAATAAATGTCCATTCTTTCAAAGATTTACCTTTGTACTCTCAATATGAATCACATCATCAGCATCTGGCTCTTCTTCCCATGGTACATCCCCCTCTGGATCCCTCAGGAAGTTTATCAATGACTGTTATTATGAAAGCAAAATAACAACAAAAGATTAAAATGTAAACATTGAAACCATTCATTCATAGGCTGTCTCGATGAGTGTATTGCCAATTGATATGGTAAAGTAAATATTTAGTCTAAAATCCAGGCTATATGGTCAATATCGTACATCAATGGAATATTAAAAACTGAATGACACGAGGCATTACAGCTAAATAAAAACCCAACAACTCAAGCTCTTTTTACAAATCACAACTATATTTTTACGTTCATTACAAAGTACAAGCTCTATCAACATGTTGCAGGATCATTTCAGTGTGTTTTGTTTGTTTTTGTATATACCAGGTAAATGCAAATGCACCAAGACAGAGAAATGTAATCCCACTATGCCTTGTTGTACTTCGTGCTGGTGGCACGCAACGTGTGTACAATGTAAGAAGATACATGTTACATTATACACACTTACAAATAAAGATTCTCATTTTAGACAAAGCCAATTTGCCTCCATGGCTTATATGATAATATTCAAACAATTACCGTGATTTAATGATGATAAAACAGTATGCTAAATTAGTCACATAGAAAGGGACTTTACAATGTTCTAAACTTGTGAGTACACATCTTTCAACCAGTGCAGCGCAGCAAAATGCTTGCCACCGATGGAATTGATTGTTCTGATATCAGTGGACATTTTTACATTAAATTTGGATGTCAAAAGCCATCCATCAATTGATCCTGACTTAAAATTTTGCCAGATTTGGGATCAATAAGAATCAATACAAAAATTAAATTGTCATTTTGGGGGCCAAAAGGTAACCAAAATGACAATATCGTTGTTGATTAGGGCCAATTAAGACTCTTTTTCGAGCATTAGAGCATATTTTTACATATAATAGACCCATCAAATCTTCTTTGCTGATAATGATTGAATAATTTACCCCTGACCTAAAATGACCATAGGTCAGTCTTTGCAAAGAAGAGGCTAAAATTACCAAAACATGAGTCGGGTCAATGTGACTGATACTAAATCAGCACAAAATTTAATCCCAAATATGGCTATTCAAACTTTCCCCAACAAAAATTCTGATTAAAATTTAACAATGCCACAACTTATATTTTTGTTGACTTTTCCGCCATGATGCATCACATGAATCGACTAAACACTGGTGCTGCTAGAAGGCACTGTGAATCCACCGTATTGGGAGTCAAGTGAATGAACCACATGACGCCGCCATGTAAGAAAATTATAACAGATATCGTGTGAAAGGCCTCACCATTTTAATAAGTTCCTTAAACCAATATTAACAAGGAAAAGACAATGAAAAGCATGGACTACAGTCACTGAACATGAATATATCTAGAACATGTACAGTACCTTGACATTCATGTTTAACAATATGAAACCAAATATTAAGTTTCATTTTAAAATTCATTACACTATAAATAGACTTTATCTTCTTACCTTTTTTCTCATGAGCCTATCATAGTCTTTATGATAATCACCGTCTCTGCAAAACAGAAAGATACAAAATAAAGAAGACTTTAGATATGATGAATCCTCGCAAGCAACCATTATTTCATATATTCATCTTTTCATATTTAATTTTTAATTTTACCTTTTAACAATTTTATTTCATCATTTTGTAAAGGAAAGACAAGGGGTGGAATACAAAATTATCTTCAAGTCTGTTTTGTTGCTGCTTTTGCTGTTTGAAATATTTTGGTTTGAACAGTCATTTTAGACAAATATTGCTGAAAGGATATATCAATTGTGGTTCTGCTGATGACAGAAAATGAATCTCATATAAAGTTATAAACTAACACTTCTGGGGGAGGTGAAAAATAATTTGTGAGAATTTTCAATGTTACTATGCACGCGTGGAAGAACATCAGAGAAAAAATGTTTCCTAAAAAGCATGGCTTTTCAATAGCCTTCATTACATGTAACAGCTTAAAAATGTAGGCCTCATTTTTATGTCACATATTTGTATAGTGACTGTAGTCCCACATACATCTTTCTGTGCACAGTGCTTGTTACTTTACCAAGACTGGGCCAAATTTCTTATCATTTTGATGACTCCAGAACCTTGCAGTACACACTAATACTTATATGCTACATGATCAACTTTTTTCTGATCGATTTCACACCATTTCTTTCACCAGAACTCAACTTTATCTTTAAACAGAATGAATGATCATGTATTGTAAAAAGAAGCGTACTAATTATACTTACTTGTAATGTTTCAAAACTGTTGGTAATGGTGAGACTTTGTATTTTTTACACAGCTTCTTGGCTTCACTGTACGTTTTGAAAGAGATGATATGCAATAGAGAGAGAGAGAGAGAGAGAGAGAGGGGGGGGGGGAGAGGGAGAGGGAGAGGGAGAGGGAGAGGGAAAGAGAGAGAGAGAGAGAGAGAGAGAGGGGGAGAGGGAGAGGGAGGGAGGATAAATTCAAATGAATACGGTAAGAAACAAATAATCTAAACTGAATGAATTTAGTGCCGATACTAAATATCTTCATGGCATGGAACATAATCATCTGAAATCTACGGCAGATAGAGCATGAAAATAAACATTCACAATCATGCTCAGGACTTTAGAAGGATGAATTCTTGAAGACTGAAGTAGTCATGAGAAAAATACTTTTAGAAGGATGACTTTCATGAAATATTTGAAATTATTTCAAGGTTTTCTGGTAATAATTAGTTCAATGCCTGCAACGGAATCAAAGATAAGGTCAATATGGTTCAATATTTTTAATATTCCCTGAAAGCACAGTATTTTACCCAATATTACTATCATCATAAATTTTATCAGGCATATCAATTTTCATAGACATTACATGTACTAACAAATCTGTTTAATGTGGGTCCGGTTTCAGGTTTTTCATGAGGCATCGTATTTCATATGAGCCAGGCAATATATTACAAAGTAAATACTATCAATTGAGCCTTTGGATATAACACGAAGCAAGGTCTCTCCTTCCTTTTTTCCTTATCCCTTTCCTCCTCTTCCTCCCATCCCCAAGCCCTCTTCTCTCCCTAGAGACTATAGATCTCTCCTCCCCCCCCCCCCCAGATCCTGTATCATCCCTCTCCTTGCAATATATCTCAGCGGGACTTGCGGGAGATGACTACATCCTAATTAGCTCAAGCAGGAAACGTAAGGTTGTCCCAGGATCGTCGCATTGGTAAGTCATGGACGGTTGAGATGGCAACTCGTGCATTTCTTGCACAGAAATGGAAAAATTTCATAAATTCACAATCATGTGAACAGGTGATATTGTATTCACAAGAGCTTACAGAGCTTTTTGTCCCCCCCCCCCTTGAAATAAAATAAGATAATCTGCATGTACATAACTGAAGACCATACAGTATATGTGAAAAGACGAAATCTCTTTACAAATAGGAATGTCAAATGATGGAGATTCCATTATGTCACTTGTCTCTGTTCCTTCACATATGTTGGCACTATTTTCTTTCTCTGAAATTTATGACAGAGTATGATCTTTTGGTAGGATCTTTTTGTTTATTTCAGGGGGTTGAAAGGCCAATAACAACATGCTATTCATATCATATGTTGTGTAGAGCAATGAGAGTGGAAAGGTGTTCAAGGAGAGAACTGGAATTCTGGAAATTCATATTTTGGTATGGAATAGTGGGACAGTTGATACACAATACATGTACATCACAGTTGTATGACCAATATCACAGTTTGAGACTCCACACATTATGTGCGTATTTTCAACATTTGAACATTCACGACTCTTTCATTTTTTTAAATCGATTTATTACATACATGTATTAACATGTTCCCCCATTTTCACCTACTGTACATGTAATTCAACTTGTTTGGAGGTCGTACTTTCCTTGAACTTATCTTGGACTACACAAAAAAGCAATCAAGTGTAATGGTGCTACTACTAGGATGACCAAGAAAAACAGCCTGATATATGTATTTCTCAAACAAATGTCATTTATGATAATCTCTGTTCTTGCATGTTTTCAAATTTACTTGGACTTGCAAATTTTTGCATAGACATACTAGAAATACCAGCCGACAGTCATCTTGCTAAAAAATTCCTTTTTTTCTTCTTTGTCTATTTTTACTCTAGCATTTCAATTTTCAAACAAGATTATCATAAAGTGCTCTCATTTTATTAAAGATGTGCAATGTAACTAAAAAAACTTCATGAGAATTTGTTGACAACTTGGCTCAGACATAACATCAGCCCCCCCCCCCCCCCCTCCCATCCAAATCCTGAAAAGAATAACACACTGCAGAGTGGTCATAATAGATAAATATCTATCTGATTGAGAAATTCTATACATTGATTATTTGCTCGCTGATTCTCAAAGCCCAGAATTGTCATGGCCACTGCCATAATTGCCTGCAACCTACACACCATCATATCACACACAAAACAAAATTTGGATGGTGCATTGTGTATGTCTACAGGCAAAACTATATGTATAGGAATAATCGGCATACACTGTAAATAATCAATGTTGGCTTTCGACTCGCCCTAGACCTGCCTCAATGAAAACTGAATTTGATTAATTTCAATATATGTCGGTCCATATGTGTACAATTGAGAGTCCTAATTTCAGGAAGATGATTCAGTACATGTACATGTCACATTATATGATTACGGTAGAGATTTGCCCCTGTGACATTTAATCTGGGCTTCTCATGGACTTGCAAAATACATGTAATAAGGCATTTTTTCATTCATAATTTCCTGCTTCTCTCTCATCTATAGCAGCGTGTTGTTTAAAAAATTTAAGCCATATCAATTCAGTGTCTTTTTAGAGACATTTTTGCATCATTATTTGATCCAGAATGCTAGGAATTACAGCTTATACTTGGGCAGAAAGAGCAAAAAACACAGAGAACTTTGGGTCTATTTCCAAAGTACGTTGCTCTGTTCTCAAATATAAATGAATTGTAACTAATCAATAAAGTCTCTAAATTGGCAAGGCATTGTAAAATATATTATATAATCACTATTTCCAAGAACAAACAAAGAGGCAATATTACAATTAAATTTTGCAATTTTCTTTTACATTGTTTCATTAATAACATCAATAAACATAAATTTGATGAAAATAAATAACAAGAACAATTGCCACTAATTCATTAAAAAATGCTATAACATAGCAGTTGACAATCTATTTCATTTATGAGAAACCTTCATCCCAAAAGAGCTCAAATTTATTAATGCAATTTTTTGTTCTAGCAAATGCAGTACACACTATGAATATGACGGACAATGAAAGCGGACAAAATATACAGTTCCTCAGGTAGACAAAGGAACATCCCTTTACTGCTAATACGTAAAAATGTGTAGAACAGGTGTCACATGCATATTCACCTGTTCTACACATTTTTACATAATAGCAGTGAAGGGATGTTCCTTTGTCTATCTGAGGAACTGTATATTTTGTCCGCTTTCATTGTCCGTCATGTTGACAAGGGATAACAGCAGATGAATGAAATGCTTTATCACCATAGTGACCACACACACAGTGAATAATTCATTTGATAAATGACTTCACATAATACGGCACGTTATCCCGAAAATGGCGATGCCCATGTCGTGCTGAGAAACTGTACATTATTCTTGCTTTAAATGCCTCTCTCATACACTTTGGTGGGGAATATTGTAGATCACTGAAATGGGCAAGAATATACTAAATCCCCCAGAATAATTAAAATTATTTCTTGGGGTGAGGTTTCCTTTTAATCACTTTAGCTCCATCATAGTCTAAATTTCCTCATAATCTTCTTTATTCTGTATTCAATAAAACTTCAAATAATGATAAAATGAGACAGGCTGAAAAAGGAATTGGGTGGGGACATCAAATGACACGTAGGAACAATTTAACTTGGTCTTACCTGCAGTCAATAAAGGCCAAGGTGGCTAGACCCTTCATTTCTGCTGCCACATCACTGTATATATTCATCAGACTCTCCGCAGATTTGGCTGGAAAATTAGAAAATAAGGAACAACATATAAGTGAGTGATCATTTCATTAAAGGCAGGGTATTCTACCGACACTACTTTCAATTTACATACATGTATACTGCCATCTGCTGCTCACAATGTCACCATGTGTCACTTCCCAAAATCCATCATCAACTGCATGACATGAGCGAGCTTGTGATGATGCTAAAATGCCCTGCCTTTAAAGAGAAGCTTGCATACTGCTAAGATGAAAAATAATTTGTGAACTTTCAGAGTCTTGATTTTCCTTTATATTACCATGTAAGAGAATCTAGTAGAAATGTGTCCTATTCAAATGGTATCTAAATATTCGAATGCTAGTCCTGCAGGCCTACTTTCTAACACATTATTATAAAAAGATAAAAAGAAAAGCCAGACAAAATAATTGGCGAAAACTACACCCAAAAAATAATCTACACAATAATTTTGGTATAGAATAAATAATGTTGATCATTAGAAGATGAGGCAATCAAAATACAGTCATCCTGATAAAAATGTATGTATAGTTGTATACCAGCAACCACATGGCATGATACCATTGAGCAGCAGACAGAAGGGCATACAGTAAGCACTTGACCTGTTCAGCCATTCTACTAACCCAGAAGGTCATTAGCATGAAAATGCCTGAAACAACCTTCAAAATGATATGCTCATTTGATATGAAACTACATGTACGAAAATTAGGTACCGGTAGTTACAAATTACAACTCCAGAAAAAAAACCATCCTTGTGATATTCATAAAATGGTATTTAATATGTATAGAGCAGTGAAAACCCTGGAAGCCAGTTATCTCAAATTTGCTACGTGGCATTTGTGTGCTTATGACCTTCTCCCAGCGGCGGCACGACGATATGCGCCAATTGGATTTCAAGCAAGTGTTCATTAGTTTGTTTACATGTCGCCAACAGTCCAAACAACCCACATACTGAATCATTAACAGTTAATTATTAATTTGAACAGAGTTTCTCTTGAAAAGTTAGAACTTTTACTACTGAAATTAAAAAATAGCTTTGAAAGATCAGAATTGAAAAAGTGCAAAATAATAAAGCAATTTTCAGAAATTTTAGGGCCATTTGTACTACCGGATAGTTTCATAATTAGAAGTATATATAGGTAGACGGCATAAATAGTGAAAGTGGACCCAATTATTTGAATGACTGAGGTTCATGGTCTGTGAGGATATTGTATTTTTTAGTTTCATACGTACAGTGTATACTACAAATGTAAAAATTAAAATTATACTTTTGAAGAACTCACCATCTTTGGAAAACAGAACCATGATGTTGTTGTGCGTCCGCAATTCCTTCTTGAATTCTTTCAAATCTGTGAAGTCTGCTACAAATTTACGGTTAACATTCTTTTTTGCTGCCTCAGTAGCTAAGATCTGAAGTGACAGAGATAAAATTAAAAAATCTTGTAAATATCTCTGGAAAAATCAAAGAGATCTATATATTAAAATCACTGCAAGGACATTACACAAGTAAATTTTAAAATTTTTTTTTTTTTTTAAAGTGTTGATTTATGCCCCTCCACCTGGCACTGTGCCTGGCAATGTCTCCTAGCTCAGTCATACAAGGTGTGTTGACTCACCATTAGGAAACTAGAACAACACTACCTGTATGGCAGGATTTCTGTTTGGACTTAGAATTAGAGGAAAATTTGTCTGTCATCTTTAGTTTTAAAAACGACATTGTTACTATTATTTGTGGCAAGTTCACAGGCACAAATCGGCGCCTTCAACTGCACCTCGCAGTTAAATAAAGGTCCTTCCCCACATGGGTTTTTGAACACGGACTTGGCTTCCTGTCTGCAAAAAAAAAAATTAAAAAAATGCCCCCCCCCCCCCCCCCCCAAAAAAAGGGGTGTGCCTTACACACAGAGATTTACGGTACATGTTGCAAAAACAAAACAAAAACAGTTTTGTAAACAAATGTATAAACTTAAATACCGGTATATATTTTTTGTAATTCCATAAATTTACAAACTGTAGTTCAACGTAGTTCTATTTTATGATACTGAATTTTTATGTTGTGGACATCTTCAATAAAAGGAGTACAGTGATGTTTACAAATTAACTGTACTAGAGTGTGTGCAGTGTCAAATGAGGAGTTACATGTAATAAAGTTTGGTATTCTGAAAGCTCACTCAAATGTTTAATTTACTTGAGAGAGATTGAAGAGATTTTAAATTACAAAGTACTTTGTCTTGCTGAAATATTTAATGCAAGTTTTATTGGCCATGCAATCATAAAAGTGATGTTTTAAAACTCTCTATATACCTCTCTTTAGCGTGTTGAATAAATCTAGTCATCTGATTGGTCGAAATTGAAGTCGTAATTTTAGCCATGCCCGTCTATCTGTCAATACCCTTAGTTTTTTAAAGATCCCTGTTGCCCCGGGTAACAGGCCAAATAATTTTTTTTTGCTGAGATCCCCATTGGTTCATGTGTAAAAAGTTTCTTTGTGCGAGCGCCGTTACCACATACAGTGCAGTGTATGTGCAATTCCTGAATGATTGTAACATTCAGCCTTATTCAGGCAACTTTCCAGCAAAGATTTACAGACAGTGTTTCAAATAAAACCAGTTTTAACAAGAAAAGGATAAGGTAAGAATTCTTTGTAGATTTTTTGTGAATTTGGTATATAGAAGATATATGGACTGCTTTAATATTTGAAGCATAGCTGTTTCTATCCTGGCTCTCGGGGACTGCCGCCATGGCGCGCCTCAGGGTCATACCAGGATGTAACGCCCCTTTGAGCCTATAGAAGCAGCGATGCCTCACATAGCAGTCAATATACATGTACCTACAATATTGCCTGCTCCTTTTTCACACAATTGCAAGGAAACAAGTGTAATATGAGACAATTTTGAGGAATTGGGAAACAAGTCTTCCACAGGCATTCTGAACAAGCTGGAACTTCATTACAATTTGTGAAAAATGTTAATAGTTAGTTTGTTATTCCCACATTGCTTCTGAGTAACCTTGTAAAATCACTTCATAGTCACAGGGGTAACGCACATTCTTTTTTTTTAATCAGTTAAAGATACTATGTCCCTTTTGCAGCCAACATCAAATTCTGTAGGACTTTGCAGGAATTATGAATGTCATGTATGTCCTATCTGTAAAATTTAAACGTTAGCAGTTTCCTATTATTCAAATTATTCAAATTATGCAAGGAAACCCGTTTACTTTCTAGACTTCACTGTTGGACATTATCGAGTAACTGACTGACATATTTGGTAATAACATGAGCTGTAACAGGTACATGAGCATTTGTCTACATTAAATAACTCACTACAATAGCCAAAATTAAACCAATTCCAATTCCAATGTCATATCAGTTAGAGTAAAATACCCTGATTTTGTAAGCGACTTAGTGTTATTTGTGATGATACATGTAGGCTAAAATAACTTTATTCATTCATTTGTGCATTCACAAAGTCAACCTGCACTGTAATGAGTGGTTGGAAGACTTTCAGATTCAGACAGTGCTATTAAATTTGTATGAATTGAACTTCAAAAACTTGATAATTTAAAAAAGTAATGCGCTAATGCACTTTCGCTCTGCCATCGGGCAATCTTCATTTCGTCACATGTATTGCTTTCCCCTTAACTATTCCTCAAACTCTACAGTCTACACATGTTGTGAAGGCTTTCTCAGCCTAGTGTGTGTGACGAAAGTGCACTATCACTAGCACCAGAAAGTAATTCATAATTGATCGCAACTGAATCTGCACTTCAAATTGTAAGCACCTACTCACACAAAAAGGTGCATTTCAAATTTGAAACGTCCACTCACACAAAGGGAGGTTCAATTATAATTTTTGCAACATGTTGTCCACATTTTTAATCGTGGCAAAATACACTGTCTGTCAAACCCACACGGCACGAGACCAAAGGCAACCCACATTTATACGCCGAATCTCCTCGCTCGCATGCACAGGACAGCGCCGGTACATCCCCCGCTATCGCCTACCCTGGAACATCCCCTGTTTACAAGCAACCGACCAAGTATCATTTCACCCATTTCAAAGCTAAAAAACATGATTTATCTCTAAAACATCGTTTCAAATGCTCTCAGTAAGTACATCATGCAATCTCTTCAATTTTCATAAGCTCTCTTACCAAAACGCTGACCAAAATACACGTGGTAAGACCACGGGAAACTTTCCCAAAGAACTTCGCCATCTTGCCACGTTTACGTGTGTAGGCTACGGGTACAGTACAGGTGCATGTGTGTTATGTTGGTGTTCGAGCTCGCCATTGCATTGCATTGACATGCGCATATCGGCCGTATTATGGGCGGGGCTCTTTCGAAGTTGACTTTGCATGCAAGTGGCAAGAACCAACCTTTTTTGAAAGGAAGGCGTGGACGTTAATCCTAATTACCGGGAAAGTTTGAAAAGTTAAAAGCAAAATGCTTGTCAAAATATGAATTAAGATATATTGTTTAGATTTAATTTGCAGAGACTATATCAAAAGAATGTATTTTTTTAATATCCCCCCAAGCGCAAGCTCGAAACTAGGATTTTATTAGGGGGGGGGGGGACAGGGGCGGATCTACCTTTTTGCCAAGGGGGGAGGGGGAGGGGGTTGACCCAGTGGCGGATCCAGGATTTTCCAAAAATCGCGCTGTTTTACTGTTTTACTCTTTTTTTTTTCTTCACTTGGCCGCCCAAGAGGGGGGGGGGGGTTTAAACCGCTGACCCCCCCCCCCCTAAATCCGCCCCTGAGGGAGAGGGAAGCGCGGAAGCTTTGATGTTTCATTAAATTATTAGAGAAAGAAGACGAATCGTTGTACCGTTCTCGACTCTTCCTCCTTGTCTAAATTCAGGTCCCCCCTCCCCTCCCGTGCCAAGCGCGGAAGGTTTGACGTTTCGTTCAATTGCATATTGTTTATGTTTAAACTTCAATCTATTTATTCCGTCGGAACTCACAAATTCATAATTATAATACACGTCAAAAGGGTCCTTTTCATTAGCCATTTGCCAGAACAAATGTCACTTTGACCTCTTTCCATATTGCCTAATGATAATTATTTTTAAAAAATAGCACAACTCTATCTAGGTTTAGAAGGTTATCGAAACGTACCTAGTTGAAAGACTGACATAATTTTTCTTTGTATCTTAATGATTTCTAATTCTCAATTGCTTCTTGACCACTAAGGACCTACTCATCAGTGTGTTTGATGTGTGTGTGTGTGTGTGTGTGTGTGTGTGTGTGTCTGTGTGTGGGTGTAAGTAGTGGCGGATCCAGGGGGGCCGGGGGGCCCGCCCCCCCCCCCGGCCAAAAAAAGAAGGAAGAGCAAAAAAAGGAAGAAAAAAAAGAAGGGGAAAAAAAGAAATAAAAGGGGTAAGATATCAAAGGTATCAAAATATGCTCATAATTAAATGCCTAAAACCCCTTGACTTCCGGTGGCTCTGCCCCCTGGACCCCCCCCCCCCGGGGCCCTAGGGCGGACGGATGGATGCTAATCTGTCGGTAATTTAATGCTTAAAACCCCTGAGCTTCTGGGGTCTCGGCCCCCTGGACGCCAATTAATGTCCTGCCAGTGTCAAAAATAAGGTATCAAAATATGTTCATCTGACCGTAATTAAATGCCTAAAACCCCTAAGTTTCCGGGGCTCCACCCCCTCGACCCCATCAGGGGCCCTTGGGCGTGCCCTTGCATGCTTGTCTAACCATTAAAAAAATCCTAAAACCGCTTAGCTTCTGGGGGCTCCGCCCCCTGGACCCCACGCCAATTCGTGACCTGCCAGTGTCACAAATTCGGTATAAAATTTGTCTCATCTGACGATGTATAAACCTCTGAGCTGGACCCAACGCCAATTGTGCCCTGCCAGTGTCACAAATCAGGTATCAAAATATGCGATGTAAACCTCCAGAGGTATCAACCTCTGGGCTTCTGAGGGCTCCGCCCCCTGGACCCAACACCAATTTGTGTCCTGCCGGTGTCACAAATAAGGTATCAAAATATGCTCATCTAACGATAATCTAATGTATAAAACCCCTGAGCTTCTTGGGGCTCCGCCTCCTTGACCCAACACCAATTTGTGTCCTGCCGGTGTCACAAATAAGGTATAAAAATATGCTCATCCGATCATGACGGTTATTTATTGCCCAAAAACCCCTGAGCTTCCGGGGGCTCCGCCCCCTGGAACCCACGCCAATTTGTGACCTGCCAGTGTCACAAATAAGGTATCAAGATATGTTCATCAGACCGTAATTAAATGCCTAAATCCCCTAAGTTTCCGGGGATCCACCCTTAGGCGTGCCCCTGCATGCTTGTCTGACCGTTATGAAATTCCTAAAAAACCCTGAGCTTCTGGGGGCTCCGCCCCCTGGACCCCACGCCAATTCGTGACCTGCCAGTGTCACAAATAAGGTATCAAAATATGCTCATCTGACCGTTATTTATTGCCCAAAACCCCTGAGCTTCCGGGGGCTCCGCCCCTGGACTCCACGCCAATTCGTGACCTGTCAGTGTCACAAAGAAAGTATAAATTTTTGCTCATCTGACGATTAATTGATGTATAAACCTCTGGGCTTCTGAGGGCTCCGCCCCCTGGACCCAACACCAATTCGTGACCTGCCAGTGTCACAAATTCGGTATAAAATTTGTCTCATCTGACGATGTATAAACCTCTGAGCTGGACCCAACGCCAATTTGTGCCCTGCCAGTGTCACAAATCAGGTATCAAAATATGCGATGTAAACCTCCAGAGGTATCAACCTCTGGGCTTCTGAGGGCTCCGCCCCCTGGACCCAACACCAATTTGTGTCCTGCCGGTGTCACAAATAAGGTATCAAAATATGCTCATCTAACGATAATCTAATGTATAAAACCCCTGAGCTTCTTGGGGCTCCGCCTCCTTGACCCAACACCAATTTGTGTCCTGCCGGTGTCACAAATAAGGTATAAAAATATGCTCATCCGATCATGACGGTTATTTATTGCCCAAAAACCCCTGAGCTTCCGGGGGCTCCGCCCCCTGAAACTTACGCCAATTTGTGACCTGCCAGTGTCACAAATAAGGTATCAAGATATGTTCATCAGACCGTAATTAAATGCCTAAATCCCCTAAGTTTCCGGGGATCCACCCTTAGGCGTGCCCCTGCATGCTTGTCTGACCGTTATGAAATTCCTAAAAACCCCTGAGCTTCTGGGGGCTCCGCCCCCTGGACCCCACGCCAATTCGTGACCTGCCAGTGTCACAAATAAGGTATCAAAATATGCTCATCTGACCGTTATTTATTGCCCAAAACCCCTGAGCTTCCGGGGGCTCCGCCCCCTGGACCCCACGCCAATTCGTGACCTGTCAGTGTCACAAAGAAAGTATAAATTTTTGCTCATCTGACGATTAATTGATGTATAAACCTCTGGGCTTCTGAGGGCTCCGCCCCCTGGACCCAACACCAATTTGTGTCCTGCCAGTGTCACAAATAAGGTATCAAAATATGCTCATCTGATAGTAATTTATTGCCCCAAATTCCTGAGCTTCCGGGGCCTCCGCCCCCTTGACCCTACGCCGATTCGTGACCTGCCAGTGTCACAAATAAGGTATAAAATTATGCTCATCCGACAATAATTTGATGTATAAAACCCCTGAGCTTCTGAGGGCTCTGCCCTGGGAAAAAAGTTAAATTTTACGTTAATACGTTAATTTTACCTTCTTTAAGAGATAGGCCCACCTCCCCCCTGGTGCTCAAGAGGGGGGGGGGGGGGGGGGGGGGGGGAGGGGTGCGATTTTTCAAATTTTCGAGGGCCAAAAAAAAAATTAGTGCTCACTACCCCTTGAACTTGAACATTAACATTCAATTATTAGAGAAAGAAGACGATTTGTTGTACCGTTCTCGACTGAATTAAAAAAATGTTTCTATGTCTGCTCCAGAACATGACATATTCATAATTCCTGCAAAGTTCTACAGCATTTGAGGTTGGCTGCAAAAGGGACATAGTACCTTTAATTTTTTCTTTTCTCTCTCTCTCTTTTTTTTTTGGCCGACGAAAAAAAGGAAAAGACACAAAACTATTGTTCATTTTTTTCGATCATAATAATTATTTAACCGTAGCATTGGACTAAATTATACACTATTTTGGAGTCTTGAGAAATTATCAATTACGTCTGATTACATAGTATATACTTCCAAATATGAGAAAGAGAGAGACAAAACGAGATAAAGAGAGAAAAAAAGATCAGAAAGAGAGAGAGGGAGGGCAAGAGAAAAAAAAACAGACACACACACTGGCGTACTGATGGGAGGGGGGGGGGGGCTTGGGGGTCAAAGTTGACCCCCGAACAAAATTCAAACGTGGTTTATTTCCAATTCGATACCAGTGATTTACAAAGTGTTGCTGAAATGACATGACTTTCCGGGTTTTTTCTCTCATTTTTGCCCATTATGCCAGAGGCGGCACTCTCGATGGGGGGGGGGGGGGCACTGTGCCACCCACTCTTTCAGGTACCCACAACAAGCTCCATCTAACATAGGACAAGTGCCCCTTTTCTTTTCTAATAATTGTCCTTTTCCTCTCATTACATCTCTGGTGAGTACGTCTTTTCAGGTGCGAGAAATTCCCCTTTTCCCCTCTGGTATTTTTGCTCTTTTTATTTTGACTCGTGCCCTTTTTCCTTTTTGATAAGTGTACTTCTCCCTTCTAAATAAGACCCCCTTCACTTTCTCTTAAATGCCTCTTTTCACATCTGATAAGTGCCCTTTTCCCTTCTCCATAACTTGCACCCCTAATTCAAGGCGACTTAGAGCCCCTTTTTCTTTAATTTTCACTAGAGCTCGCGAGCATGTTACTTATAAAAGAACTTTGCAGTCTTTCTTCATTAGATTGTGCTAATTACTCATCATTTTTTTTTTTTTTTGGAGGGGGGGGGGGTCTTCTTTATAAGATGCAATTTTTTGCTCTGGGACCTCACAAATCTTAAATTTTTTGCTCGCTTGCTTCGCTCGCTATAAAATTAATATTAGACCATCACACCTAACTGCAAAGTATGTTGCTTATTAAGCAGATTCTTGAACCACGTAAAGAAAGAAACAAATATTGATACTATCCCTGGTAGTGTAACCACAATCATGACGATGTAGGGGTATATACCAATGTCTAGAAATGGTGTAGGTTTTGTTGATGTTTCCCTTTGTAGGTGCCCCTTTTGTCCAGAAAGTGCCCTTTATTTGTTGGTTCGCCCCTTCCTATTTTGGAAGACGCTCCGCCGCCCCTGCATTATGCTACTTAGTGGTGATATTGATTTTGTTCTGACCCCCCAAAAGTGTTTGCTCATTACGCTATACTGGACACACACACATACAAGATAAGTAAGCCATTCTCAACACCTGAATAAAATGCGCGTTTGAATGAGCAATTTGTGTACATGAACCAATGTTTTATTTTCACAAAACAGATGAAAATGTATTTTCTTTATCATTCCCTTATTGCAACCTAAACTTGTGGTTGAATTTCAAATAAAAATAAAAATACAAACAGATCGATAGCAATGGTAGAAATAATGTACACAAAGTCAAAGAATCTGCATGGATAGACATGGATAGAATGAGTGGTCTGTGATTACGAAGGACATTCATTTAAGCACGTATACATGTTTAAAAGAAATACATTAAAAAAATTGAAACACATGAATATTCAATTTCACCTTGGATTTTGACACATAATAACTTCATACATAAATTGTAAAGGGAAGAATGATTTTGAATCGAACGAGGTATGAAATGGCAAATACCTGAGAGTTAACATACAAATTGAAACACATGAATATTCAATTTCACCTTGGATTTTGACACATAATAAGTTCATACATAAATTGTAAAGGGAAGAATGATTTTGAATCGAACGAGGTATGAAATGGCAAATACCTGAGAGTTAACATATCAAATAATAAATCAGAATAACATGTATTCTTCTGTTAATTCAAAATATCCCTTGCGTAATATATTTCAACACGTGGCCGCATATAACATCTCTCGAGAAAACATTGAAATTTGTCAGTTCATATATTTTGCTAAACTTAATTCGGAGCAGTCAATATCTAAACAATATGTGTATACAAACTTTAGCTTTATAATCTTTATTACCTTCTATATATGTATCTGTTTTCTTACATATATGATTGATTCTATCGTTTGCCGTATATCTTTTATAGAAAGTATTATTATTTTTAAAGATGTTTAATAAAGCACAATACAATACGTTGCGTTATTTGTTCTTCATTTTCATCAAATATCATCCCTCTCTTTTACTTTTTACAAAAATCCCTGATTTTTACAACAACCTGAGCAAATTTGAAGAAAGTGTATAGTGTCTTTTAACCAGCATGACGCCAACAAAATGAGCATTTTTTGTGCGATATTTCTTAATTGTGCTCTTGACTTTGAATTACCCCTGATTTTCGCGACAGCCTGTGTGGCATTGGAAGTTATTACTTCATCGTCATACGCCTAACCTACGTTTGATCTCTTTTCAAATTATATTTGTTTTTTCAAAAGTATAGGATTTAACAAAACAGATATAACATGCACAATTATGAAATATAATGATCATATGCAAGGATACAAGAGATTCATAAAAAACGAAAACAAACAACCAGAAAAGGGGCACCCCACCCCTTTTACAAAAAGAAAAAAGCATGTAAATCTATTGAAATAAATCCTTTAATAATACCAACTTCCGTTTTTTTAAATGAAATGGCAATTTACTCTTTTTTGGGCAATGTAATCTTCCGAATCTTTTGGGGTCTTGATAAATTGTCGAAAACCAACCACATGTAATCTTTTTTTGGTTTTTGACTGTCATTCATTTCAAACCCTCCCTGATTTTCTCGACAGCCTGAGCGACTTTGAAGATGGTGAGTTCATCGTAGTGTTTCCCCACCAACATAAGACCGACGGGTAAACCTTCTACGAAGCCTGCGTTGATGCTGAGTGCGGGATGACCGGTCAAGTTAAAAGCCATCGTGTTGCCCGTATTCTCAAAACACTTCTTAAAGTATTCTGAAATTCAAAGACAATGTCAGAAAGAAAATATATTGTGTGTTCCTTTATACAATGATTAAATCCTAAAATGTAGAGCTTAAAGGTAATACAAAGTTTTGGTATGGGGTTATGAATTTGGTTCAAATGAACATGTTGGAAGCATAAGCGATCCTACAATATTCAGTGATCGTTGTCGCGGTTGAAATCTAGTCTCAAGTTATGGAATTGTAAACAATTAACTCTTTATGTTGTATCGCTCCCTCTCAAGGTGATATTAATTAAGCTATAAAACAATGTTTCTTGACTAAAATCGACCGATTAGCTACCGGTATTCCCGTTTAGAAATTATATATCACAACTACATAGTCTGATATTTTCATGTTTGCAGTTACCATTATACGGCCGTAGGCGCTATCTAAACATTTATCAAAATTTACCGGGAGCACCGGTAAATTGTTATATTCAATTTTTCTTAAAAGCAGAATTGTTCTAGGGGCCAAATTTTCCAGCGCTTATAATACATCCACAGGGACATTCAAATATATCAAAATTGTAAAGAATCACTATCCACCCAATTTCAAAATTTCCCAAAACTTTGTATTACCTTTAATGGTTTTATTATTTTGTGTAATTTCAGTATACTCACCGTGATATAATGGTTCTTTCGCTTGAAGGTTCGAATTTTTGGACGGTGCGTATATTTAGGCTATATCTATGTCCCTTTGACAAAGCCGCACGACCGAAGTTGTTTCTCTCAACCCATGTGTAAAATGGAAACCTTGATGGATTTACCCCCTCCACATGCATAGAGCTACACTCATATACAGTACTTTAATAAAGGTTGTCAGAGCTCAATGGAAAAGGTGGAGTTTGGTAATGATGGTCAAGAATAACTAGCGCGCTTTCTCATTCTTTTATGTCATTTTTTGAAGAGAGTCTTATACAGGTATGTATATTGAAAAGGATTGTAATTTTTCACTTGTATTAAAAATGCAACAAGAAATATATATCTGAAGTGTTTGAACCGAACAGTCATGCAACATACGTGCGTATTCCAATATACTCACTTCTTTGCACAGTGCAGGGCCGGTGGATGCGCAGGGCGCCTATACAAAGTAATTATTATCCTGGCTTTAAGGCTTTAAGGCATTCAAGGCAGGCGCGTACGCAGGAGGAGGGGGGGGGGTTACCCCCCCCCCCCTTCAATTAAAAAAAAGTGTATACTCAGATGAAGAAGAATAAGAAGAAAAAGAAGAAGGAGAAGAAGAAGAAGAAAAAGAAGAAGAAGAAGAAGAAGAAGTAGTACATAGTAATAGTATAGTAGTAGAAGAGACACACACAGAGAAAGAGAAAAATCAAAAAGAATGCCTGATTAGCCTGATTAAGGACCATGAAGCTGTAAATTATCGAACATACCGGGTGCCGGGTCATCTTTAAAGATGAGCTTTGAAGCTGTGAATGGTATAGTTGGCATGGCGATCACGTCTACCGATTCCAAGGCCTGGTCGTACGCCTTGCGAAGAGGGAAAACCAAGTTCCGTGCTCGGCAATACACCTGACTTTTGTAATTCTTCTGCAGGTATTCCCCTTGAAGTATGAACAGCTGTGCAACGCAACAGAATTTTGAGAATATTACTATTTTTACCATTACTACTTCAGTTACTATCACTGTCACTATAACTATAACTATTATACTTTTACTATTACTATTACTTGTACTATTCGTTTTGCTTTTGCTGTTACTATCAAGATTACTTTAACTTTAACTTCTTATGTTACTATTACTATGACGTGAACATTTGCGATAATACATTATCTCGCTATCATGCCAATTGCATTTTTATCATGTTGCATCGTACTATACTATATCATTATTGTATGACATAGACATCTGATCGCATTATCATCAAACATTGTGTTACCTGGATATTCAAGTTCAAGTTCATTTTTATTTTGCTCATAATTCTTCCTTTTCTTTTCAAATAAAGAATTCCTTTCTAATATAGTAGTAGTAGTAGTAGTAGTAGTAGTAGTAGTAGTAATAGACTGTAGTAGTAGTAGTAGTAGTAGTAGTAGTAGTAGTAGTTGTTGCTGTTGTTGTTGTTTTTATTGTTGTTATTATGTATTTCATTAGTATTATCATAAAAGCAGTGGGATATTGAATACAATTACATATACAATACTATAATATCGTACCTTCATTGTGTCTGAAAGGTCATCAATCCTGGAGGAAAACATTTTCCCGGAAGCTATTGCGAAGTCGGTCGGATAATAGCCTACATGACCGGTGCCGCAACCTATTCAATTAAAATATGCGGTTATTACAAAACATTTCTCGTTAAAATATAATTTTTCATGGACTGGATAAAGATAGGACATTTCAAACATAATGCAAAGTCGTTCGTAGACGTGCAGTAATTTTCAATATAAGTATGTGTCTTATATTTTTCTGTCTCTTCACTTCCGCTAAAGTTTCGATTTTACAGTCACCCAAAATGAACTATTCTTATAATGATTTGCATTGGCAGTGTTCGACAGTATGGATATCACACTTCAAGGAAACTTATTTCATGCCAACTATGTAATTTTGTTTTCAAATTTTCGCCCCCTTCTATATGATGTAAATAAAAATCCGCGTCTTGAAAGATGTATAAAATAAAGAGATTTTTCTCGAGTTTCATGTTAATGTTATCCAACTGCCTATTATTCCAGTACACAAATTTTCGGAAGACCTCCTTCTTAAGATGAAGAGTAGACTGATTTCTATCAAGAGTAGAACAACAATATAATATATGCGTGGGTGTACATAAATATTTTGTTCCTACCTCCCAGACGGCACATATTCTCATATGCACCCTCTGCACTTGCTCCCCAAATAGAAGACGCTGTATCAGATAGAAAGAAGATAGAAAGAGAACAAAATATTACGCTCGCCATCTCAATATCGAGTACATAATTATCAATATTATGTCGCATTAACCTATAACTGCTCTAATTATAAAATGGACTTCAAGTTTTCTTTCATTTTAAAGTTCGTCTGTACATAGGATTGCACGGATTTCGAATAATAATACTAGACCTCGTTTCTTTTTGTTGTACATGTGTGTATTATACATTCACATAAGCTTTTTTCCTTTTCCAAATGGTCTTTGTCTAACTGAAATTTCCAAGAAATCTGAGAAAAATTGACACAAAGTTAATACATATTTGAAATCTTGCATTGCATTCGGACTACCTTAACTTTACCACTCTCAGCTGGTGTCAAATTTGCAGGAAAAGCTACAAGGCCTGTAGACTGCAGTCTACAACTATAGTCAAACAGTTCAAATCCTCTGTTTCTAACTACGAATGGTGTGTGCCTGCAGAATGGCTGGCCCCCTTCTCACAACTTAATATTCCGACACCGCCCATGCTTCAAATAATGAAAATATTGTTATAAAAATACTTTATATTAGCATAAATATAAAAGATGTCTTCTTTGTCATAAACAATCGCAAAAGACTTTCGTAATATCAACCAAAGGCACTTGTTATAGCTTTGTGCAATACTATCTGAAATGTGTAAATGATGAAATGATGATTTAGTCTTAATCCGAATATTATTTCTAAGGGATATGCAATATAGATATTGCTCTTCGATGTGATTTCTTTTAGTCTTTTCCAACGTGTTCTTCATGAATGGATAATTACATATAGTATGTAGAGGCACGGAGACATCCTTCAGAACAGCGCCATATAATTCCAGTTTGCTGAGTGTATCCTTCAATAGCTTAGTAACGGCTGCATCAGCACCTTCCATAGAGAAACCTTCTCCTAAGATTCCTACTTTCAGTCCGTTGATGTTTAAGTTCTCCAACTTTCATTTAAAATAGACATTTTCAATAAAAGAATAACAACTATTAATTCCACAAAAAACACCCACCTTGAGAACACCAACATTCAATCTTTCACTGCTTTAGTTCAGCGACTATTGTGTACAAATTGACATTCTCAATAAAAAAATAAAAATATAATTAAATTTCCATATAGAGAAACCTTCTCTGATTCTGAGACTTCCAACTGTTAGGCTTTTGATCCTTCAGTTCTCCAACTTCCATGTAAAAAAACAAACAATTTTAATAGAAATTTCAGTTTTGCTTGCATTAAGTTCTTTTAAGCGTGCAAGACACAAGGTTCCGCCTTCAAAGAATCTTGTGCCATATTCCACTTCAACACATGTTTGTTTTAGTTATCCTCGTATCTTCAGTGGAACATCTGATTTTTTCCACATTCCTCCTATTCTTAAAAGTTAAGCATCCCCCCCCCCCCCTCTCGTTGAATAATTTATGCAGATCATTGTTATCAATAGCTTACTAGATCGAATGCGCTTTATAAATTCCTTATTTACAAGTAATGTTCTTAACTACGTATTCTGATATCACTATATAAATTTTGTTGGACTATAAATCATTTTGATAACACATAAACCACATTTGCAATAAGATTAACTGTGAATTATTTTCATCTGCTATTTTCATTCACTACTTGATTAACTGACAGAAAAAATATATTGCCCTGACGGACAGAACACTTTTTATTTTCGTAATCTTTTTTATTTTTATTTTATTCAATTTCAAAACCATACAAATACTTCTTCAAAATACAATGATTTTTCACAACCATACTGACCTCCTTGGTGTATTGCGGCACAGTCATATGAGGATGTTGTCTTGCATCCATGCCGCCATCATAACCTGCAATCACCTTAACACATGAACCAATAAATTACGTAAGTAAAACCGAATTCCTATAGGAGCATTATGATATAATATACTGGTGAAGGCTTTTGACTCTTGTACAAGATTTTCTGGGTTCGATTCTTGTTCGGTGCTTAGTGCTTACATCCTAGGGCAAGGTACTTTACCCACACTTGTCCCTCTCAGGTGTACATGTAAATTGATAGCTGGCAATGCTGGGGTTTTAGGGCCTGCAGGAAGAGCACGATTAATACCGAAGTGGCTACCCTGAGTAAATAACATCCGATTAGTCATTATTTATTTATCATAAATCCTAAATTAAATGTGAATTGCCTATCAAGCAGGACATTTTTATTTTGCATGGACCAACACACTAAAGACAAATAAAAACACTGGCTGGAAACCACATTCACTGAAAACTAAAGCAAAAGTCAGATTTTTACACGCTGATTACGTGGTCGGGATAATTAGCTCAAATTAATCTACTCTCTGTGCTCATCACCCAGCTTTCAAATGTTTTCAATAAACAATAAACATCGTTTACAAATATTTTGTATTAGTCTATAATTCCAAAACATTCAGTATTACTTTCGTTACAGCCGTTTAAAATATATTTCCCGTCATCGTTTACAAATATTTTGTATTAGTCTATAATTCCAAAACATTTAGTATTACTTTCGTTACAGCCGTTTAAAATATATTTCCCGTCATAAGTAAGGCGGTATAGATATCCTTTAAGATGATTATGGATTGAGATATGGCTATGATATATTTTCAGGAAGTAGTACTTCTGAATTCCGATGTTCAAAATCATAATCAAAATATAGAATTTACGCAAAACGATTTGTGGCTTTTCTCTTCATACAGAGATTTGCATCAATGGTTTTGTTTGTTTGCCTGTTTAGTTTGTTTTTCTTCTTATTTAGACTTATGAAATTCAAAGCAATAACGAATACATGCATTCAATAACATTTCCCCGATCCCTATTAGTTGTGACAATATTATAGAAATCTGCTTCGAGAGGCCTGGCTGTTTTATATGCTCAAGAGAACGCACGCACATCTTGCCATGACCCAGAGGCGCGCCTGTTCCGATCATTTGGGAATCGCAGACAAAAAACACTGTATGGTATAAAGGAAATGGTTAACACGTTAACCAACGGGTATCGCAGCAAAATTTTACTATTTTCATGGTAACCAGAATTTTGAGGGATCTCACTCTTGGACTATTAACCGTTATTGACATTTTTCGTTTATTAACGGGACTATACTAACTTCAAGGAACAGCGCACAATCGTGGACGGTCCTAGTCATAGGCCCAAGATGGTCGAGGGACATCTCAATGCCCATGGCTCCTGTGTAAGGGACCAGACCATAGGTGGGCTTGAGTCCTACAACACCGGTCCAGGCTGCAGGAAGACGGATGGATCCTCCCTGGTCACCACCAATAGCCATGTCCACCTCACCAGTTTGAACCTGTAGTGGGTGTCAACCATAACATGAACATGCATTTAGATTTTAAAGCAGTGGTTAGCAAATTGAATCGAAAATTTATTCACTTTATTCTCATAATCAAATTCTGGCAAAGTGGATTCAGATGGTTGGACTATGCATATTAGACTTAGAACGGACCATGAAAATATGCCCCCCCCCCCCGTGTGCCCCTCCCTAATCGAGTGGTGAAAAAAAAAGAAAATAGCAAAAAGCTAGAAAATAGCAAAAAGCTAGAAAAGAGAAAAAACAGAAAGGGAGAAGGGGAAAGTATAGAGACACCTGAACCACCGATCGCACCCTCTCCTAACTATAGCCTTGTCAATTCTCCTTTAGTTACCCCCCCCCCCCCGACGTCCTAGTAGGAGGACCAACATTATTCATTTCACAATACATGATGCACGTGTAATGTCCTCTATAAAGGACAATATAGTATATGACATGCTTTAAAGCTAAAAATGAATAAATATATGAATGCATAAATAAATAAATAAATAAATACATTTAGAAATAATCAAAACATAAATCAATAAATGAGTGACTAAATAGAGGAATGAATAAATAACTTTATAAATAAATTGCACTTACCACTACAGCGCTTCCTGAACTTGATCCTGCAGTAGCACGCGTAGGGTCATGTGGGTTCTTGACTGGTCCTTTGGCAGCCGTGCTGCTACCTCCCGAGAAACAGAGATTCTCACATACCGATTTACCCACGATTGTGGCTCCTAAAAAGAGAGGAATTATATTTATTTTAATTCCCATTTATTTTTTATTTTTCTTATCAAGCTAAACCTCACCTCAGCCTCAACGATATTTTTTTCTGACACACACAAATTATAGTACAAACAAACATAGCCACTAACGAAAGGTAACAGACAAAAAAAACATTTGAAAAGACAAAGTAGTTTTGAAAAAAAGATGTAGCATATATTTTAGAACTCGTTAGTATTGGTCGGTGAAAACTGAAAACAAAACCATTCACTTACAGTTAATGCACTTGTATCCGCTATCATTATACATATCGTAAATGCATACATGCAGTTTGGAAAGCGAGTATATTTGGGGGCTTTTTGGGGCAGGGAAAGTGAATTACATTTCCCTGTCTGGAGTACAAGTTTTGTACCCCAAAAATTGGGTATAATAGAAAATGAAGACCTCTTAAAATCATAAACAAGATAAAAGTGAAAGGCCGTCATGCAAATTTCTATTGATATTTGATATGATACTTATCATTCCTAAACTGGAGAAAGGATTTGAATCTCACCACACATAGTCTTGGTAGCTAACTAGATTTTTTTAAATAAAGAAGTAATCCTGCCAAATTAGATTGTTCTAGTACGTTTTCGGTACAGTAGGTAAGTATATTTTATGGTATTTTAATAGAAGAATCTTCCATTTTCCGCACCTGCATCAAGTATTCTGGTAACGACCGTTGCATCAAAGCTGGGTGTGAATCCTTCCAGGGCGTGGCATCCATTCATCATCGGAATCCCTGCCAACGCTACGTTATCCTTGATAGCGACTCGTTTTCCCGCCAATTTACCACCACTGGCTCCCTTGATCTCGCATCTCCAGTACCTTACATCATTGAGTCAGGGCGGGGAGGGGGAGAGGGTGTAAAGCGAATACAAGCGAGTAACGGTTATTTTGTTTTAAACATAATTATGTAGGCCTACCAGTCCTGTACTTCCGTATGCATCCAAAATTTGTTAACGCCTGTTATACGTGATGACTATTACTATTGTTATGATAATTATTATGATCATTATCATTATTGTTATTGTTATTATCATTATTATTGATACTTTCACTTTTATTATCATTATCATTATTGTTATTATTATTATTATTATTATCATCATTATCACTATTATTATTATTATTATCATTATTATTACTATTACGACTACTATAATCATCATCATCATCATCAATAGTTATTCGCCTTTTACCATGCATTGTAGGGGTTGTCCACTTGTTCTGGCCTGTACCCTGGAAGTCTGGGATACTTTGTTGGCAACTTCGGCTCCACGATATCTTCCGTGCTGTTGATTCCTTCGATGTTTCCTTTAATCGCTCCGTGAAAACCCTGGCATTTTGATAATATAAAACAGCAATTAATGATAATGAGCATTTGCAAAACGCCATATCGATTTCTTAAAATTGCTCAAGGCGCTGGGAGGGTACATGGAAAGTATAAAATATTATTAATGTAAATTGCAGTTCAGAGAACATAAACAATATAATTAAAAGTAAAACATTTAAAAAAGAGAAGTTGACATAAATATAAACCAAAGAAAAATATAGGCCTATGAATGACAAAGATGAAATGAGAAAAAATTGAATTAATCAATATCAGATTTATTTTAAAAATCCCGATACCCTTTGAGCTGAATTGTTCCATGTTCGTAAAAGAAATTCGTGCAATTAAATTCCTGTCATAAGATTTTCCTATCGACATTTGCTTCCTCATACCCCGCCCCTCTTTCAACGAAAAATATACGTGGGGTCGGAGGTGGAACCACCGCGGGGCGGGGTGGTATTCGACACGTCTCCGCCCTCCTCCCAGTTTGGGACAACCCTGGATCCGCCCCTGTGTGAGCTAGGACACCTACCTTGAGTTCATCATCTTCCATGTGTAGACCCATATCCCGGGCGATATCGGAGAGCTGAGCAAAGGTCGGGCATCTTACCATGGGACTAGAAAACAGCTCTGTTTAGGATTTCGTAAGGAGAAAAACTGGTTAAGTAGAGTTAAAGAAAGAACGAGCGTGTCTTTTGTTTTAAAGAAAATTGGGATTTTTGCCGTGTTAGGTGAAAAAACAGAGGACGGTATTCATGAAACCAATAACAACAACAACAACAATAATAATAAGGAAAATGTTTAAATAATAATAATCATCATCGTCGTCATAATAATCATCATCGTCGTCATAATAATCATACTAATACTAATCAGTACCATCAAGTGAGGGTTGGTGATTCGTGATTCATCTAAATGCTTTCATATTCTTTTCAAAGCGATGACTAATTTCCATCGAACTCTTTCTTGTTTTCAAATCAAAAACATGCGTTTGTTATACCAATTCGTATATCATTACATTATCATATTCATTAAGCAAGGATATACATAATGATAGGACTAAAACAAAATAAAACAGCTAGAATGTAATCTTTCCTCGCAGTAATGGAGCACAGGTGACTATTTTTCTTGTCATAAACAAATTCGATTGTTATAAATGACACCGTGGTATAAAACTTACCACGTATCATCACATAAAAATAATATTAAGTTATAGAAGAAAAGAATAATGTTAGAACGAAATGTCAGAAATAATATGACCTCTGCTCAGAGTAAGACCGTGCATGCGACCTAGGTATCAAAGGTAATATCGAAATGTTAATTGTAAACCGCGGCACTAATGTCCTTTGGCAAGACATCAATGTACCTTTGTCACACTCGACCCAGGTGATGTAAATGGGCAGGCGCGCCGGAAGCAGTTTGGGATGGGGGGGGGGGGGGGGCAAACACATTCCAGGGGCAGTGACGTAATGAGAAAAAAAGTTCGAAGGGGGGGGGGGCAGACGAAAAATCTGCATCACCACCAGTCTTACACGTTACATGCAGGTCCCGCGGAACGTTTTTCAAAGTGGAGTATTATCGATCAGTTAGAGCGTAAATTGGCGTGGGGTCCAGGGCATGAGCCTCGGCAGGGGGTCAAGGGGCTGAGCCCCCGGAAGCTCAGGGGTTTTAGGTATTTAATTACAGTCAGATGAGCATCCAGGGGCCCGCCTTAGGGCCCTTGGTGGGTTCCAGGGGGCAGAGCTTCCGGAAGCTCAGGGGTTTTAGGTATTTAATTACGGTCAGATGAGCATCCAGGGGCCCGCCTTATAGGGCCCTTGGTGGGGTCCAGGGGGCAGAGCCCCCGGAAGCTCAGGGGTTTTAGGTATTTAATTACGGTCAGATGAGCATCCAGGGGCCCGCCTTAGAGCCCTTGTTGGGGTCCAGGGGGCAGAGCCCTTGGAAGCTCGGTTTTTTTTAGGTATTTAATTACGGTCAGATGAAAATCCAGGGGCCCGCCTTAGGTCCCTTGGTTTGGTCCGGGGGCGGAGCCCCCGTAAGCCCTGGGGTTTTAAGCATATTTTAATTACGGTCAGATGAGCATTTTTTATACCTTATTTGTGACATTAGCAGGTCACTTATTTTTTTTTCTCCGTCTTTCTTTCTTTTTATCTTTAACATACTTTTTCAAAAAGGAGGGGAGGGGGGCTCGAGCCCAGCCACTTTGAAGACCATGACATAAAGGCTTCTAAATAAGCGTATTTCGCTTGACTGTAATTTGGGAATTTCTTATTTTCCAACAAACGCATAAAAAGGTATGACTTACAAAAAAAAAATGGAGAAAAAATGCCGGAAAATCATGTCACAACATCAATATTTGTTAATTTCGAATAAGAAATACATCACCCCCCCCATAAGTACGCCAGCGTTCAGGGGCTCATGTCTTCTCACCCCTATAACAAAAAAACGGACACGCTTTCCCATTCTCGCACAATATGTCCACGATATGCGCGTATCGCTATTATAGAGACCTACATTGATAAATACCGTATAGGTGGCATGCGCAATGTTTATGAAATTTAATTCCTGTGAAGTTTCCTTTAACTTTGAATGGAATTATAATGTGATTTAATTCAGGTTTTTATTATTGTTACGTTCTTTTGGATTAAAAATACAAACCATGTTTACTCCTTTACTGTTTTTTTTTTTTTGGAGGGGGGGGGGGGGCGTTTTTAGGGGACAAAAATGCGTTTTGCCCCCCCCCTGCCCCCACTTCCGGCGCCTATCTTCTCACCCCTATAACAAAAACACACACGCTTTCCCATCCTCTCACAATATTTCCACGATATGCGCGTATCACTATTATAAAAACCTCCATTGATAGATATAGGTGGCATGTGGAATGTTTAGGAAATTGAATTCCTGTTAATTACTTTCCTTTTCTTTGAATGGAATTTTGTATGTGATATAATTCAGGTTTTTATTATTGTTATGTTCTTTTGGGTTGAAAATACAAACCATCTTTACTCCTTTACTGCTGTTCTTTCTTCTTTTTTTGGAGGGGGGGGGGGGGGCAAAAATGCGTTTTGCCCCCCCCCCCCCCCCACTTCCGGCTCCTATGTAAATGGGTACCTGGCAAGAATTAATTCTTGAAATGCTAGAACGCCGTAATACCAGCCATGCTAAAGCCGTGTAATAATTGCGGAGCGCCAGGAGTGTCAAGTCTGATAAACATGAGCGCTATACAAGAACCCACTATTATTAGTAGTAGTATTACAAACATATTTTTATTACAATTATGAATGGTTCAACTATATACCCCCTACGTACCCCCTCTGCTTTTCTTTGTTGATTCAATCCAAAAGAGAAAACAACATCTTTGGCATGACATCACGGTCACCAGGTATAATGAAATGGAATAACTGCTAATCACTGGAACACATCCCGAACACGGGTGAAGTTGAGTTCTGGTCATGCGATTGCATTGTGAAAGAAACGGTGTGGAACCGACCAGAAAAGGTTTATCATCTAGCATAATAAGAATTTGTGTGTATTGCAAGGTTCTGGAATCATCAAAATGATAAGAAATTTGGCCAAGTCTTGGTAAAATTTCTTATCATTTTCACAGAAAGATGTATATGGGACTACACGAACACGTGGCGTAAAAAGCCGGCCCCCGCCCCCCCCCCCGATTTTTACGATGTTACATGCATATTTAGAATATGAAGGCATATTTGAAGAGCCATGCTTTTCAGGGAACATGTCTTAACTGATGTTCTCCCATACTTGCATAATAAGAATGAGTAATATTCACAAATTATTTTTCACCTCTTCCCAGAACTCAACTAGAATCTAAAAACCGTAATTTTAGCGTTTTGAAATATGAGAAATGTGGAAAATATGAGCAATATGGAAAATGTGAAAAGACGCTGCATCCTGCGATAAAGGTATACTGTGCGTTAGGACTGTGCGTATAAACAGGCCTGTAATACACATAGTGTGTGTTTTCTACAAACAATTTCTCCCACTGTATTTTCGGGCAGTATTGCCGTTAACATGCAGGGAGACATAGATCTACATGTATTTTCTACTTATATTATTGAGCCTGTACACACTCACAATCTAAGCTTTTACACTTTGCCTCAATGAATCATACATGTACACTCCAATGCTCACATAATTTTTAGGTAAGTAAAATATTATAGCTTACTCTTATTCCTCTGTAGGTCTTTCACGGCTGCTATCTTTTCTGCCATTGTTGGAGGGTTTTTGTATGTCGGCGAGGTCTGCTAGCTATTTAAGATATAATAAGCCTACTACAGTATCGAGGTCAGAATCATAATATGCACATAATGCACGGGTCGAGCTCGAGCTCGGCAGAAGGTTAGTATACTGTGTGGCTGAGGTATTTACAAGGTACGTGCAAATGAACATTGAGTTTCAATTTTTGTGTTGTGTGTATAAAAAACGTTTCAGTGAGCAAAATTTCCTGGGAAAACCTCGATGTTAAAGGTCTTGAAGAGGTAGATATATATGTATTATTTAATTTACTTTGCTTATATTACCCTTATATGTCCTCGGGTGTATTGTTGGATAGTTTAAGGAATCGATCTGTATGGCCCTCGGATGGACTATGGCCCCTGTTTTCTATATGCATAGTCCATTTCGTGATAAACCGAGCTTCGATAATAGAGACCTTTAGATTTGCGTGGACTGATACGTGTGACGTCCATTCAAGGCAGTGCATTATAAGGACGTCGATCGTAGCAATCCACGTTGTCGTTGTGCAAATCTAAAACTCCTTAATCAGGCCCTTGTCCTTGCTCCTGTCACGCGATAATCATCTGTCAGTTTAGTACGGTTCCATGTACTGACTCAAAAGCAAGCATAAACGTACATGATACATGATTATGTTCGTTACATAGCCATATTGACAATATAGTTAAATGTATATACAAGACTTATAAAATAACGTATAAAACAAAATGGAAAGTTTGCAAATGGAAGGAGCTTTAGAAAGGTACTCTAGTAAGAAAAGGCCCTACTGGTAGAAAAAAAAAACATGAGCATATAATACGGAAGAAGGAGACGAAGCTAGCAAAAGGAAACAGAAAACTATGCAGGAGAAAGAGAGATGAAGAGAAATGGAGTAGACAGGGAAAGAGGAAGAGGGGGAGGAAGAAGAGAAAGAGAGCTAAAAGAGAAACATCTAATGAAGTATGGAATACAAGACAATAATTATTCAGTTACAAAAACCATATACATGTACATATACAGACTGTTACAAAGGGACAGTGAGTGATATTGTAGTAACTCACTTTAAAGAAAAATTAGCATTGTATAATACAGGTTCTGGTGCCTGTCAGAATTAGTCCGTCGTGTACATACCCAAGGCAGAGCATTTTCGTGTGTGAAATATTTAAGTTTATGCCCATATTCTGCAAAGTCTGTGAGTAAAGCGAATCGAGACGACGGTCAATTTTGGGAGAGATTTTCCATTAGGTATTGCAGTGTATATTTTCTAACTGAACACCAAACGACCGTGATCGTATCCAGGCTCTCTTGCCAAAGTCCAAATGAGTGTATGTGATTGATTTCGCAGGTGAATCTTGATTCTTGACCCATATTGCCCTTTGCACACGGAGTTTTATTTATTTATTTATTTATTTCTGATATTTAGACAGGGTGACTCATTATCACTTCGATTGTGTTTGTATACCTGCGACCCCCCCCCCCCCCCCCCCCCCAACTCAGTGTTATTTGGTGTACGCGTATTCATGTTCCCTCCCTTTGAAGTCCGGTGTGTAAAGTCAATACGGGCTGATTTTGTGTGTATTACGAGCCGGACTTTGTTGCGTGAAAAGTACCCCTTTATCGGAGATTTTGGGAACATGAATGCGGTCCCTCCCCGGCCCCCCCCCCCCTCCACTCAGTGTTATTTAGGGTACGCATATGCGTGTTCCCTCTTTTTGAAAACACCCCCTAAGTCCGGTGTGTAAAGTCAATTTTTTGTATGTACGAGCCGGACTTTGGTAACATCACGCATGCGGTCATTCCGACCCCGGAGTGGGGGGGGGGGGGGGGGGGGGGGGGGGGGCGGGGGTCCCTCCTTTCCCGGTAATTCAAAGCAGTGTTTAGACAGTGTTCATTTTACATTCCCTTCATGTACGATATCATTCATACAAGTCATAATGCATTAGAGTCACTGACGCGATACTACGTCAGTCATAAATTGACGCCTTGTGCTCAAATTATGACTGACCCCCCCCCCCCCAAAAAAAGGCCGTAATTTATGCCTTTGGATTTACATTTCATTTGCATCGAATAGTACAAACCATCCTAAATAGTGGTCCCTTAAAATATTGTCTAACAAAAGTTTTAGAAGATATTTCAATAATATTCAATGTAAACTTCTTCAAAATCACTGTTTTTAATCAACTGTCTGTGCTAACAACGTCTTGATAATTTAGCCACATTTAGTGAATGAAGTTGACCGATTTGTTACTATTGCAGACAGAAGTGCGTATTCCAGATTTTACATTGCTGATTAAAGATGGCGTCAGACAAGGAAGATGGGGAACAAGTGGACAACAAGGGTAAGATTTGTTCCCTTTTACTTTCCTTGTTCAGTTGGACTTTGTGACACGATTCGATTTTACCTGACTCAGAATGGCCTAATTGATTTTTGATAGGATTTTCTATTAAAAGGGGAATTCGTTTAGGTCTGCCAGTATTACATTTTTTTTTTAAATTGTTGTATTCTGGCGTAGTCGATACTATAATCATGATAGTATCATACTGCGGGGCCGACAATTTGTAATACGTACGGTATTAGGTCACACTAAAATGATTATGTCCCTGGTGTAAACGGTGTTATCACAAGTTATACAAGTTTTCCAGGTTTGCACTGTGGTGCGGCAGACAAACAGTAATTCTTTCTGTAGTACTGTGTTATTAGTCAATACTGTGAAGTTCCCCCTTTTCACACCGTTGTCACACGAGCATTAGTCTCATTGATCAATCGGACTATGATGCTATACATTTGTTTACAAGTGGAGACCAAACAAATATCTAGGTGCACAAATAAATCACATTTTCAACAAAAAATGAAATCGAATCGAATTGCAATATAATTATTAATTTTATTTCAACAACAAAATGGATAAACATGATTAAATTTGTATTAATACGTCAGTGATAATGATGATGGTGATGATGGTAGTGATGACAATGGTTACGATGATGATAACGATGATGGTGATGAAGGTGATCATAATGTTAAGGAAAGAAGAACCAAGGCTTTAACACGATCATAAAACCTTAGTTACATCTAACATAACACTGTCTTCGTCAAACTAGAGTTATACAGCTGTCCATCTGTCGTGAATCCCACCACGGAGCAACTTACCGACATTGCAACTCGTCTGGGCTTTCACATGGACGACGTAGAACTAAAGGTAATTGCTTCAGTTTTTTCTTGGTTTCATCGGTGTAGCGTGGGCCCAGCTATTGAGGAATGGAATTGCGTACTAGGGGGCACTGTCCTTTAGACTATAGGTGGATGAAATGCGAGGGAACAAAGCATGCGAGTGAAGGGAGTTTGAGAGAGGGGGTCGTTTCAAATCCCTTTCACGTTACATTCCCACTTTTCTTTCGCGAGCGCTCTCTCTCTCTCTCTCTCTCTCTCTCTCTCTCTATATATATATATCTTTCTCTCTCTCTATATATATATATCTTTCTCTCTCTGTTTCCCATCCATTCCCCCTCTCCCTCATTACTAGGCTTACGCTACGCCTCTGATATCACTTTCACTTTGTCACTATGAATAATGCGTGATTATTATTTCTTCAAACTCCCCAATATTTCAAGTACCAGTCCGCATTGCTTATAGATTAGATCCTATGTTACTGGTATAAGATCAAGATTATATACTTCATGATTTCATTTAATAGATATAATAACCAGACTAGTAAGCGGCGAAGCCTTGTCCGTTTCCTACATCATGTCAAACCACCATTACTATGAAATATGATATCATGATTGTGTTGTATGTACGAATGGAATTGAAGTCAATCGAAATGTGCACTTTGTACCTTTATTGTTGAACAGGCATATCAAATGATGATCAAAGGAAATATTGATGCGATGAATAGCATCGAACATTTGGTCGAACCGACATTGACTACCAAATACCCAAGACTTCCAGGTCAAACACCGTCCAAAGCCGACAACTCTTACAATGCTTGGTAAATACGAGGCATCCTCTTTATGCATTTTCCTTTCTGTTCGTTTGTTTTATTTTGTTTTCTGTTGATTTTTTAGCTGATGAATGTGCTTCATTGTATTTCCACATGACTTGTACTCATGGCAAATTTGTTAACATCCAAACACTACTGATAAGCAAGGAAAACAAAGTCTGTAATCAATTAACTTCAGCTAAGAAAACGATCGATCCATTTCAGATTCTGAGGACAGAAACATTAACAACAGCAACAAATTTAGGTAAGGGTTAATCCATTTCCCCTTTTTTTTGGGGGGGGGGGGGGAGGGCAGGGCAAATCCAAAGAAATTTTTCTCATACAATCGCAAAATATATAGTAATACATTTATCCCTTTCGCATTATGTTTATAGCCCTATACTTTGTACAATTTGGCTTAGTCCAGATATCGAGGAAAATGATACTTACAATGTACCTTGTCTTAATTCGGTTCATTCTTCCATAATGTTTGGTATGGAGGGGCACAAAAAACCTAAACTAGTTCACACATGCCTGGTAGTATCTGTTTACAAACTGTTCACCAATACACTATAAGTATGCGGAAAGGATTGCTCTCTATATACACCTGGGCAGCGTTTCGCGTAACCGTCATAATAGGGACTTTTAGATTTGCACAACGACAACGTGGATTGCTACGATCGACGTCCTGTTAATGCACTCTCTTGAATGGACGTCACACGTATCAGTCCACGCAAATCTAAAAGTCCCTATTGACGTTCGCCGACATCCCATTGAAAAGCGTTTTAATAGAATGTCGGTAAACTCGTACTTATGAAGGTTTTGAGAAACGTGGCATTTGGCCCCACGACCCAATCTGACGCCCCTTGTCAATGCCGTCACCCCTCTCCCCGCACCTCTCGTCATGCAGTCCATGATCTGTAACGTTACCCTTGATCTTTTACTGTACTACAAATAGGTTCATATGGAATTAATTTGAGTTATGAATATAATGAATTATTTGGGGTTCACATGATCCTCAGGTCAAGAAACACTGTCTTAGGTAGTCCAAAGTCAATAATATTAATGTTACCATTAATAATGACTTCATTTTAGAAACAAACACGTTATGAAACATTACAATGATTTATAAAAATAATGATCAAGTAAAACAGAATATTACTATTACAAAGCAACAGCATTAATTTGGTATAAAACAATAAGGTTAATGTTACCATTAATAATGACTTCATTTTAGAAGCAAACGTTATGAAACATTACAATGATTTATAAAAATAATGATCAAGTAAAACAGAATATTACTATTTCAAAGCAACAGCATTAATTTTGTATAAAACAATAAGGCCGAAACATTATCAGAGAAGTAACATTCACTGAACTCTTCAACGCAGCTCTTATTTTTTTACTGGGTCAAGAGGAAATATCAGGGCAAGCTGACCTCATGCCTAAGGACACAAGTCTGGCCGGAGGTAATTGAGTTGCTAGGTGCCGCGCACGCGACTGAAAGTTGATATAAGGTCAAATGATTATGCTGGAAGAAGATTTATGAGGGACTTTGAGATTACGTAACATACTGTGACAAAAAACTATGGCTGGAGGAGCTCCAGGCGATTAACGCGGTGTGGCCTGAACGAAAAAAAGGCAAAATACCGCACGCGACTGCGAATGTCTTTTACGAGACGTTGATAATCCGGTAATTCCTTGGTCTTACCAGGGTCCATTACTCCATTACATGGTCTACCAAGGAGTCATCATACATATGAAGTAAAATACTGTCGAATCGTCCGAGGGGTGGGTAGGCATATCGTGACGGTGGTAGGATTTATCTTTAGCTTCTTGGTAGGCCTAGTAAAGGCAAGACTTATTTTGGAGAAGATCGAGTAAGGAATAGGCTAATCACCCATCAAATCCAGAGTATTACAATCATGTATTCATAGATGCCCAAGATAAAAGTGGTTGGAACGTCATCATCAATAGGGTCACAAAGGGTCAGTCGTGACTCGAGTGGGACGACGACGACGATTCACAGACGATGATTCTATTCTGACAATATATATGGTAATGAAATAACCTCAGAGCCTATAAAATCCTCTTTTTTAACCAGGGCCCGTCGATGTGAAATTCGTGGTGCCGATCGTGGTAGATTGACGGGAAAACGAATAGCCATCAAAGATAGCATCGCTATAGCATGCATGCCAATGATGAATGGTAGTCATGCCTTGGAGGGTTTTACACCTAGCTATGATGCAACGGTGGTATCTAGGGTGTTGGACGCAGGTAAATATATTGTGATGACCAGTTGCGAAGCAAGGGCCCAGGTATTGAGGGGGCATATAGGAACCATTGGGGATGGGGGGGGTTCCGATGAAAACCTCCGTAGTCAATCCGAATTATCAACCTAAAACTCAGAACAACACCCTAACCCTAACACCTAACGACAAACCAAGTTGCTGCCTTAATTCGACAACTTTGCCAAGAAAAATTCCTTTGAGCACACGCCGGGTCACTAAGATAATGAATAATTCCTTCCCTTGAGCAATAGGTGTCCGTTGGAATTGATTTTTTGTTTCTTGTCATTATTCCAGAAAAATCAAGATAACCTTTGTTATTCATTTAAAACTTGATTACTACCAGTATTCATAATCACAGTTAATTGTATCCAACTTCCAGCATTTATATGTCCTAATGTCAGGAGGAATGTTATACATTTAGTGTTTTTTCTTGCACAGCGACATATCTAGCTCTCAACGATACCATTTACTAACACGAGATAAACTGGACAAAAGTTAGGGGAGAACAAAATATATAAATTGAGTAATACTTTGGTCGGCAACCAATACATGGAACTGTATATTTTCCCCTATTCTTAATAGGTGGTGTGATCGTGGGTAAGACAGTTTGTGAGGATATGTGCTTCTCTGCTTGCAGTTCTACCGCAGCTCAAGGTCCAGTACTCAATCCTCATGATACCACGCGATCGGCAGGAGGATCCAGTTCGGGCAATGCTGTCGTGGTAAGGTCTTCATTTTTAAAAATCATGTTTAGACTCTCTAAAAAAATGAAGGGAAAATCCTGGCTGATTATAACTAGATAACTAGATGATACACGCCTATAGGACAAGAGTTCCGATTTCTGCATTTGTTTTGGTTAGAAATAAATGACGCGATGAACCGCAGTTGTTTACCGCTACATAAACGGGACGAGGCTTTATACATTAAACGGACAACTGATGGTTGAGGGTTCGAATCACAGCTCGGCACAATATAGCGTCTTTTGGCGAGGCATTAATCCATATTTGCCACCCAAAGGCAGGTGTAAATGGGTACCTGGCAATTGCTTGATATTAATTGCAGGGCGCTCAGGGAGAACCGTATTGATGCTGATGAGACTTCCCTGGGTAAACAAAATTATTATTAAAACTTACAGACTACCACCCAAGAGAACTAGACAACTAGTCATAAAGCAACTAATGTTAAACAGTTAGCTCTAGGACTAGGACAACTACCCCTAGAACTATTGTCACAGACCATCGGAAAATTACCCTAAAATCGATATATCGTCTACTACCCCTGTTACACGAGAGTAGTTTTCCGGGAATATAGGTGTCGCATTTTTAAACATTTGGTTAGATACATGTGGAGGTTTGAAGGTTTCAAGGGTTATTTGTTTTGTCTCTCATGGATTCAAACATTAACAATACATTTAACATATTATATAAATATATATAGATTTTATATTTATACAAATTATTTTAGTTGCGATAGTCTTATTTAGAGAAATTTCGCCAAAACATATTTTCAGGACTGTTATTAACGAATGTTTGTTCTATTTATTCTTGACTGTGATGCGTGTACGGATTAAGCTGGCTATAGGGGAGGCAGACATGGCACTGGGTAGTGACCAGGGAGGGTCACTTCGAGTCCCCGCCAGCTGGACCGGCGTAGTTGGTCTTAAACCAACCTATGGGCTCGTGCCTTACACAGGAGCCATAGAAGGAGATCCTGCCATCGATCATATAGGGCCGATGGCTAGAACAGTAGAGGACTGTGCACTGCTCCTTGAGGTACGCCAACATTTACTCCTTTTTATTCTGATGAATTGTTTGGAATAGTGAAATACAAAGCAGACCAAAAGGGGACTTTGGTAGCAAACTGGTCCAGAGAAAAACAGGAAAGAAAATCAGAGAAGTAGAAAGGTGAAAGTTTGAATATAATCGGAAGAACACTGAGAGACGTATTAATTTTCTTATTGTAGGTCCGATTTATTTCAAATTTTCCCCATTCTGTTTATCTTATTTTTCTGCTTTCATTCAAATGAACTTATTACAAGGATCAGATTGCTCTTTTAGTGCGACTGAGAAGACAAAATAGATGTCTGATCAAATCGACTTCCTGGGGCGAGCAGATTATGTAAAAAGGAGTCATTATTTTATCTTGTCAATTCGACTTCCTACGGTAGAGGAAGACTGTTCTTATTCGTGGATTTGATGACGAAAGTGTGAGAAGACAAAAAGTCGATACATTTGCTAATCCCCACTCCACAAGGAATTTGCCAAGACAAGGTCATTGGCCGTGGATGTCTTGTCTTCTCGTTGGTACTTTTAACACTATTTAAATTAAACTTATGTAAGATATAAAAGCACTCTAGTTGATCGTATTATTTAGTCGCCGTCTAAATAAACCAATGTGAATTATCATATTGCATAAAAGTAAACTTTGATTTGTTTGGGAAAAAGTAACGAGAGTATTAATGGTAATGGTAAAAACTTTCAAAGGTAAATTTCTATACTAAATCAATGGATATTCTTTGTTGTTGTTGTTGTTGTTGTTATTGAGATTGGAAGTTCGTGATTCTTTTTAGGTGATAGCTGGGTATGACAGGGGATTCGATCAAAGACAACACCCAGATACAACTGTACCACAGTACACCAAGCAGGTAGCATTTAACCTACAACTTAATTACTCAATGATGTGATCAAATTCAAACAGTTCCCTACTTATATCTCTCATCACTGAAGTATTCGGAGAGCAACCACCCCCCCCCCCCCACCAAGATCAAATTTCAACAAATTAAACAAAATGGTATGGTGATTTGATATAGTAAGGAAATCATTTGTCAATCAATGAATTACTCAGCATCGTCTTGAAATTTGCACATATTGACAAGAATAGATAGTTTCTCAATAAGTTTCTGATCATACGCATTGTAACGTCGCACAGATATTAATACTATGTTGTGATGCCAAACTAAACAAATTTCGGGAATGGTTAATGGGGCATGGAGTTTATGTTTTTAGTCCATGTGAATATTGTATAACAGTCCAATGAATGGTTCTTTTTAAAATCGAAATAAAAATGTAAAATAATCGAATCAACATTGTGCTATTAGTTTTATTGTGTACTTAATAAATGCACCGAAAATAAAAATGAAAATGATTGAAATGTAACAATCTGATAATGTAAATAAGTGTACAATGCTCGCTTCACCCTTTCGTTAATTTGCTTTGTAATCTATGTCAAATTTTCGTCTGAAATATGTTTTCAGTTAGTGGGAGCGAGTATCAAAGGGCTGAAGATTGGACTGGTTGAGGAAGGGTTCGGGATGCCAGGGGCGGAAGAAGCTGTCAATCAATTGGTGGAAACCACGGTCAGAAATATGGAAAGTCTTGGCGCCATCGTGGAAAGAATATCTGTACCAATGCATTCCCGAGGTAAAATATTTATTTTTGTATGCCTAAAGTCTGGTGAAAAGTCAATCAGTTCATTTCGTGTCAAAATAAACTAAATCATGACAATGATAATAATGTCATAGGCTGTACCGGAATTTTAAAAGTGAGGGGGTAGGGGGAATTTGTAGCCAAGGAAGATGTTTGGGTTAATTTTATTATCGGACCATAACCGGAAAGGTGAGCTTCTTCACCAACTATACGAGGCCTTCAATCCTTATTTACAGTAACTCCCAAAACAAATTCGAAAAATTTGTATTTTGTTATACTAACATAGCCTAATACTTATCAGACGCTAGTATATAATGTTCATCTTTGACGAAGTGATTTCAAGGAAGTGGCAGTAATTTTTTTTTATTAGTTTACATCGCATTTCATACATGTATAACGGATTCATAAATTAGTTATTTCAGTGGCCTGTCTTTATTCATTAATTCGAATACAGCCAAAGACATATACGGCACTCTGGCTGAAGGTACAGGCGCTTATATGCAACGCCCTGCAGGTATGTAAACCATTATGGAGCGGCGTCACACGGGACTGGTCATTGATGGGATACTCAAGATTTATATTCAGAGACAAATAACTTATGGCCTACTTAACAGATTTTTAGTCACCTTTAGTTCTATTTCCTCTCGAAATATTACTCTTTGTAAGACGTGCAATAACCAACCAAACGATCCAATCAATGCCAAACCCAAACAATCAAATCTGTAAAACAGACAGGTGGCCAGTATTTACCTTCGCGTGTTTCTCAGAACTTGTTTTAATTTGCTAAACATATATGGGGTATATAGATAGGCAAATTCAATTCAGTTCTAGTATCCTAAGTAACCCTTATTTTCGTCCATTTCTTTTTTCGTACTAACAAAATGTGTTTTAAATTTTTAGAGCATATAATTATCAGTTATCAGATACGCCTCATAAAACATGTGTGTAAAACATGACTGTTTTGAAACTATAAGCTGCGTCCGATTGTGTTCCATTATTTATCTCGATGTACCCATTACGATCAGATGATTATCTAAGATATAAATTTGCTGGAAATGACAACTGTTGTTTTATTTCCCACACTACTCTTTTTTTGTTGTGAATTATTGAGATATACACCGAATTCGTAGTATATAATGATATCCATCTAACGTTATCACAATAATGAGAAATGAATTGTGTAAGTATTCGTATGACCGCCATAAGTGCATTCGTAAAAGGACAATGCACTTGGTAGGTAAACAAGTTCTTTTGTATGGAATAAAGACTTGATGAAACAATAATCTATTGTACCGATCGATGCTTTCTGCTACGGACCAAGACTAATTTTGTTCATATTTGTATGCGTTTTAAGGGTGTGTCGGTGCAGGTTTCTATCCATCCAGTCTCGTCACTGAGTTTGGAAAATTGTTTCACTCCAGACCAGACGATTTCCCGCTTACAATGAAAGTAAGTAGGCCTCAGATTAAACGTGTCGTTGCATCGTTAGTTCTTTCTCCTTGGATTCCCATCAAGAGGTTGAGAGTTCAAATCCGAGCTCGCGGCAATGACGTCATTTCAATTCAATCCAATTTCAATGTATTTATTTGTCAAATGTAAGTTCGACATGGATATTATTTTGTTTCGCTCACATATAGAATAAAGGCCCAGAAATGTTACGAAGAACGTAAATCGGTTACAAAATATGATGGCTATAATTTGACGATGATAAAATAATAAACCTACAAAATAGTAATTTTCGTTTGGTTATGACTTGTTTCGTTTCCGTAGATTACATAATTTAGCTATCTTCATGCATATATATATATATATATATATAAATGAAAATTATTAATTACTATTACATTTATACACATACACAAATTCAGATTTTAAACTGATTTGGAGCACATCGAAATAAATGTAATAAACGAGATATTTAAGAAAATAGATATCTTTTGGAAAGAAACATTTTTTGGCAAGACATTTTTTGGCAAGACATCGATCCACAATGTTTAGAACAACAATTGACGGAAAGCCCTAATGCAGATACTTTAGAAAAATTGGAAAATACAAAAAAGAAATTAAAGGAAGTTTATAGCTATGTAAATGAAGGAATTAGGATTCGATCACGAGCCTCGTGGTACGAAAGCGGAGAAAGGGATTCGCGTTATTTCAATCAATTAATGCAAAATAACAAAAGAAAGAGTACTATTAAAAAAATTAAAACCTCAGATGGTGCTATTTGCTGCGATGAAAAAAGGATAACTGAAGAAATCCGGAAGTTTTACAGCATGTTGTACAGTAAAGTAGAGTACGAGTGCTCGGATAATTGTTATAATAGTTTCTTTCAAGGTTTACCGAAATTGACTGAAAAATCTCGAAAATACTGTGAAGGATCTATAAGTAATAAAGAATGCCGAGAAATCTTAAAAGAATTAAAACAAAACAAATCACCTGGAAATGACGGTTTTTCTTCAGAATTTTATCGTACCTTTTGGCCGAATATTGGAGATTTAGTTAAAGATGCCTTGAATGAAGCATATAGATTAGGAGAATTAGCATCGTCTCAAAAACAAGCTGTAATTACGTTAATCGCTAAAGATGGGAAAGATCCCTTTTCACTGAAAAATTATAGACCCATTTCCCTTCTTAATGTCGATTATAAAATCTTAACAAAAATTTTGGCTAAGCGAATCAAGAAAGTATTAAATGAGATCATTATGGGAGATCAGGTGGGCTACATGAAAGGGAGGAATATTGGTGAGGCCATTCGCATTATAGATGATATTATTTTTCATACATCCCGTTACAATTTATCTGGTTTTTTGTTAGCTGTAGACTTCGAAAAAGCTTTTGACTCAATTTCACATCAATTTCTTCAAAAAGTTCTGTCGTCATTTGGTTTCGGTCCGTCCTTTCAAAAGTGGGTTAAAGTTTTATACATGAACACTCTAAGTTGTGTATTAAATGAAGGAGGGTCCACTGGTTATTTCAAAGTAGAAAGGGGAGTAAGACAGGGAGACCCTCTTTCTCCGTACCTCTTTATCTTGTGTATTGAAGTAATGGCACACAAATTACGAATAGATAAATTGGTGGACGGAATTAATTTTGGAGATAAGGAAACTAAACTAGTACTTTATGCGGATGATATGACAATTTTTGTTCGCAATAAAAAATCAATTAATAGGTTAAAAGTATTATTTGCAGATTTCGAAAAAATTTCTGGACTGAAAATAAACAACGACAAGACTAAAATATTAAGGTTAGGTTCATGTCAACGTTTAGATTGTGATTTTGCTTTTGGCGAAATAGTTGACTTTCTTAAGGTTTTAGGGATTTTCTTTTCCCTCGATGAACACAAGAAAGAAGATCTAAATTATAAAGAAATCTTAAGTAAAATAAAAACACTTTTAAATTTTTGGAAGCAAAGGGATTTAACACTTATGGGTAAGATTCAACTATTGAAAGTGCACATTTATTCTAAAGTTCTTTATCGGGCGTCACTTACTCCTGTTCCAAAATGGGTTTATGATTCACTGGATGAATTAACTTTTGATTTCATGTGGAAAGGAAAAACAGATAAAATCAATAGAAACACCATGTTCTTAGACTATAACCAAGGGGGGTTAAAGATGTTAAATTTTTCTGCACAAGTTAAATCGCAGCGAATTATGTGGATTCAAAAACTTCTAAACAAAGATGAAGACATGAAATGGAAACAATATTTTAACTTTGTCACTGAACACGTGGGTGGAGATTTGATATTTTCATGTGACTATATACCAAGTTTATTAAAAGTGACAGCTCCACAATTTTATATGGATTTATTAGAAGATTGGGTGAATACGAGACATATAAGGAGTATAGACATTGGTGATGTGGTAATTTTTAATAATAAACTTATTCGATATAAAGGAAGTTGTATATACGATAAGAGGTTGTATGACAAAGGAATTTACAAATTAAAACATATTCTGGAAAACGATGGTAAACTAAAAAGTGACAGGCATTTTATCGATTTAGGTGTTGAAGTAAATGAAATTGAAAAGATCAAGCACTTTTATGCCTGTTTACCAGTTTGTTGGAAAAATAATTTTAGAAAGGGAGAAGAAAAAAATAATTCTGGAACTGATTTCACTTTGGGGAAGAAAACAACTAATATAGCTGATTTGAAATCAAAACAAATTTATGTACAATTAATAAAGAAAGATGATTTTAAACCTCTGGTTTTTGAGAGAATTGGAAGGAACTATGGTTTTTCCTGTAAGGAAATAGAAAACATATTTTTAAGACTAAGACAGTGTACACTTATAACAGTCGATTAAGAGAGTTTCAGTTCAAACTTATACATAATATATTATATACAAATCATCACCTCTTCCGTTTTGGTCTTGTCTCGACTAACTTATGCTCATTTTGCGAAAAAGATGAAGAAACATATAAACATTTATTCTATACTTGTGAATTTGCACAATCAGTGTGGGAAATGTGCGCGAGATTTTTAGACTTTGAAATACATAACTGTAGTTTGGAGGAAATTCTGTATGGGAAAGAGGAGAGAAATAAAGGAAAATATCAATTAATGAATCATGTTTTAATTCTTGTTAAATATCTGATTTATAGAAATAGAGAACTTAAAAAACCACCCTCTTTTAATGAAATAAAGAATAGTATAATAGGGGATAAAATAGAAGAAAGGAAATTGGCAGCAATGAGGGGAACTCTCACTATTCATTTTTCTAAATGGGAAAACCTGAGTATTAGACAAACAATTGGAACCCAGAGCCAGTCGTCCACCGGTTAAGAGGGGGGGGGGGGATGGGGATAAGGGAGAGGTCGGGTAGGGTAGGGTTAACAAAAAGAGAAAACTTTTCTCTCAGGACAACAGTATAAAAAGAAGTATAAGTTGCTACATTGTTAAAACAAAACAAAATTGGATTATACAACTGCATATGTTTTCTTTGAAAATATGAATTTTTGTTTCAAATATGATGTATAGGAACTAACTATGTAAGTTTCTTTTGAAGCCGTTTGTAAGACAAAAATTTATACTGATTTATAATGTCATCACATTTGCAGTGAGAGTTACATATGATGATTGTAATTTGTACTATGATTATAATTTGTTTCAAGAGAGAAAAGAATAAAAACTGACCATAAAAAAAAAAAAAAACTCTCCAACTAGGTGTAATCGTAATGTAAATCGAAGTAGTTCCACTGACGAGCTACCTAGCAAGCTCGCTTAGTACATGACTTGTATCCTCCTGGTTGTGCTCATTGATCGACATTCTTACATAAAAATGTCTATAATGGTTACAAGGGCCGTTTTATATATAGGCTCGCTGAGTTGATAGTTCTCTGTCATCTCTCTCTCCCTCTTTCTCTCACTCTCCGTCCCCCTCCTGTCTCTCTCTCTCTCTCTCTCTTTCTCTACCTCTCCCTCTCTTGTTTCATATATCTTTGTTATATATTGGATAGATGGTCCTGATGCAGAGTGAATACTTGAGTAGAAATTACAAGAATCAGGTTCATGCGAGAGGGCGCAATCTTGTGTTTGGTCTTCGCCAAGCTTACGACCACGCCCTCGAGAAAGTCGACGTTCTCGCCTTGCCGACCACGCCCTACCGTACCGACAAACTCATGTATCGGGATGATACCCTATCAGGTGATAGGTCCTTATAATCCTTCTTTATTGGAAATTTCTATTTTTCATCAGGGTCCTTTTTGTGAAGCTAAATGGCAAATAATTGGATCTTACTATCCATGACAAACACAAGAAATATCCATTCATGATAATCTGATATTCTATATGTTGTTTCTTTGTTTTTAGTTTTTATTTTGTTGGCGTTTTTTGTTTTGTTTTGCTCTGTTCTATTCTGTCCTTTTTATTCCACGTTAGCTTGGTCATTTTTCATATCATTATGATACCTCGAATCTATTGCTCATTGATTTTTTTTTTCTTTCTTTAGAATTCCTCGGAAAGTGTTTTGGGATGACGACGAATACGGCGGCTTTCAACTTGTCCGGTCACCCCGCCCTCAGCGTCAATGCAGGCTTCCTAGAAGGTTTACCAGTCGGTCTTATGTTGGTGGGGAGACACTTCGATGAACTCACCATCTTTAAAGTCGCTCAGGCTGTCGAGAAAATCAGGGATGAGACGAAGTAGAACCAAAATAAGAACAAAAATACTGACCTGTTTGTCTCATGTTGGTAGCAAGATACTACGATGAACTTATACCGTCTTCAAAGTCGCTCAGGCTGTCGAGGACAAGAAGTAGAAACAAACTAAGAACAAAAATGTTGAACTGCCGCTTCATGTTGGTAAGAAGACACTTTGATGAACTTAACGTCTTCAAAGTTGCTCAGGCAGTCGAGCCAAGAATGAGACGAAGTAGAAACAAAATAAAAACAAAAATGTTGAACTGTCGCTTCATGTTCGTAGGAAGACACCGCGATGAGATCACCATCTTCAAAGTCGCTCAGGCCGCTGAGAAAATCGAGAATGGTTCAAAGTGAAAAATTAAAAAGAAGACTCAGTTTACCTGTTATGCCTAATATCGGTTTGAAGACATTGTGACGACACTGGCGGGTCCATGATTTCCTTGCGGGGAGGGCGGCACAACTGAGTTCGAAATTCTGTGATGAGCCCCCAAAACAGGTCATCAGGACGTTTAGCATGCCGTTTTGGCTACAAAAATTCCTGACAATAAATTTTAAAAAGTCCCATCAATCTTCTTTTTGCCCCCCCCCCCTTCCTCCTTGATCAATCCTAACTTATAAATGACAGGACGTTAAGGACTTTGGATGACTTTTAAAAAGGCCGCCTGCTGGATCCATTTTAAGAAATTACATCACTATAAAAATCAAGATCTTCAACGTCACTCATAATTATTAGGACATGATAGGAATGCGATAATTCAAAAACTAAAAGATATATCTCTCAAATTCATGCTAGGACGACATGGCAGGAATCGACTCAACTAAGAGGAAGTTATATTCTTCATAGACGCTCGGAGTGTGAAGAAACTACGTCATGAAACGAACTCGGGTCATTAGTTGGAATACATCTAAACACTAACCATCTTGGACTTGGAGATGGCGCAGGTTGTCGAGAAGATCAAGGATAGGACAATTTATTGAACATAGGCCTCCCTACGATAAAATAAATATAAACCACAAAGCTCGTATATAATGGGGCATTTTATTTGAAGGACTGCTTAAAACAATTGCCCGAGGTAATCTAGAAACTGAAACAGAAAATGACTATAGTTCACATTGTATACATTTTTATGAACAATCATGTTTATGATTTTTTTTTTGCTGGAAATAATAAAAAATAAACTATCAGGTATTCAAACTCAATGTAATATGCTTATTCTTTTCACTGTGTTCCATATTAGTAATATGTACATGTAATTTTAATAAATTGAATTATAATTTTGTGTATTTCTATCAGAAAAAGAGTTGTTGAGCGCTCAAAATGCAACAACAAAAAATCATACAGCTCGATCGCTTTGCTCCCTTGTATGTATTGCTTCAGGACCTCGTAATTTTTGCCCTATTAAATTGTAGCTTATATAGCGTTTCTAAAGGGTTAGAAAAATTCAAATTCTATTTGCTTTGCTCATTATATTGCGCCTCAATATACTGCAATGTAAAAACGGCATTTGTGAAGGTTCAACATTGAAGAAGAAATATATGAACTTCCTGTTACCTTTTTAAATTGTTTGACTATTATTTCTCCAGAAAGATCATTAAGTGTGTGACCCATAAAAGAAGAAGTAAATAGAAATCCGCTTTTGTTCAACATTCACAACTCCACTGCAACCAGGCATACGAGGCGGGAGAGGCTGGGGGCTCCCCTTATGATTTGTTTTCGAGTTCCAATAATCGGGCAACCATAACCTTTTATTCGGGCAACAATAAGCCCGAATGTCATTAAATGTTGGTGCTTGAATATCATTTTATTTGGAAAAAAAGGTAGCAACAAAGATCATGAATTTTGTAGATGAATTTCCGTGTTAAGTGTCCATTTTTTAACGGGATTATGTCGGCAACGAAATACTCAAAATTTCTCCTTTTGGGGCAGCAAGTATTTTGATGACGTAAGTGTTTTTGTTTTTGTTTTCTCCCTGCACCTCCTCTTTTGTGGGCATATTCTGGCAAGGTTTTGCCAAGGGCATTGAATGTCAATTTACATAGTTATAAGATTTAGTGATCAAGCAATATTATTGTTTGGTGACTTTTTTTTCATGACAACCAAAAGAAAATGATGATGCATCTTTAAAATATATAATATATAATTTTCGTAGTAATTAATGTTGAAGAATATTTATTTTAAATAATGTTTTAAGCGCATCTTGCTGCTGATTATGAGGTGATAGTGGCTCAAACAGGAACCGATCTCATATCTTGTGATTCCAGGCCAACAAAAAAGTGTTGTGGTCTCAGTAACTGACAGCATACGCAAGCCAGGAAGCCAGCAGTCTTCTGAACCCTCTGAAAAGTTGCTCATAGATGGCCCTGGAACCGACATTCTAATGGGCTGTCGAACCAGAGGCGGCGCTCCGGGGGGGGGGGGGGGGTCAGGGGGCACAGTGCCTCCCACTTTTTCAAGTACACCAAAAGTGCCCCTTTTTACATAGAAAAAGTGCCCCTTCCCCTTTCCACCTCTGATAAGTGCCCCTTTTATTTTGACACGTACCCCTTTTCCTGTGACAAGTTCCCATGTTCCTTGCAATAAGTGTCCATTTTCCATTCTCATAGGTGCCTTTTCTTAATCTCTAGTAAGTTCCCTTTTTTAGGTACGAGAAGCGCCCATTTTCACTTTTAGTTAGCGCCCCCTTTACCTCTGATAATTGCCCTATTCAAATCTGAGAGGTTCTCCTTTTGCTTTGACAAATTCCCCTTTTAATAATACCCCTTTTAAGCGCACTGCGCACCTTATATTTTCACATGTGCCCCCTTTCCTTTTTAATAAGTGCCCCTTTTCCTTATGATAAGTGCCCCCATTTTAAAAGAGTCCCTTTCCCTTCTCATAAATGCTTCTTGTCATCTTGGAAAATAGTTCATTTTCATTCTCATAAGTGCCCCTTTTCGTCTTTTGTAAATGACCCTATTCAATTCTGAGAGATACTCGTTTTACTTTGACAAGTGCCCCCTTCCCCTCCTGATAAGTGCTCTTTTCATCTCTTATAAATGCCCCTTTTATTTTGATAAGTCCCCCTTTTCCTTCCTAATAAATGCTCTTTTTTCTTCTTATAAGTGCCCCTTCCCCTTCTCATGATTCCCCCTTTTCTTCTTTGATAAGTACCCTGTTCATTTTAACATGTGCCTCTTTTTCTTTTCAATAATAGCCACTTCCCCCTTCTCATAAAATCCCCCTTTCACCTCCGATAAATGCCCCTATTAAAATCTGATCGGTGCCCCTTTTCTTTGTACAAATGCACATTTCCCTTTATCATTAGTGCCCCTTTTTCATTCTCATAAGTGCCTCTTTTCATGCAGGTATGGTCAGTGCTCCTTTTCAGATGCGATGAGTGCCCCTTTTCACTCTGATAATTACCCTTTTAACAATGATAATGTGCCCCTTTTCCCTTACTAATAAGGAACTTAACCTTTTTCATAAATGCCCCTTTTTATTTCTTATAAATGCCTTTATCAAACTCTTATGGGTGCCTCTTTTCCGTCGACAAATGCCTATTTCCCATTCTCATAAAATCCCTGCCATCCCTGGTGCGTGCCTCTTTTTTTTTTAGGTTTAAGAAGTGCACCATTTTCACCTCTGATATTTAGCCTTTGTACTGCACGTACGTGCTCCTTTTCTTTTCTGATAAGTGTCTTAACCCTTTCGATAAGTTGCCCCTTTTCCTCTCATCATTAAACGTGCCCCTAATTTCAAGCGACTGAGAGCAATTTCCCCCAATGCTCGCTCGCTATATACGCTCGTTATAATTTTAATATGTAACTTATCAAAGGTCATTTCAGTGAGAATGTGGTTATAACCCCATGCCGTCCCTGCATCAATGCATATAGATGTAAGTGAACATTAATTTTGAATTAATTTTGATTTGATTTCAATATCATGGACAGACCGTCTCATCTCATCGGAGGGGGGGGGGGGGGGAGGGGGGAGGGGGCAAAACATGGACACATGAAATGTGCCGAGCTAGCCGCGAGCTCGAGGCGAATTTGGAGGGTGCATGCATTGTGCATTGCGCTTGCATCTGTCCGGCTGTCCATGGGCCGAGGTAATATCGTGGGAACTAGCATTTCAACGATGTCGATGGCTTCGACTTTGGGAAGAACTCTCTTGATAAGAAGTTCCAGACTTTGCTCCAAGAAGTACTTGCCTTTATTAGACTCGAAAGGTAACTATGAGGTCATTTTCAATAATTAGCAATGAATTCATGTGTTTAAAGTGGTAAAACGCAGCCCTGCTTCAGGCAGTGTGCTTGTCGGATCGCACGGGGGAGGCCGGGGTGCAATGCAGTCTGCAGTCCCCCCATCGCCTCGCACTCCACAGCTCAGCACATTTAGACTTGTTAAAGGGAAATAGAGGTCTAGTACAAATGGAAAATACATGCTATTAGTATTAACAGAGTTAGAGAGGAGGCAATAACTATTGAAATGAAAAAAATGGAAAAGGAAGGCGGCGCGCGCATGTGTTCAGCTCGTTAGCTACTTACAGTCGCTAGATCTATTTATGTAACACACGCACGCGCCAGCACCCGACCGTCGATACCAGGTGGGGATGGTATGCAATTGTAATGTGCTGCAGTTTGCTGTGAATCCCGTGAAAAAGTGCATATTATAAGTCCTAGTTTTTAGGAAAAAATACTCTGAAAAAGATAAGAAAATTGACACAAAACGGGTAACAAACATATCAACTTTTAAATCATGACCTTTATTTGGACATTTGATTAATATTTACTTTACTTTGGGTATGTTTTAGTAGGTTAGGGTATTTCCATGCCAGAGTTAGGGATCAAATTTTGGATAGACTTCTGAACTAGCGCCAAGAAGGCAATGCCAAATAATGGAGAGAACTCGGTCGACTCTTTCAACTTTTTTTTTTATCTAGGCCTTGATCTAGAGTCTATGACACTTGAAAATTTGCTCTCCTTCTTTCTCATGTTTTGTGTGTACATTTGGAAGTGCTGTGATTTTGAGTTGTTGACCAAGTGTTTTTATATGGTCAAGGATCAAACAGGACAATTTTTGGTGACTTTTGGTGACTTTTTGGGCTAGTTTTAACGATTTTCTAGGTGAGCTTGTGTGCAAATATTTCCTTGGAGACAGTGAGTGTAGCCATGTTCTATATAGTCTTGTAGTGTGGAGTATCTAAAAAGGTTCGCTCATCCGTTCATTCTTAGGACACAAAGAACCTAGAACATTGACAATGGAATTGGTCAAGCTGACCACCTTTGTGCTTTTTTGTGTGATGTGTTTGGAACTTTGTGAAGCAAGTGCTGAATGTGAACGCTACTATACATTGTACATACATAGCAAAAGCACAAGGCTCCCACTTGATACTGTAAACACTACTTTTGGTGGACACTATGGCAAAAGAATCTGTTATTATCCGAATTCTTCAGCGACTTTTCAGTTACAACTTTCGGGTGATATTCACCCTAATCCTGGCCCGCAAAACTGTACAGACGCTAAACGCGAATTTCACTGCGCCCTTCTGAATGCCCGAAGTATAGTGAACAAAGTTCTTGATTTGAAGACACTTGCTGTAACTGACAACATAGACATTTTCTTCATCACAGAAACATGGCTAAGTGATTGTATACTTGACACCGAAATACTTCCTCCTGAATATCAGATATTCAGGAGAGACAGAAACCGTAATGGAGGAGGGGTTCTCTTTGGTTGCAACAAAACTCTTGATTCCTTGCGTCGTGACGATTTTGAAATACCGCATGATGATCCAAACTCTAAATTTTGCGAGCTGTTGTGGACGCAAATCACTCTCCCTAATAGCCAGGGCAAAATCCTGTTTGGAACTCTGTACAGACCTCCCTCTTCCAGTCCTAAACATTTCTGTGAGGCTCTGAGTTCTTCACTCAATAGGATAGCTCCTCATATTCACAAGTTTAAAGCGCTTATTCTCACTGGTGATTTCAATCTACATCTCTCCACTGATACAGATGGAAACTCAATAGCGCTCAACAAAATTTCCGATGAAGTCCTGAATATTACTTCCTCTTTTGGTCTGTCCCAACTTGTACAGTTCACAACAAGACGAGGAAATAACCAACGTGATTCTATCCTAGATCTTGTGTTTTGCAATAACGTTGATCTAATTGCTAACATCTGCCCCGGTCCAGGTATTGGAAAGAGTGATCACGATTCAGTTCAGTTTGACCTAACACTCTGTTCTAGAACGCAATCACTGCCTCGCTCGTTTTGGCAGTTCCACAAGGCAGACAAACATGACTTTCAAAGATCAATTCAATCAATTCCTTGGGACCTCTTCGTCGATGAAAATGATATTGATGCCACATGGGATAACTTTACAATGCTATTGCATGCGGCCGTTAGTGATGTAGTACCCTCTGTCCAGGCAAAAGGTCGGCGACGCAAGCCATGGATCACCGCAGACATCGTCCATCTCTCCCGGAAAAAGAAACGTGCCTATCACAAAGCGATTTCTGATAAACATAACAGATCATTATGGGAGAAATTTCAAAAACTGAACAAGGATATGAACAGACTTACTAAACAGTCTTATAATGATTATCTGCAATCCTTGGCTTTGAATTCGGCTCGTGATCCTAAAAGATTCTGGTCTTTCGTGAACTCTCAAAGGAAGAAATCTAATGTATCATCCTTTACATACAATGATGAACAGGTCGAATCTGTACCAATGATTGCGCAGGCTTTTAACAATCATTTTGTAGGAAATTTTTCTGCACTACAGTCAGAAACAGGGAATGACGTTTATGAGTCGTGTGTGTCCCATTTTGGAATGACCCCTCTGAAAGGTTTTGAGATAAGTGAGGGAGACGTTCTTAGGGAAATAGTAAGATTGAAAGTTAACAAGCCCCCTGGTCCTGATGGCATATCCCCAAACTTTCTCAAACTTGCTGACGTTGCTATTACTCCAATCCTAACAAAAATCTTCAATTTAAGTCTGAAGCTTGGTTCGGTACCCAGGTCTTGGAGACTAGCTTACGTGACTCCGCTCCACAAGAGCGGTGACCGTAAACGGATTGAAAATTATCGCCCTATATCGCTTTGCTCAATACCTTGTAAAATGCTTGAACGCCTAATTGTGGTTAAGCTTCTAAGTCATTCACAAAGTTACAAGATCATTCCTGATTCCCAACACGGTTTCCTCCCGAAGCGGTCATGTACAACACAAGCCGTCACCCTCTTTTCAAATTGGGCAAAAGCTTTGGACCAGTCCAAGCCGCCAAGAGTTGATGCAATTTTCTTGGACTGGTCCAAAGCTTTTGACAAGGTAAATCATTTCAAACTTATTCAGAAACTGCACAATTATGGCGTTTGCGGCAAATTGCTTTGTTGGATACGTTCTTTTCTCTCAGATCGACAACAGTGTGTCTTGTTTGAAGGGGTAAAATCGGATTGGAAACAAGTTCCTTCCGGTGTGCCACAGGGTTCCGTTATTGGACCGATCTTGTTTAATTATTTTACAGCCGACTTACCTGACACTGTTTCATCCCCCCTCCCACAATATGCTGATAACACAGTGTTGTATCGGGAAATTTATACCGACAATGACCCGAATTTATTGCAAACTGACTTGAATAATATACGTGTGTGGTGTATTGACAATGGCATGGTCCTGAACTCATCTAAGTGCAAAGTCATGCACATAACTAGATCCCGTAAATTAATTACTACTGTTTACTCCACTGACGGAAATCCTTTAGATGTAGTTCAGTCGTATAAATATTTAGGACTTACTTTTTCGCGAGATCTGAGTTGGAAAAACCATATTCAATGTGTTATTAACAGATGTTCTATGCTCTGTGGGTTTATCCGACGTACCGTAAAATCTAGAAACTCAGCTATTCTCACAAAACTCTTTTGTTCATTATGTCGACCTGTGATTGAGTACGGCATACCAGCATGGCTCCCTCATCAAAAGAACCATATCAGAGCTATCGAGGCTGTTCAAAGGCGTTTTACCCGATTCTGTTTCCCTTACGAAGTTGCTAATTCCTTATCATACACGGAACGACTGTCTCGCCTTAACATGCCCCCTCTGTATAACAGACTTGTGTACCTATCAATGTCATTTGTAATTAAGAGCTTACACAGAATTTATGACATGCCTGAATATATGCTACCAGTCCCAAGTCATAGAAGAATCCATACACTTGTTTTCAATCATGAATTAGCAAGATGCAATAGCTTGAGATTTTCTTGTTTTTATGTTTTTCCCAGATTTTGGGAACACCTCTCTGAGGAAGACAGAGACTTGTGTCTTGGTACCAATGTCCTTCCTTTTCTGAATGTGCTCCGAAAGTTCCTATTTGAATTGCCTCCCCTTGTAGAAGCATACTAGCTTGCTTTTTTTTTTTTTTTTTTTTTCCCTTCTTCTTTTCTTCTCTATCATAGAATAACTCACATTTTGATATGTATTATTGATTTCTTATATCCGTATCCATATATGACTGTATAAATAGACAGTTTCTGCATTTTGATATGTATTATTGATTTCTTAATGCGTATGTTGTTATTATTATGTTCTTATTTAATGTACTTTCTCTATCAATGTGTCCTATCACATCCTTCTCACTATGACTGTATAAACAGACAGTTTTCTGCATTTTGATATGTTTTATTGATTTCTTAATGCATATGTTGATATTATTAAGTTCTTATTTAATGCACTTCCTCTATCAATGTGTTCTATCACATTCTTCTACCTTTGATTACTATGTATTTTAAATTTGTTTATAAATCGATAATAATGTCTCCCAATTTGGATAACTTTCAATCATCAATAATAATTTTTCATAATTTGGATAACTTCAAATCAAATCAACTCAAATTCATAATGTTATACAGTTTTGCTAATTTCCAATATTACCGTATCCACATGACTGTATAAACAGACAATTTTCTGCATTTATCATACATGCATAGTTTGAACAGCTCTTTTTCGAATCCTTCTTTAAAATAATCCTAATAGTATTTGATCTACATGTATATTACCGTTAGTTTTAGTTACACATTCATTTATAAATTATGTTGACCTTATCTTTATATTTTGTTTTATGTATGCACCAGCCAATGTGGAGAGCCTCTCGACAGAATTTTTTAAATTCTTTTAGGTGATCCTCAGGCATTGGCTGGTGCTAAATATCATTATGTTTACAGTATGTTCTATCATTTGTTAACCTTGTGATATTTTGTATGTTATCATCTTGCCTGGAAATGAAATAAATAAAATAAATAAATAAATAAATGGGTTGTCCGTCTTCCCGAGGATTTATCGCTCATGAAAGTCTCTGTACAAAGTCAATGTAAAATGCATTAAGAAAATCATTGCGAAACCCGTTTTTAGTATCGCCAACGCGCAAATTGGAAATCATAATCATCAGCGAAAATGCGGAGGATCCTTATTTTTGCATTGTATGGTGTAAATACCACTGAAGTATCAACTGGGTTTAGTCTAGATATGGTTATGATGAATATGATTCAGAGAATTGATATTGACTTTTATTGTTCAATTTTTTTCTCTCATTTGTTCTTGTTGTAGGTGCACAAGGGTCATGGAGCCAAAGAAGTGCATGCAGCATTCATACAATATGTCGTCTTGGCCAGCAAGCTAACGCGGGGTCAAGCAGACCATGGCAGTTGGCCAGTGCAGTGTGCCTAGAGAGGTTCCCGGTAGTCTGCCAAGAGGAGAATGAGATCGAGCAACGCTACATTGACATGATCAACAATGTGGAGTTGGAGAAGAGTGCCCTATCCCAGCATGAGCTGTCTGTGGCAGCGGACAAGTGAGTAGAACTAAGAATAAGAGTCTTATTACAGATGATCTTGCAAGAGTTTCCATGTATGACTCCTTCATATAGTCCATTCGATCACATTTAGTGTGTGAAGAAATCAAAATCTTGCACGCCATAAATTCTTTAAGCCACTACTATTAGTATTAGGATACTATTCCATGTGGGAGCAGTTGGTTAAAGCGACTTCTATTTGGTTCTGGTCCTGAACAGCCCAAAGAAACAGGAGGAACAAACTATTAAGCTCAATACATCAAGAGGCTTGAAGCTATGCTTCACATTAAATTCTCTAAATATATTTTTGTGATATGCACTATAAAGTATGCTGTTAAATATAGTATTGCATGGCTTGCTATTTCCAATTTTTTATTTGCAGAAGGCCAGTGGGAATTATTTCTTATTGCTTGATGTGCAATTTATGAATCAAATGTACAGTTTGACAGATCGTAAAATCCAGTTGTCTACGGTTTCAACAAGCTAGTACCCGTATGAACTTGCTCAGAGGCCTCTGCCCTGTGCAAATGTACCTCCAAAGTCTAAATCCGAACCCCCCCTTCCCTTCAAATTTTAAACAGGGGGCTCGTGTATACAAACACTTAAAACTTCAACCCGGACTCCCTACCCTTGAAAAATCAGTGTGGAGCCTGTTTATTGTGTGCATATCCTTGATTTTCATGACAGGAGGAGAATGGCTAAGAAGCAGTCTGGAGATCAAGATGAAGAAGACGAAAAGGATGACGGTGGAGATATCTTGACTGCTCTTGACTTGGAAGACATAGCCACAGAGGAGTTAGCTCGCTTTCAATTAGCCCCAAGAATTACAGGTAGGTAGAATTCATTTGAAAGTTGAAAATGATATTCAATGGTAAATGTGAATTAGTCCCTCTAAAATGATTAAAGTTTTAATTCAATGATGGAAAAATACTAATACAATTTGATTTTTCAGGAAATGAGTCAACTCTCATAAATATTTTTTTAAAGTAGAGGAAATCTGGGCACTGTTTCAGAAATCTTATTATAAATAACAAGATACAATATTTGTAATAAGCTACTGAAATCCTTAATTTAAATCGGCTATGAGCAGATTTGTCATAGATCTGTGGCAGTTGTTATTGATAAAGAAGTTTTATGAAACAGGGTCCTGGGGCCCGTTGCATAAAACTTACCATTGATGGTAACTTTGCCATCAATGGCAACTACCATGGTAACAGGGCTCAACAGCCAATCAAAATCAAGGTTTCCATGGTAGTTACCATTGATGGCAAAGTTACCATCAATGGTAAGTTTTGTGCAACGGGGCCCAGGTCTCCAGGGAAATGCATATACATCTATTTGCTATTGCTTTTCAGTGCTAAGATGGTTCTTAAAGTGTCCATATAGTGTTACTTGGATCTCTTTGGTATTTAAGAATTGTTTATGATACTTCACACCAGGATTGTAATGATATCACATCATCAACATTTCTGCAGACTCATTAAAATAACCCCAAATCTTCAAAATTTTGAAATATCATCTCTTCTTTTTCAATTGTAGGAGCTGATGAGAGGGATGAGAGACGCTCCCTGGATCGTCAGCTCTCTGATAAACTAGTTTTGATAGTCAAATACAGGATGGGAGAGGAAAGTGCCTGGATACTTCCTTTTGGTGCCAGGGAAGAAGGAGAGACAATGAAGAATGTAGGTAGTTCATATGATATTCTTATCTTATTTTCTTTTTTGAAAATTCTATAGACAGCTTCCCATGGGCAACTAGGCCTAAATAGGGTCATGGTGCAGTAATAACAAGAGATAATGCTTTAGGAAAACTGATGGTTTATTTTTTAAATAGTTGTCTTGGCTACTAAACCTGATTGAAAATATATTTAAAACTTATCAATGAATATATGACTAATCAAAGGGCTGTACAGATTATTATACAACTCACTCCCAGATCATAATCAAATGATTGGTCATGCGCGGTCACGTGTGATTCATTTACTGAGCCTATTGCACTCGTTTTCATGAAAAGGAGTGCAATATTTTCCAGTACTATTGAACTTGTTTTCAGAGCGCAGTAGTGCGCGTAGAGGTTAGAGCGCTTGATACTGCATGAGCATGAGCCTATTCTTGCGCAGCACTATGCCTAAATGGGTATAGAGGTAATTAGTGCGCTTGCTATATCTATAGCTATGTGTGCGCACTAAATTAAGCTTTATTAAACTTGAGATTTATTTGTCAGCCATATACTGTCACGAAACAATCTTGAATGAATTTATTTTTATCAAATAAGAAGGATCTAGGAGTTTTGGTGTATAAAGGAAATGATGCATGTTTTCATTCGTTCATTATACGATCTATCCGCCCTCATTGATGTTGAGTGTATCTGTCACACTCTGCCTAACGGCTTTGTGCAATAGATACACACAGCCTCAACTCGAATGCGGATAGATCGTATAATGAACTCATGCGCATGCATCATTTGTATAATAAAGTATTATTTTACTAGTCATTTGATGTTTTGTGCATTTCACATACCGGTAAATGTAAGGGGAAAGTACAATTTTCTTCAGATTTGCTTTGATTCATGCTCTATTCTAGTACTAATAAAATCACCAATACTAAATTATCTGACGTAAGCTATATTTTAGGTGACAAAAAACCTTGGATTTTCACATTTGTCCTTATGTATGTAGGCAGCTGAGAGAGTACTTGGGGACCATGCTGACAATACGGGGGCTCTGAGGGCTCACTTCATGGGTAACGCACCGGTTGGTTTCTACAAGCAACGCTACCCCAAGGCGGTCCAGGAGCAAACTGGGAAAGCAGGTGTCAAGGTGAAACTCTTTTGAGCCCTTTAACTCATTTCCTATTGGGACAGAGTGGTCCTTGTATCAAACATATTGGAATGAAAGAATTTTATTAATTAATGGGTTAATTTAGTAGCACTTGTGGTGATGTTACTTGGTGCGCTGAAATGATTTCTGTATTTCCTGCAGAGAGCCACAAAGGTTTTGGTATGTTTTTGGTAATTTTGAGAAGAATCCATTAAATGAATGGCATGAACTGATATTGTTAGGTTGGTGTTAAATGTTGTTATGTATATAAAGTCAACATCATTCTGGTCCTGTATGTTGCAAATGTGTGTAATAAATTGATTACAGCAAAGTTTGCTAACTTTTTGTTTCTTTCATGGTATACAGGTGTTCTTCTTCAAAGCCCAGCATGTATCAGGAGTATTTGAGACCAAGAAAGATATGCCAACAGTGGAAGACTACCTGTGGGTAGCCCAAGAAGAACTGCATCAGTATCTAGCAGAACCCTACCTACAATCTATCCAGAAGTTTATGTTGCCTTTATGACAACGCAGTGATTCAAATTTTCACGGAACTTATGATTTGAGAAAACAGTGACATGTATGCATGGAAGAGGAATTTGAAAAGTACTCCTCCTCTCCTTAACGCATTTCATGGCAGATTATGACTTATTATCATATTTACATCAAGCTGGGAGCAGAATCCAAGTGGCCAATCCCACTCATCCTAGTCTGCAGGCACAGGCTCCAATTGGACACTAAAACGCATTTCTATAACGTCTTCAGCGTAGCCTAACTCTGCCAGTCTCTGGAGCAGCTAAATAAAGTACAGAGCTTGTGGGGTGCAGTATACTGTGAAGTCTGCATAGTCTCAACAGTTCAGACACTCTTTTACGCATTGTAACTGACAAGATTTTGCGCTTGTACACTCCTCATTTCCTGGAGTAATGACCGTATAGAAAAGTGGTAAATGATTAAAGAACTTACCTTACAGGTATAATTGATTGAAGGTGTGGACTTGAGGGATTAAATGTTTGTATAATGTGCCCATCAGCACCCCCCCCCCCCCCCCCAAGCCACCTCCTCGGACTACTAGCTGTCCCGAACTGCTAACCTATGTAGAACCACACTTTTGACAGTTACCCCATTGGATGACTCCCTATGGAAGTTGTCTAGGGGTAGTTTTCCTAACTATGTAGTTATATGAGGAAGTACAGATGGTACAATGTAGCTGTAGGTGTAGACTAGAACAAAAATTGGATGTGCATCCATAGTTAACCCGTTGTCATGCAGGCAAAAAGTCATCAAGGAACTTTGTTTTCATGAAATACTGGAAATCCTGAACTGGTAATTTTTATCTACTCTATAATCCATGTGATATGATTATCAGTTTGTCCAATTTATTCTTTATTAAGTTTGGTTCCATTGTCATTTTTCTGCACTTCATAATATGTATTCTATTATTAAGGGCCCTTGACATACCCTGTTGCCCATAGCAGCAATTTTTTAAAGACCAAATGTGTGTAAGCTATGTTTGCATGGCACTGTTGTAGTTTCAAACTTTAATTCATCAAAACGTCAAAAGTTTTGAATAACATCCCGCTAAAGTTATGGATTCATGTAGCACCAAATTAATGACTTATAAAATTTTTAGATACGAACTGTGCTGGCTGTTAGTCGTAACTACAAACTGGTAAAAGCTCAAAGTTAGGTGATTTCGCATGGGACATGCAGACCCCTTGCTGCTAGCAATTTTCTATAAGATCGCTCATCTGAAACTTCATCAGACTTAACTTTTCATGATCATTGACTACATGATAACCTAGAAATTAAAGATGGTGACCACAAGCTAAACTTAAAATGTGTAGACTGGCGTGTAAACCTAGCTTTTGACTTAATGGATTATAGTTTAAATGGATAATGGCCCAAACTGATATTCGAGAACAGCGAAGTGGAAAAATTGATAATGAGATGAAATGATCATACGATCACAAGGAGAAAAGACAAACTGGAAGGGAGCAAAATACCAGTATATAAGAGCAATGGTTTGGTGAAGACTACTCTAAAATTTGTATTATGAGAAATAATAAATATCATGAACATTGATTTTGTTTATCAAATCTATTCATATCTTTATGTTTAATAATTCTTCACTTTTAATTGTATGTTGGTTGCATAGTTTCCTTTTTCATGGGTGTAGTTGTGTGTGTGTGTTTGTTTCAAAATGTTTTACATGTATTTATTTCCCATTACATAAAAAGTTGGAAAATGAAAAATGACTCAAACACAATTCAAAATATATACACTTGGGTGAGCAAAGCCACTTTTATGAAATTGTGAAAAATCCAAACTTGATGAGAATTGGTACCTTAATTTGGGCTGGCTTGTGTGACAGTGTCTGTAAATGTTGAGTGATGTAATGGTGAAAAGGCTTATAAATCTTCATACTATGATTATTAAAAGACAATTCTTGGCTTTCTTCTCTGTAAGACCTGACATATATTGTATAGCATTTTATCCTTGAGTGAACGATTAAAGACTTACGAGTTTTGAAATATTACTCTTTGGTGAGTTCTTCAGATTCAAGCTGTCGGAAAAATTAAAATCACCAAGGATGGTCTAAACTCTATAAAGAAAGATCAAGTATTTGGTCAATTAATAAAAGTAAAAACAAATGTATTATTCAGTTTAATAACCAGCAATCAATTAATCAATCACTACATCAATAGCACAGCTGAGTAAAACATGGAAATAAATGGAAATGGATCAAAGTAAATGTCATGATTATACCTGTTTACTTCATTAATAATACAATGATACAGGTTCTTCCGATTGCAAAACAATACGAGCCAGAAAAAAGTACCATTTCCTCAAAAAGTCTGGGTTTTGCATCAATAGCATGAAATAACATTGGTGTAACTGGAAGAAACTTGTAGCTATCCACCATTATGAAAATTTCCTGAAAACATTTCGATGATTGGAAAGGTATATGTTTCATCAGGTTTTCGCTACAGGTCAGGTAATAGTGGGGGCGGCATAGTGTCAAATTTGAGACAAATAAATTGTGCATTTTTGAGATAAAATCACCAAATATGGCACATCATGACATGACAGGTAGATTAAAATGATCTTCGCAAAACTGGAGGTCGAGCCACCCAGAAGTCGGCCCTAGCGGAGGCTTTTAATGATCAAAAATGCGCAATTGAATTGATGTTTTTTTGTTGTTATTGTTGTGACATTCTTAACAGTTTCTCTGTGGTTGATTTCCTGCTCATTGTGCATTCATAAATTGAAGGGGAGTGGAACACTCAAGATTTAAGTTTTATGAACTCAATATATAGGCCCAAGGCTATTAATTGGGCGTGGCCAGTCTAGATACATCCCATGAGGAGATCGAGATGAGATCGAACCATATAGAGTTTTAGTAAGTATGTATCTCTATGGATCGAACACACAAGAAGATGGTGCCTTTCTCGGGTAACAACTTTATTTAGGATTATGTAACCGTCTTCACTAAAGTCGCGATTTATGTGTGAAATATTTCTTGATTGACTCATTCATTCAGCGAAATAAATGTAAACCTTAACTTGCCTAGTCTATTTTCGTGCACGTGATTTATTTGTCATGATCACTTTTTAATGATGGCATACTTTAAAAGTTATTTCCTTATCGTTTCACTTAACCACCATGTACCAAAATCCATTTCAATTCTCAAACTAATTTTACATGACTATTTAGGTAGGGTTTACTTTATAATTGAATGCGTATTGTTATGGGTCATAGAAAATATAGTTTAAAAACCTCTTTATGCAAGGCTATCATTTCCGACCGATCGACGTCACGTCAACCATCTTGCTTTCATAACAAAGCTTTAACAATTTTGTATGTTTTATCAGAAAAGATGGCACTAGATAAAAATTACTACTTGTACAGCACAAGAAGAGATACTTTGGATTCTGAAGATGATTCTGCTTTAATTTCCAGGTATGATTTTGCCTTTGTAAAGAGTATAAAACGATTGGCATTGTTAATGTTATTCGCGTCTCTTTGCATGCAAGTTGAACAGTCAGCGTTGAAACCCCTGTTCCTAGCCATGGCCTTTAGGGGTCCCTGGCCTTCGGCCTTCCGCCACGGCCGCTCGCGCTCGCCTGCTCTTTTATCCGATTCGACCAGCTCCTTAGCCAACTCCTCGGCTAGCGCGCGCTCAACGCCTCTACCGTGACATGCTTGTTCCTTGATCAGGTTGACCTCGCAAGTTACGAAACAAGTTTTACAAATGAAAAAAAGAAGAAACATTTTTTTTAAATAAATTATATTTCGGTACAGATGCAGAACGAACGCTTGGTCAATTTTAGTGGTGGGATATTCTAAAGAGTAAAGTTGCTCCCAGAAAGTTGAAATAATTGCAGACAAAAGATAATTAAAGTAGACGGAAGAACAAGCATTGAGAGTAATTGAGACTCTTGACTTGACTTGTCTTGAGAGAACAATTTAGAAGAACTGAGAACCTGACGGGAATAGGACAAGTGGGAAGAAGAAGGGGGAATATCTAGATCTAGATATCAGGACAAAAAAAAAAGAGGAAGATTCCTGGAAAATTGAAAAAGAGGAAGAAGAAATTGTATAAAAATGTCATGATGGAGGTGAAATTTAAAAGGAAAAGTAGAAATATTTCTAGAGGTCTAGATTCAAATTACTACCAGTAGATCTAGATCTAGACCGAATTTTCCGTCTCTTTCGTTCGTTAGCCTCTTATTGGGGTAGGGTCGGCTCTCTCTTTAGAGACGGAAGCCGTTTATACACATGTCCTTGCTAACGCCACGGCCAGTTCTGGTCGTAGCGTTTTGCCCCCAAAATCCCCCAAAATGTCATTTTACCTCGAGCATGTTATATTGTAAATTAGGCCTAGGCTATAATAAATCAGTTCCACTTACCAACTTGACTGAAATAATCAGTTTAATAGTCCCTTTTTAGGAAATTATGGGTCAAAATCGGAATCCAAGTTGAAAAAGATTTTCAAAATGGATTTCGATTTTGACCCATAATTTCCTAAAAAGGGACTATTAAACTGATTATTTCAGTCAAGTTGGTAAGTGGAACTGATTTATTATAGCCTAGGCCTAATTTACAATATAACATGCTCGAGGTAAAATGACATTTTGGGGGATTTTGGGGGCAAAACGCTGCGACCAGAACTGGCCGTGGCGTTAGCAAGGACATGTGTATAAACGGCTTCCGTCTCTAAAGAGAGAGCCGACCCTACCCCAATAAGAGGCTAACGAACGAAAGAGACGGAAAATTCGGTCTAATCTAGATCTAGATCTAGATCTAAATCATTGTAAATGAAATAAATGAAAACTGGGAGCTGGGAGGAAAACATTGGGTGAAACTAGGCCCTACAAGAAATTAGATCTAGATCTAGATCTAGATCTATATTGTATTGTAGGTCAGAAGAGAAGCAAACAGAAGAACAGTCATAGCCGTACAGGAAGGTAGAATAGAAGGAGGGAAAAAGTTCAAAGAAACTGATCTTCCAAGGTGATAAGACTAAACCCATTATTTTAGCCTAATTTAGGATTTTAGATGGTTTAATTACTTTATATTAGATCTATAGAGTTTATCAAGACTTGCTTACATGTGAATGTTTTTTTTTCCTTACTATCCACATCAGAGCCAGAGATGTAATAAGCAGAGCATCAGGTCAAAATATGCCCGCGATACCAGGGACGCTTGAACATCAGCGACTCCTTACAGCAGCAGGGAATTGGGGAGTGGAGAATGCAGTGTATGCATCAGCAGCGGCAGCTGAAGCTAGTATGGTTCAACGACTAGATGCTGCAATTTACAATGAAGGTACTGTGTACATGATCAGGACTGCCTTAACTTTTCTTTTTTCTCTTCTTTTCTTCAAATTACAACTCACATGATTAAAAAGGCTGATAAGAAAAGTAACTATTTAATTTTTAATTTGGCAACCGTGATAATCTTCTTTCATTGTTCTTCCTTCTCCCCCCTCCACCCCCCCTCCCTCTCAAAAAATGTCCAGTAAAATTTCAGTATAGATGAATTAAAAATGTACATGTAATACAATATGGCAGCACCCAAGCATCATATTTTAATTCCATTCCTGATAGCAATGGTAACAAATGTTCCAACTTTCTTATATCCATTTTATGTATTTCTAATTTTTGAGTTATGACACAATTACTGATTATTTTTCTTATTTTCTATTTTAAATGTGTAGTTCCAGGCGACTATAGTGAAGAGAAGAAAGGTCGAAGAAAGGACAGACGGAGGGACAGAAGGAGAGACCGTGATGAGGTATTGGCAGAATCTTATTCTCTCTTTTGTTTTGAATTGAAGTAAACATCAATATAAACAAATATATTTTGTGATATATTTTAAGGTAAAGAATCTCAATGGAGAAGAGTGACATAGTCAACATTTTGAAAACATCCACATCAGTGGATGTTTGATGAGGCTTTAATGAAACAGAAATTATCATGGTGGGGGTATATTTTTCAGTCTTTGATGATTTCAATATTACAATGTTTTAAATGTGACATTTCTATGGTTTCAAATGCATGTATTTCATTATTTACAGCGAAAACAGCTATCAGACAGGCCATGCAGGACTATCCTTATCAAGCATCTCCCTGCTGAAGTTGATGAAACATATGTAAGTATCTTGAATATGAGCGCCATATTCTTGAAAGTTTCCATGGGATTGGTTTCCAATTCGCTCAACTCCTTTTATATGGATACTCTTATAAATGCTTTTGAAATATACTAGCCAATTGATTCATTTGTTTGTCATTCATAAATTATTTAAGTAAAATATTGTTTATTTAATAATCATTATTTTATATGTTTGACAGTCATCTACCGTTTTTTGCTGAAAAGAATTATTTTTCAGTTGTTTGTAAATTTTATTTTCCCATTTTACATACAGAAGTTCACAGGATTGTTTTATGTTCACCATAAATTCATATCCTCGTCAAAACATGCATGTAAAAAGGTCCCTTGTATTTCAGAGTAAAAGTACATGCATGTTGTCAAATTAATTATGTTTTAGTGACTTTGAATGGAAGATACTACCTAGTACTGGAAGGTATTTATGGGATGAACATTTTGAACTGGTATTTGACCGTTTCTTTTCTTTTTGAATTGTTCAGCTGCGAGGGATACTTCAGCTGTTTGGTGCCCACATCCAGGACGTCAGACTGGTCAAACACAAAGATTCAGGTGAGACACAGAAGCCCCACACCATTTCATAAAAAATGGTTGGCCAGACTTCATGGAGTAATAGGTTTGAAAGCTGGACAGTGCACTGGTCAAGGGCTGTAACATAGGCACGTTCTGATTATGGCAGATGCACTTCATGCAATGCCAAATGAGAGAGGAACAATGTTTTTTTTAAACTTCTGAAACAAAAACACTGATGAAGGAATCGTTGTGTACACATTTTTCATCTTTTGCTCACCGGGGCATTTATGTTTTGTGTATTAACCAGCTTTATCTTCACAGGGTTCAAAGATGAGCACAGGTAAGTTTATGATTAAGGCCTTTGCTAGGTCAATGTTGGATATGAACTTAGATTAAAAGTGTATTCAAATTAGAATAAGGTATATATATATACATATAGTATGACACATTCAGCTTTTGGGTGCCGCCATTATGTTACTCTGTGGTGGTATCTGTATGTGTGCTCCAGATATAGTGTCATTGTCATTTCATCAAAATAGTCAACTAGCAAGGTTGAAAATTAAGAATAGAATATCATTTGTGTTATTGCAAGGTTATTTACTTTGCTAATTTTGACATTCAGAGTTTAATGAACACCACTTCTCTGTATTTAGTAGTATTAATTTGATTGAATAGGTGGAAATTAAAGTTACGTTGGAATATGTGTTTGCATTAATAGCCATTCTTCCTTGCAGTAAATTTTGTACATTCTTTATTCATTGACTTGTGAATACATTCCTTCATCAGTGTTGTTTCAGTATAAAGTCATTATAATGCTGCGAGCTCATCATTTGATGATATTTTTTTTAAGTGAACAAGATGTTCGATTGCAAAATAAAGAAAAAATTAGTAAATGAAAAGACAAGCCAGCTTTGTTGACCAGAAGTGCCTGTCCAGCATACATTACACACACGAAAAGAAAGAGGGAAAGAGTGATGAGAAGTGAGTGAGTGAACTGTGAATGCCTATCGACAAACATTCCTAACACTTGCCCTCTGGGTCCATTTGCTGGCCTCTCCTATATTACCCTTTCTAGGTGCATCAAGAGGCTTCGCTTTTGTGGAGTTCCAATTCCTTCCGGATGCCCAACGATGGATGGAGGAAAACCAGGTTTTGTTGAGATCGTGCCAGTCACGATGTATTCTTCTCCCTGCGCTCCTTTTTGTAGAGCTGCTGCTGCTTTTCAAGGCAGTCGGCAAACAAGGGTTGTCGAGTATTGCTAGAGAAAGGCAGAACAAGGCACCTAGTTTGTGTAGTTAGGGGGATGGGCATAGGAATTAAGGGGTTTGATAGGGATAGCATCATACAAATTCAGTCAAGTAAGGAATGTCTTTAGGAGAAGAAGAAATGCATTACTAATTTTTTTAAATAAATAAATCAGAAAATAGATTACTGCTGAAAAATCAAAGACAATCAAGTACTTCCACTGTGGAAAAATGAGAAAATACTAAATGAAAAAAGGAAGGGAGGGGGGGGGGGGGGGGGGTTGACATGATTAATATGAAAAAAGATTGGCAATACTTTAGCCTCCATGTTTCACACACACAAAAAGAAAATAATATGGATAAGCAAATAGTTAGCTTGACTTCATTTAAACCACATGTGCACAACATGGCTTACAGAGAACTGCCACAGAGCACCTAGTGTATCAAAGCGATAGATGAGGTAGGATTTGAAATTCTGAAATGGAAGGGGAGAAGGGAAAGGGGTAGATCTTAGACTTGAAGAGAGATGCAAAGATGGACACATGATCACACGATGTGGTGTGAACAAAATTTGCAAATTAGAAATCAAAGTTTGTCATGGACAAAGAAAAAAAATGCAAAATGAAAATCCAATTTGAAGAGTGAAAGTGGTGATCGAAAATGCTTTGCTGCTATATTCTTCCTACATGTACCATATCAAGTTCTTTTAAAAGGTTAACAAAAATACTGGATTGTAATATGATAGAAATAAAAACATTGTGTCATCATTTGCCCATGTAATAGTGTCTTAGACAAGAACAAGATGCAGTCATTTGCTTTTTGTTGAAGTTGAGAGGATTTTTTTTTCTTTTGCAAATTGCAAATGATGTTGCCTAGATTGTTTGCTGCCAAGCCAAACCTCTTTGATTTTTCCAGAAATTACATGCATTGGAACTTATCTTGACATGTTTGTTTAAATTTCTTAGACAGGTTGAAATTTGATATTTTTGTGCAAAGAGGTTTGGCTTTATTTTTATATTCATTTTTTTTCCATGTGATATATTTTGAGAACATTGACTTGATTTATTTAGTGTCAGATCAAGTCTGTTTTCCTAGGAGGATTTTTTGAAAGGTTTTTAGATTGACTGGTTTCAACTGAGATATATGTCAGTCTGGAAACTCTGATCATGTTTTTTTTTTTTTTTCCCCTTTTTTTTCTTTCTTTTCTCCTCTGTTAGTTTTTTTTTTTACTGCTTAATTTGTGTTAAAGCAAGCCAGAAATGAGCATGTTGAGTATTTGTTGACCCTTTAATTAACTTCTTGGGGAAGACTAAAATGAAGAAAAAAAAAATTAGAAAGGCTACAAAATTCCCAAAAGCACAGATTTTCATGCTCAAAATTTACTTTATTCCAACCTCTTGCCCCAAATCCCTCATGATTGCCAGATAACGTGAAAGATGTGAAAATTGTTTCTTTGCCAATAGCTTATTGAATTTGTTTATTCATTCATTTATTTAATTACTTCTGCTTATATGCAATAAGCAGTACTAGGACATTATTCAGGGAAAAGTGAAATTTAAACTAATAGAAGGAAATTAACGCTTTTTTAGATTGAAAAAAAAAAATCTGCATGACCAGAGAACGGACTGCATATCTCTTTTGATCCACAGCCAATTCTCAGGCTAGAGGAGAAGAATAAAATTGTACCACATACTTACTTTTGTGTCTCTTTCTTTTCCATGTGTGTTATTCTGCCAGGGTATTTTGGTGATCGGGGACGGGCGTGCTTCACTCACATACAGCAAGAGCAGAGGTGATGAAGACTGGTTCTGCTCACAGGTAAGTCAATCTACGTGGCTCATATCTGGTTAATCTTTGAAAATAGAAAATGAAATGTTTGAATTTTTGCATCAATCTACTAAACAAGCCCCCCCCCCCCCCCCCCCCCCGTACTTCCCGTTCTCGTGCGTTGATCTTATCTTTTTTATTTAATTCTTTGACTTTCTTTGATTCCTGAATCTTATTTTGCAAATATGTATTGACAAAAATACTACATGTGAGCATTTTTTTTATAAAATAGAAGTTTTAACTTTGTATTTGTTACTTTCCTGTTAAAAAAAGTGTCTCCCCCTCCCTCTCCTTGAGTTAACAGTACCTTTACATGTATTGTTCAATAAAACCGCTCGTACAGTTCAATAAGGCCTAAAAAAAAAAATTGATGACTTGGCGTAACCCGCCCGACCCTATTTTTAATTTTTTTTTATCCGATTGCGATTGCGTAAATATCGATATCGCAGTGGGGAAAACCCGGATGTTTGTTGCTTTCGTTCTGGGCTTTGCCGCGCCGTGTTTGGGCCAGCTCGCGCGCCGAGTGCAGCGGGCAGGTACGCCATAGTACCGCTAGGCGATTGTATCCCCAACATGGCGTCCTATGGCGTTCAGTTCACGGGTAAATTTGGTACTCACGTTTTATTCAGCGTTCTTCGGAAGGTGGACATTGAAGCAACAATCGGAGAAATCGTTCAAGATCTGGCCGCTGATAATTTTGTGGTTAAGAACATCAAGGCATCTAAGGAAAACTGGTCCGTTTTCTGATTTGCTGTTGTCTGAAACAGTGTCACTATTACAAGATTTCGGGTATCGATACGTGGTTGCAACACTCACGCCTGTCAGTGTCACGGATACCGAGGAGGATCGCACGAAGCCCAATGCCTATTCAAGATTTAAAACAGCAAAAAGCTGATACATTTTGAATTTACAAATTAAATATACATGTACATGTATAGAAAGAACACAAATACACAGAAAAAGCATATTAAAGTCAAAAATACATAGCAAGAGCACCATTCAAAATAGATAAATTAACAGTGCGAAATACTATCCAGGAGTTTATTGTTTTTAATATGCTAGCATATTGATATAAAGAATATAGTTAAACTATTTGAATAAATAACTATAAAACATAGAAGGCATGAGATTCATCCATTTGTATAAACCTTGCATCATAGAAAAGAAAATGAAACAAAAAATGTCAGATGTGTTGCAGATATACATTTTCATATGCTGTTGGAAAAGAAAAAAATACAACTGTATTTCTAATAAAGGATTCTGAAATACTGGAGACATTTTTCAACTGTTTGTTATTACAGAGCCATTCACAATTGTAAATATTTTCACAAGTTGTAATTGGCTACTCTTTTCAACCCTCATTCTTCAAGATTTTGGATACATGTTAACATGTTAACCTCTAGACAAGTTATAAAAATGTTAGTCAATACATTGTGAAAATACTAATATTTGTGAACAGCCCCTTCTAAACCTACATATTCACCTGTTTATCCTGTTGAAGACAGTGTCTGAGATATCTCAGGCTGGGGTCTGTTGGAAACCTATTAATGCGTTCGTATGTTTGCATTTTATGTGCATGAGGGTGTATGTACATGTACATGTATGTATGCAGGGGGGGGGGGGGGGCAGGTGTATGTATGCATCCCCCAGGTCCCAAGGTGATCAAGATTTCAACAATTTCTTGCTCACTTTGCTCACACAGTGTGTGTGTCCATATATGTGTGTGTGTGTGTGCGTGGAGTTATTTGAACATATTATGGTCTACCCCTCTCATCAGATCATCCCCAAGGTATGAGGACCTATCTACGCCACTGTATGTATGTATGTGTATGAATGGCTAATTTCATGTATGCAAATATAAGCAACAACAACAACAAAACAAAAAAAAAAAAAAAAAAAATCGCCCTACCTACCCTAATTTTCAGTGACCCGTTACGCCAAGTCATCAATTTTTTTTTTAGGCCTAATGCATATCACATTGTCTAATCTTAATGCAACACTAACCTGTTTTTAATGTAGTGTGGTACCCAGAATTTCAAGAGGAGAGGAAACTGCTTCAAGTGTGGAATAGAGAAGAACGGTAAGGAATAGACCATGAAGTAATGTTTCAATTAGATTTATAAGAGTGTATTCCTGAAAGATTGTACTCAAGCAAGGCATCGTACAGGTTGTCTAATATGTCATATAAAATCAAGTATCATCTGTCAATCAAGAATGTCAATTGATAGCCAATCACTCTTACTATTTTATTCATATGACCAGTCGGAACTTCAATCAGGGATATTTGTTGTCAAAAAATGTGAACAAATTATCAGTATGGGATGATGAGATTAGTTTGTGGTCTGGATTACACAGGGTCATGGTCGCAATAAATAAACTGTTGATTGTAGTTTGTCCTTCTATGACGTTATGTGACAAGAGATCTCCTAAATAGCTACTTTACAATGATATGCATGTTTAAAACTTTTTTTTATTCCATCTTAAGGATCTGACTTAACAGGGCCCAATTTCACAAAACTCGTCATCAGTGACAAATGATAGTTTTTGTTATAAGCTAGTGAAATCCTTTCTTCTGATTGGTTAGCAGCAGATTTGTAATTGAAAAAAGGCTTTGTGAAACGGGTCCCAGGAGTAGTATTCATCCTGAATCACTTGATGAGACAAACTCATTTTTGTTGTTGTGTGTACATTCTTTATTTTTTTTAATAATCATGCAATGTGTGCTTGTTTGTATTACAGAGTCAGAGCGATACAGTCAAATCAGTACAAGACCTACAAGAAGTAAGTAGATATGAAGAAACAAAATTATTCACAAAACTATTGAAGGTTGTGTAAATGCTGATTACTGTAGTATGAAAATGCGATGCGAGCTTGCTGTTAAATTGTTCCAAGTGAAACAAATTGGTGATATTATTTAAGGGCTAAATCAGAAAGAGACCAAGAAATTTATGAAAGTTAAATTTCAAGATCTGTCAATATCTTGAGTCTCTAAGTCTTTCATTTGTCATGCTCTCATGTGCCTGTTATTCTTTATTTGTTATAATGTATGGAATATCAATCTATGACTAACTTACTTTTCTATGAGAGCACATGTTATGTGTATGATGTCATGTGCCTGTTGTGCTCCATTTGTCACATGTATGAAATATATCAATCTACAAATAAATTATTTTTGTATCAGAGTAGAGAATAAACTGTATATCATAGTCCCAATTCTAATTCTCACCTCCATACAGTTCTTCTGCTAATGGGTCTGGACTCGCTGACCACGGAGGAGAAGGTCCAGCAAGAGCTCCATGACATCACGGCCGTTGACATGAACGTCCAGCTCATACGTGACCCCACAACCAACACATCAAGAGGCTTGTGTTACGCTGCGCTGTCGGCTGTAGAGTATGCCAGCCACTTACTGGAGATTCTCAACAATATGCATCCACCCTTTGTGATAGATGGAAAACAAAGTAAGTTGTGATTGGTGGTGGAGAAATATTTACAAATGATGAATGGTACTTGATGAATGGTAACTGTTGATAAACATAAGTCATATATGGAAGTAGACCATGTTATAGGTAGAAAGTATCATCGCAAGTTGTTCCTTTATGTTCGTGGAGAGAAAAAGAAGTGCTCTATGACAAGTTCTTCCCCATTACCATTTGAACAGGGGAATTGCTAGGTGAAAACAACTGCATTGTTGTGTACCTGAATTATAATTGCATAACTTTTTATGAGCATGTTCTTTTAAGTGCTCAGTTGAATTCAAAATGTAGTCTAGGTGCTATTTATGTGCTTATACTTTGACAGTAACGACATGCATGAACTGTCTATTACAAAGAGGTTGTTACATGACGAGCCTTTGGATTTATAATCATCTTCTTGACTAAATAACACATGTTTTGCATAGTTTGGCCCAAAAATATATTGGACTTGGGGAAAATTTGATTAGTGCGACTTTGACTTATGGCAGAGTTACCTGTACTAGTTTGAGTCAAGTTCACATGTTTTGAAATGCGTGCTGATTTTCATTGTTCTAAGAGCTATTTTTCTCTCCATATTTTCCAGTTTCCGTGCATTTCTGCAGAGAAGGGACAGACGAAGATTACTCTTCATGGGCCGAGGTAAGAAATACTAATCAAAATTCAGTCAGGAGGCGGTCTCCTGCCTACCCTTATTTTCCAAGTCCCAACTGCAGCACGAATAGCATTTGGCAAGACATTAAAGTACATTCGCCTAGTTTGGAGTAAATTGGAACCTGGTACGAAGAAATTCCTGGAATGCGTGCAGTGTCTTTGCATAGTAATTTATAGGCTCATTGAGCAACCCTTGGGAATAAAAATATTAATGTAGCTGTTGTTTGTTTGTAGCTGTTGTTCTTAGTACTTTTGTTGTTGTTATTTTTGTTATTGTTAATGTGATGTAATCATTTTTGCAGGCTGAAGCTGGACCATCTTATGAGCAGTACTACCAGCAGCAAGCAGACGCAGTGGCGACAGGCACCGTAGCTTATGATCAAAGCTATGCAGCAGCCTATGCAGCAGGATCAGCTGCTCACTCTTCCAAAGAACTATCTGTAGCAGGTAAGTCATGCAGTGAGAATCTATAGGTTTTAGTAAGAAAGAAAAAAAACCACAAAAGGACAGAGATTTGCAGTAAAGTTCAAATTGACAAATTTTGTTCTTCTTTTCTTCTTTTTAATTGCTACTATACTATTCTAATGAAACTCATTTATCTAAAAGAAGATAATAAGTACCGGTACAATAACATCAACAATTTATTATAAAATTTAAAAAAATGAAAACGCAAAGTTTATGTAGGAACATGATTTGGAATTTTGAACAATTTAGTGTTTTCATTCTGTTTTTTAACTCTGTCATTAAACAGCTGTTGATAAGGCAACAAAACAGGCACAATGTGTGCACAGCATGTGCATGAATTATTCTTCATCCATTTCATGCACAGGTTATATTTTATAGGATTTGACAATGTACAAAATACATTATTTGAAACCCTAAATTTAATTTTTTTGTAAATTTGAAATTAATCTGTAGACAAGGTAGCGCTAGCCCAGGAGCAGGTGCAAGCAGCTCGTAAGATGCAGCTAGAGCAGCAGCAGATCACCCAGAAACTACTCAACAAGATCAGAGCGAGTGGCCCAGAGAAGAAACCCAAGAGGGTCAAGGTTGACCTTCCACCTCCAGGAACGGACGGACACACGCTAGACCTGAGCCAGATCGTTCATGAGGTCAAACCACAAAAGAGAAAGAAAGAGCAGCAGCAAGACACAGAGACAAATGCCCAAACAGTAAGTGTCGCTTTTTCATTGCCAACTGTAAGTGCAAGAGTGAACTGCATTCAAACTTGTAGATTACAGTGAAGTGAAGTATATAAAGACCGCTCAAGGGAGACAACAAAAGTGGTCTTTAGTCTTTTATGTACAGGTTCTTTTAGTACAGGGTTCAATGAGAATTTGTTTTCTTCAAGGGAAACAAAGAATTTCTCCTTTATAGACAGGTGGTTTCTGAAGCAAGTTTGACTGTATACTGCTTAAAGAGAACCGGTAAAGGGTCTTAGTGCACAGGTTCATTAGGTATAAGATTTTATGTGAAACAGAGGAAATGAAAAATGTGATTTCTATGGACAAGTTTTCTTTCTATACCATAGATTGCCAAAGGAGCTTTAGCTGTCTCTGTGTGAAGGGAATAGCTACTTTATAAATGTATTATTTGCTGTGGCTGGATATTGGATTACCAGTAATCTGATTTGACATCAAATGTTAGAAATATTCAAGTGTAATTATTGTTATGAAGTGAGTTATGAGAGGATATCACACATTTCACCTACCATTTCGAGTCTACATCCAAGTGGTTAGAAAAACTACATTTCCTGATGAATTTTGTGGGCACTAAACAGGATAAATGTTACTCTTGTTTAGTTACAGCACCAGACATCGAGTAGTTCAGACGGTGGCTATTATCCCGATGTATCTCAATACCAGTATGACGAATCATCAGGCTTCTACTACGATCCTCAGACAGGACTGTACTACGACTCCAACTCACAGGTAAAGTCCAAACTCATTCCTGCGCTCAGTGATATTGTTAGGGCTCCCGAAACAATACACCAGTCTAATGCATCTTTATACAGATTTAAAACGTGGAATATGATTAAAGATGAAGTTGAGTTCTGGTCATGCGATTGCATTGTGAAAGAAACGGTGTGGAACCGACCAGAAAAGGTTGATCATCTAGCATATAAGAATTTGTGTGTATTGCAAGGTTCTGGAATTATCAAAATGATAAGAAATTTGGCCAAGTCTTGGTAAAGTTACAAACACTTGCACAGAAAGATGTATATGGGACTACACGAACACGTGGCGTAAAAAGCCGGCCCCCGATTTTTACGATGTTACATGCATATTTAGAATATGAAGGCATTTGAAGAGCCATGCTTTTCAGGGAACATGTCTTAACTGATGTTCTTCCACACTTGCATAATAAAAATGAGTAATGCTAAAAAATTATTTTTCACCTCTTCCCAGAACTCAACCTTCTCTTTAATTTTTTGCACAATTTTTTAAAGATAATTGAGAAATGCAGAAGCATTGGGAATTATTTTGAATGGCACAATCTTGTTTGATTTCTTGTATTTTTTGTTTGTTTACTGTTGTTGTAATTGATTTGAACTGTGTTGAAAAAAAGTTGCTTGTAAGTAAGCTTTCAAAACATGAAATTTGGTTTGAGATGATTTGCAGACGAGTGTTAATCTCAGGCCGTTATCATGAAAGCAGAGAGTGAAAGGTCATTGTGATTAGGTTAGCTTTTCCCCTTGTAGGCAAAGGTGATGCCAAATATATAATGATGTAATATATAATATTATGTAATATATAATATGTAATATATAATATGTAATGATGTAATGATGTTATATAAAGATATGCAAGCAGTCTTTATTCTCTCTTGCTCTTGCTCTTGCTCTTGCTCTTCCTAATTCATTCCATTTCAGTCTATCATCTTACTCTGCTATCTCCTCTTCATTAGCGTAGGTCTTTACTTTTGTCATCATGTATTCAAAAATGTTTGTAAATCTAATTGATGTGTTTGTTTTGTGCACATTTCATGTATTTTTTTGTTATTTATTGTTATCTCTTGCCAGTGGAGGCCAAATTTCTGTGTTTTTTAATGTGGACAATAAAATTTGAATCTTGAATCTTGAATGTTAACACTTTTCTTGCCTTGTTTTCTCCACCAGTATTACTACAATGCACACACACAGCAGTACATGTACTGGGATGGTACTCAGTACGTCCCAGCCCAGCAAGATGGGCCTACTACTATACCTCAAGTCGGCATGCCTGGGATGGAGGGAGGAAAGGAAGATAAGAATAAGAAAGAGAAGGGAAAGGTGGCTAAGAAGGTATGTCAGATAACAGGTGCTACAGTAGATTGATAGACAAATTCCTTGTGATAAAGGACATTACATCATAACATTATTACATTAGAGCACAATGGCAAGTAATGGAATTACCCTGTTATGATGAGTTCATGTTCTTTATACCAAAGTTCTACTGTGTCTTATGTTTTCATTGTGAATGATAACAGTATAATTGTGTATAAATTTGTATTAAATTCTTATAAAAAGACATAGAGTAAATTTGAAGCAAGATTATGTATACAAATAAATATGTTTTTCTTAATCTCTCTATTTGTAACACTTCCAATCCAATCCAAGAATTTCTAAAGCGCCAATATCTAGTCGCCTAATCAAAGGCACTTCAGATTAATTAATATCCCCAAATGTGTTAATTGTCGTTTCAGGGCCGTAAGGATGTTGTGTTAATGTCTTATTGGCTCCGAATAGACGTAATAAATTGTCATCTAGTGATCCCTTTTAGTGTCATGATAAATATATCAAAATTAATGTGTTTTTTTGCAGGTGGCAAGTGACATGAGAAGATGGGCTGCAACCATAAACGAGACGAAGAATAGCAAATCAAAGAAGAGTGGAAGTGATTACAAGAAAGACAACTCCTCAGCCTCTGCAGATGCTGGCTTTGCTGTCCTCAGTAAAAAGGTGGGTCCATCCTTGTACACATTTCATTGTTAATAAGCAAATAGGTGATCTGGAATGTCCTATCTGAGAGACTAACTATTTTTTGTATGTCAGGAGGAAGTATTAATTGAGATTGTAAGGTAGGAAGTACGCAGAGAATCTACAGCTCTAAGTCTAAATCCTAGGGACCAGCTCTATGCAGCGTTTGGTATTTAAAAAATTAAAAAAAATTGGATTGGTAGTTTGGTAGTTTTATGGATGTATTTTTAGTGAGCAACCAAATAATGAGTACCGTAGCCATAGTTCTTATCTGAGGATCAATATCCTTAAGCTCACTATTAGTCTTGAGCTCTGGTTGGTACCTGTTTCTGAAACCCTCCATTCATTCATAGAACCACACCACCTCCTAAACCAGATATGAGCTGCTTCCTGCCATTTTCTACATATGCTTTGACTTTGTCCTTCGCTGTTTTTAAAAAAATTTTAGGCTGATCCAGTAGAAACCAAACAGTCTGTGATGCTGGCCCTGAAGCGCTCCTCAACAAGTGATGACCAACGGAATAAGGCTGCCAGCATTGTAAGTGCAACACCTAACAAGCATTCAGTAGAGATGATGTTGTAAATGTTCAAAGAGGATGCTTTCTGATTTAGCTACATGATCATCATGGCTAGACCCTATTCTTTTTAGAGCTGCTCTTGTGTATTTCTATTTTGTAGCACATGAAAATTGTTATTTCATTTGTTTGATTCACTGTTGACTTTGAGTCAGTCTCGATAGACAGCTGTGCTTTGAGTGGTAATTATCAAGGTTATTTGTCAGTGGTATTGTCCGAGGTGGGGAAACGTCAAAATATAATCGACCGACACAACCCTGGATTTCTCCCTGCTACTCCTTTCTTATTTTCTCACATGTTGTCCTCCTCCCCCCCCCCCCTTTTCCCCCCTGGATAGACGAACATCCTAGCGCAGTATGGCGGAGACAGTGACAGTGAACCAGAGGAAGAAGCACCCCCTCCCAGTAAGAAGCCTACCCCTTCCTACTCCTCCTCCTCGGCAGATTCTAAGGAGAGTGTTCCGACTAGCCTGACGGACTGGACCAAGCTCATCTGCCTCCTCTGTAAGCGACAGTTCCCGTCGAAGGAGGTCCTGGTGAAGCATCAACAGTTCTCGGACCTGCACAAGCAGAACCTGGAGGCACTCAAGACGAGGACGGGATTACAGCAGCAGCAGTCACCAGGGGGAAGCAAAGGAGGGGTGAGTTACTTCCAGAAGCCTCTCGTGATCCAACACTAGTTTGCAGGCATTAATGCTTCTTATTAGTAATGTATAGTAATAGGGTCTGAACAAAATAAGATGTACAGGGCAGTAGAAGAGGGGAGGGGGGGGGGGACAGGCAAATAGCAAGAAATAACAATTACAACAATCCCATTGATATGTAGCGATGTCCCAATTTGAGATTCTTATCTTTTGAGAAAGTCACTTTACGCACAACCCAGATTTGCTCAATCATGAATTCCCAAAATGTCCATGTTTATTTTCTGAATTGTTCTTCAACTTTCCTTAGACTGTTATTCTGATTTTACTGCTTTTTCTTTATGTACCTAACTATGTAAAAATGGATTTCCCTCCGTTCAAATCACACATGATTGTTGTCACCCATATTTTTTTACATTGTTCTTTTCTTTTACAGGGTAATTATCGGGACAGAGCACAGGAGAGGAGAACAAGATTCACCTGAAATTGATGATCATCCAAGGATTTCATTTGTGTGCAATCATTCCTTGATATATCACCAACATCATTCTCATGGAACACCTAATGGATAGCACATAGGCTTAGCCAAATAACGAAGAAGATTACTTGCGCTTGTTTCATATCTCTGTGTTTTGGCACCAAACGTTTCCATCTTTTGAGAACTGTCAGAGGAGATCGACGTTCACTTCGAAATGATGATCAACCAAGGATGCCATGTTTATGCAATCACGCCTCGATACATCATGGACATCATTCTCATTGAACTCTACATGGACATTGCTCTGTGTCAGTTGAGTAATGGTGCTGTAGAGGACAATGTCTGTACATGTATGTGTTTGTACCTCTATGTTCTGGCACCGTATGCTTCCATCATTTGAGAACTGTCAAAGGAGATCAATGTTCACTTGAAACTGATGACATGGGACTCCTGCAATCGTGCCCTACATCCACCAACATCATTCTCATTGCCCTTCACATGGAAAAATCATCAAGAGATGAGAAGTGCTATACAATGTCGTGTCTGAATTGAGTAGTACAGAAGACAGTATCCTCTGTTCGGGTTGGGGGGGGGGGGGCTTCCACTATTGGACAAGGTTCACCTCAAGTTGATGATATGGAGTTATCCAAGAATGACATCTTGTCAAATCATGCCTTGATATATCAGCATCATACCCTGGAACTACCCAGAGACAATTCCCTAAGAGATGAGAGATAGAATACAATGTCATGTCTGAGTCACCTTCGAAGGGAGTGGTGTCCTCTTCCGACTGGCAACCTACCTTCTTAGAAACTCCTCCTTACGAATGAAGTTTGAATTAAAGAAATTTATTGAATTGAGAATATCATTTTTATGCAATCATACCTTAATACATCAACATCCTTCTCTGTAAGACAACATCTGGGGGGCATTTCAAAAAGCCTTTTTAAAATGACAAATGACCTAAATCATTGACAAATCTGCTGATAACCAATTCGAAGCAAGGATTTCACTAGCTTATAACAAAAACTGTCATTTGTCACTGATGACAAGTTTTGTGAGACTCGCAGAACAGTATCACAAGGTGACGGATAGAATGCAATTTCCTTTTCAGTCTGGTAACCAAGAAGGTGGATTCTTATGTACTTAAACTCGGATGTTCCAACTCCCATATCTTCTGACCGTAGAAATGAAAATATGACTAGGTTTTCCTCCTCATCCAACATTTTGTCTCTCTCGATTCACCCAGAGTTGTTGGCCGATTTTGCTCCGATATCATTTAAAATCTTTCGAGATCAATTGATTAGAGAATAAACCTAAGAAAATGCAAATTGATTTGCATAAGAAATCATCATTTGATGTATACTGCCCATGCTTGAAGCTGATTTTTGTATTTATGTTGCATGCAAAGTATGTACATAGATGGTAGTATCTTACCAGTGTCTCAGGCATGTGCGCATCAGATCAAAATGGCGGACCCTTTAAGTGCATGCCATGGTTGATATTACCTGTATGAACTAGCATTAGCCTGGAGTACTTATGTTAGCTGAATATATTATGTTGTGGATGCGGGTACATCAATATTATTTATTTCAAAGTGTTATCATTGTGCACAAACAAGACACATGAAATCATGATGTTAAATAACCGCAAGTTACATTTTAATTGAATTCAATGTCCTGCCCTGCACACATGACCCCTTGGATTTTGGAGTCACTGACTTAAGATTAATTTTGACGTACTACAAGTCATATTTATGCCTCCGCCACCGAAGGTGGTGCCGGAGGCATCATGTTTTCGGGTTGTCCGTCCGTACGTCCGTACGTCCGTCCGTCCGTCCCGTTTGACCGTTATCACAATATCTCAAGAACCATTTAAGATTTAAACTTAAGACTCGGGAATAGTATTTATCACCATAGGAAGACGATCTGATTAGATTTTGGAGTACGTAGGTCAAAGGTCACAGGTCACAGAGGTCAACTTATGAAATTCCTTGTATTGAGTTTGTTAGCGCGATATCTCAAGAACCATTTGAGATTTAAACTTAAAACTTAAGGATAGTATGTATCACCATAGGAAGACGATCTGATTAGATTTTGGAGCACGTATGTCAAAGGTCAAGGGTCACAGAGGTCAACTTATGAAATTCCATACATTGAGATTGTTATCATGATATCTCAAGAACCACTGGAGATTTAAACTTCAAACTTAGTGATAGTGTGTATCACTATAGGAAAACAATCTGATTACATTTTGGAGCACGTAGGTCAAAGGTCAAAGGTCACAGGGCTCATTATGTATGCAAAAACAGCTTGTGATCGCGTTATCTGAACAACCGATTAATGGATTCCTGCCAAACTTTGGTCATGTATGTATCTTGCAGAGCTGATGAACTGATTAGATTTTGGGGTCACGAGGTCAAAGGTCAAAGGTCACAGGGCTCATTATGTATGCAAAAACAGCTTGTGATCGCGTTATCTGAAGAACCGATTGATGGATTCCTGCCAAACTTTGGTCATGTATGTATCTTGCAAAGCCAATGAACTGATTAGATTTTGGGGTCACGAGGTCAAAGGTCACAGCGCACATTATGTATGCAAAAACAGCTCGTGATCGCGTTATCTGAACAACCGATTGATGGATTCCTGCCAAACTTTGGTCATGTATGTTACTTGCAGAGCTGATGAACTGATTAGATTTTGGGGTCATGAGGTAAAGGTCAAGGTCATGCGGCTCATTATGTATGCAAAAATAGCTTGTGATCGTATTATCATTAGAACAGATTGATGGATTCCTGCCAAACTTAGATCATTTATGTATCTTGCAGAGCCAATGAATGGTTCATAAGATCAAAGGTCATGGGCTCATTATGTATGCAAAAATAGCTTGTGGACGCATTCTCATTAGAACTGACAGATGGATTACTATTTAACTCAGGAAATCTTGCAGAGCCAATGAACTGAGTAGATTTTAGGGTCATGAGGTCAAAGATCAAAGGGTCATATATGTTTATGAGAAATTGCTTGTAATCACGATATTCTGAGAACATGTTAATGGATTACAATTGAACTTGAATTTGAAAAATTTCTTCCGTTTCGGTTTGTAAAATTGCTCTATGACGGAGGCATCATTTTCGACTGCGCGCAGTCGAATTCCATCTAGTTTTACCATGGATCTTATAAAAGAAATGAAAGTACATAATTCATTGAAGACATCATCATCATTGGTTCTTGATTAATTTTTTCCAATTATTTTACAACTTGCAGCTTGCACAAGAAAGAAAACGAGATGTTAATACCCAAGAAATAAAGATTAGACAACAGCCTGGAAGAAGCCGTGTATGCTTTTTATGAACCATTTTTTTTAATGGATATGTTTTAAAATATGTCTCTACAAAATTCAAGTTCTAAGTTTCATCAAACTTCACAAGGCAGGTCCATTAGTGTAATTGTGAATTTTTCATCTCCATTTTATTTGCTGAATATCTTTTTTCACCCACTATTGCCCGATGTTATAAATTTTCTGTTCTGTCTTGATTTTAGCAAACCGTTTACAGTTCCAGTGTACACCATACCCAAAGAATTTATCCCAATGCAAATTATTTGATAGTGAAGTATTCTATTTAGAACTTGGGCGCGTGTTTGTGATTATGATGTTCAATTTCTATGTCTGCAATATAGAATTTGCCTGCAGGCTCTTTTTGTACATACTAAATATTAAACTGTTGAAAGGTGCGAGTATTGCCACATTAATGCAATCTCATGTTTGTATTAAATCATTCCTGTTGAATTTGCAATTACGAACCGAGGATTGTGATTTCTTTCTTTGTTCTCGTCTTATTGGAGTCGTCCTTTATATTCACGAAATTCAGTGTGTGTGTGTAATTGGGTTTTTACAGACGTGTATCAGATATGATCATTTACATCTGGGGACCGACCTTTAACGTCGCCATCCGAAAGACGCTAATATTGCCCCGTCTTATACGCAGATGCGAGTGATTGAAACTGATCACAACTTGATATCAATCAAAACTCTGTACTAAAGAGTTGGTATTTTGTGGAAGTTCCTGGTATGCGATTGATTAGAGGACTTGTGATCAGTCTGGATTAATCTCAACTCTTTTGTAAGATAGTCCACAGGTGTGTTTTTGATGAATGCATGTGCATAGATTCTATATGCATGAGTACAGACGAAAATGTGAATGAATGGATATGCAAAATTGGGAGATTCATTTATATAAAATTTATATATTTATTATAATTTATCAATCATATAATCATAACTCATTCATCACAAACCAGTATCATTTGAATACACATGTACAATGTACTTGTATTATATCATTATGGAAATTAATACTTGGCCATTATCCATATTCTACATGATTATACAGACCAAAAAACCAGAAAACAGACCAATGCTTGGTGAGAAAGAATAAGTTGACAAACCTGTGGCGCTATTCTACTTTAACTCTTTGCCAGCTTTGCATGACCAATAGAACAAGCTTGGTTTGCAACAGACAAGTTTTTGTCACACATAGATTATACATGTATAATAGACCCCCAAAAATGTGGCACTCAAGGATTTTGATCGGACGGAGTCTAATTTCATAAAGGTGCCCACGAACTGATTTCATGATGGAACTGAGTTGCAGCAGCCATTTTCTTCAAATCAGTTCATAATTTTAACTACCAGCCTCAGAATGTATCAAGAACTAAAAAAATACTTTTATTTTGATAGCAAAGTTTATAACTATCCTTTGTAGAGTAGACGATCAATGTATCATGAAAATGGAAATACTTTGACATACAAAATACCATGTTCTAAAATACAAATACCTTGCAAATATAAGAAAGAGTCTCAGTAATTTAGTAGTTTGGTCAGTGGACTGTGACGTAGGACGTGGATAATAAGCTCTCCCATTTGCCGCGTACAAAAATATCACTAATTTCTGATTTTCTTGTAAGTTCCTTCTCCCTTGGGGCACTACTCAAAATATTTTATAGATATCATATTATTATAGGTCCTCTAAAAAAAAAGACCCTCCTAACCCATGATTTTTTGAAAAATTTAAATTTTAGTCATTTTATATGTTGGAACAGATGGGAAATTAGTCTGGCACTACATCACATTGACATTATCGCTTAAGCCAATTTGAAGTGCCCATACGTATACGTATTACAACTTTCAAAAATTCATAACTCTCATCATTGTGCTTTTCTGATTTTTCTGTTAGAGTAGTTGTCTATTTGGGTTGGATTTCATTCAAATAAATAAGACCATTAGAGAAAACTTAAACAATGTCGTTTCTCTAGCACTTAAAACGCAAACGGGCGCCGCACTGTGGCAACCTTCACTGGTGTTTCTGTTGGATTTACCCTTAATTTCATTCTTTTTGGAGGATTTTTGTTAATTACATTCAGCCATTATTGTTCTGAATTAGTGTTTATAAAACAACATTCGATCCTCTGTTAATCTGTGCTTAATCATATGTTAAACCTTGTGTATTCACTGTTAATGTCTACATTTTTGTAAATACATTAGTAAATGTTAATCTGTATATGTTACACCAGTGAAAATCAAATATCCAGAAATGGACAATAAATACTAAATACTAAAAATACTAAATACTAACAATGTTTTGAAATATCCATACTGTCAAATGATAATACCTTGCAAAATGAAAGGTAAAAAATCTGATATTTTGACCGAAGTATTTTGCTTTGGTTTATTCAACCCCATCACATACATGTATAGCGCTATAGGGGAAGCAGCAAAGAACATGACATACATATACATGTTTATACATTTTTAATTTTAAATAGCCTGAGAAATATAAGTAGCTGTTAATCTCACTTGCTGATGTCAGACAGAAGTACTAAAGCTTTTATTTATACAGTTATGATAAATATCTTTGAGATGACACAATTAATAGAATACAATACATAAATGATATATGAATGGCAGTATTTGAGACTAATAGTAAATTATGAATCTCAAACTTCATTCTTAATCTTTAAAGTACTACAATGATGTGATGGGCATTTTCCCTCTTGGTTGAATACATGAGTACATGATTTTTCTTTTAAAGTTGAAAAACTAGTAAAAAAAAATTATAAACATATGCCCTAGTCACATGCACAGGCATAAAAATATATAGTAATCCTCTAAATAGTATATTTCTTTGAGAAATACTTCACTAGGTGTCTTTTTATGGGTACCTCGTTACCCATAATACTTTGGAAGAAGAGACCAACATTACAAGATATTGTTCAATAGAAAATATTATTATCTATATAAGGCTTCCAAATGGTACAATAAATCATTGTATTCAATATCTTTAGCGCAGTGCCAGGATGAGTGATCAATATTATTTTCATAATTGCTTAGTCATCCAGAAATATTGATATCACCAAACAAAGCCATATTTACCAAGGTGAGTCAAATTTTGTTATTTCGCTATTCAGCCTGCTATAGATAATAATAATATTGTATGGCTTTGTTTTGTTCTGATAGAAGAATATATTGTTCTCGATATGACAATATTAGACTCGTCTTAGACTCATCCAATATTATATAAATATACTCCACAAAGTATTTGATATGTATACTGTACATTTAATTATTCATTCATGACCCAATGGCTCAAAAACCTCTATATGTTATACATCCAACAATGGAGCATAACATTGAAAAGGATTTGTTTTAATATCTTAAATACAAGTTATTGGTTGTTTTTAGTACAAAGTGAATTTTACTTGTGCTTTGGCAGGAGTAAAGTACTGTAAGGCTTTAATATCTAGTCTCAGATAATACACACAAAACAAATTATTGAGTTGGCAGTGGCAAATACATTCTGGAGTTGGGATAATTTAATAATACTGGAACATGAGCTCAATTCAAGCATTGACAATGTTCTGTCTGTCACCTGGAAGTTCACCATTGGCAGCATTCTTCATGTGGCTAGGTTTTCTTCGCCTGCAAAAAAAGATTGTAAAAAATTGATGTGCTGGAAATAAATAGTAGGGTTATTCTAGTGTTGTAACATCACAGATATTTCCAATTCTGTTTAACCGCCAGTCAAAACCGGACGGTTTTCGGTTAAACGATTTATTTTAAAAAAATTAAAAAATTGCCCCTTGCTCCTGGCTGCTTAATCCAACGCTTGACCATCAACATATCATCATCATCATCATCATAATTTCTTATCATTCTTATCCCTGTCACCATATTCATCATGATTATCATGATAATCATTATCTATTTTTTTGATAACTGAAAATTCAAGATAAATTGGCACCTGTAGAATAATAAATGTAGAAGTATTCTTTATAATCTTACCCCTTTCCACATTGAAACTCCCACACACCAAACAGACAGACCATTATCATGACGACAAAACATCCACCAGCAATATATGTTGATGTCCAAACAAATCCAATCTGCTCAACAAGGGCACCTCCTGCTGTTGGTCCGATAAAACTCCTGGGGGAATAAAAAGAAATTAGATATTGGGAAAATGGAATCACCACCACCACCACCACCACCACCACTACCACTACCACCACTACTACCACCACCAGTACTACTACTACTACCACTACTACCACTACCACTACTACCACGATCACCACCACCACCACTACCACGATCACCACCACCACCACCACCACCACCATCTCCACATCCACCACCACCAATTAGAAATTAGATATTGGGAAAATGGAATCACCACCACCACCAGCACCAGCACCACCACCACCACCACCACCACCACCACCACTACCACCACCACCAGTACTACTACTAGTACCACTACTACCACTACCACTACTACCACGATCACCACCACCACCACTACCACGATCACCACCACCACCACCACCACCATCTCCACATCCACCACCACCAATTAGAAATTAGATATTGGGAAAATGGAATCACCACCACCACCACCACCACCACCACCACCACCACCACCACCACTACCACCACCACCAGTACTACTACTACTACTACCACTACTACCACTACTACCACGATCACCACCACCACCACTACCACGATCACCACCACCACCACCACCACCTCCACATCCACCACCACCACACCACCATCACCACCACTACTACTAAAAATAAATTTAAAGACAAAATTGGTAATTTGGATTTACATACAGCTTGACATATTTCATTAATCTGGGCAGGTATTATTAGTTTAGGTTTTAAATGCAATAATAATCTTCAATAACATCTTTAAATAATAATAATATACAAATACTAGCAGGACCCGCGGAAGTCCGCGGGATTCTAGAGGAGGGCGGTGGGTCTAAATAGATAGAGACTGTCAAAATTAAAACCACCAAGAACTTTATTTGCCATTCAGGCCATTAAAAACATATACATGTTTAGCGTGTTTTTTTTTTGTTGAAAGAAAATAAAACAGCGTCCCCGTCCGCTTCCTTTTTGGGGGCCGCCTCCTATTTTTTTTTTTTTTTGAACTTTTTTTGAACTTTTGTTTTTTTTTAAAGAAAAAAAACATGAAAAGCACTGCTAAAATGTATTTCTGATTTTAAAAAAGAAAATAAAAAAATTGTCGGCCGCCATCTTGAAAAATAGCCTGAATGTCAGGGAAAATGTACAGAGCGGCCATTTTGAAATAAAAAAAAAAAAAAAAAGGGCCTCCTCCTTCCCATTTTTCGAAAAAACAGGATGCTAAACATGTTTTTTTTTATATTTGGCCTTATGTAAAAATTAAAAAAACGATCCAACTGTACCGGTAGTTATTCTTTAAGCAACTGGAACTGCATATAGTTCCGTAGTGTGGCGTACCGACTACGAAGAAATTAGGCTGCGTATTAATGGGAAAATAGTCCCTGCGTAGGTTATGTGTAGGCTGGCGTACAGGTTTGCTTATGGTTGCTTACTGTGTGGAAAGCTTTTACTGCTTTGTCAATCTGGCGTAGGGTAGCGTACTGTTGCGTAGGCATGTAGCGTAGTGTTGCGTAAAAAGGCGTACTTTCTGCGTCAAGTTTCTACGCTGAAAGTACGCAAAAAAAAATTAAACATGTTGAATTGTTTTCGTTCATCTTGCGTACCCCTTTCCGTCCCTCAGCATATAGTAACATAGGCCAGCGTAGTTGGTACGCAACACTACGCAACTCTACGTATTGACCCCACGCCAATTAGTGACCCGCAAGTGTCACAAATAAAGTATTAAAAATATGCTCATCTGACCCTAATTAAACGCCTAAAACCCCCGAGCTTTCGGGGGTTTATGGCCCTTTGAAACCCGTGGACCCCACGCCTATATACACTCAACTCGCTGCGATCTGATCTCTCCCCCCCCCCAACTTTGAAGAACGTAACCCCCGAGCTTTTGGGGGTTTATGGCCCCTTGAAACCCGTGGACCCTACGCCTATATTTCTAGTTGTATAGTGGTACAAAATATTGGCCTGCTTGGCCCCCCATACTTTTCGACTCTACAATCAGTCAAAGTCCACGCCGTGCGACAGCAGCAGCACTGCACTTAACTCCGGGAAGCTCCACCGGCGCCGCAGGCGTGCCGTGCCGGTGTTCGAGCTTCCCGGAGTTACACTGCACTGTGTGTAATGTATGTGTGTTGATTGAAGGCAGCTTGAGACTGAAATGTCAGTCCAATGATTTTCTTGTGAAAACTTTCCTTTAAGAAATGATAATTAAAATGTAGTAAACACGGCCGTAATAATCACAAAATAAGCTTTGATTTCATACCTCCATTCACGAAAACTATAAAAAAAATCGCGGCAATAATGATGGAAATAGGTCTCTAAGTTTGGACGTGGACGGGAAGCCCCGTGTATCTCTCTGGCTTGTGCAGCGCTACTGCAAAGGATACCCTATAGAAAGATGCTTTACTCGGGTAATCCCGACCCCGTGCATAGAGCATTTAATACGCAACTTAATGTGACTGGATAGTCATCGGTCGTGTGTCTACGGATGTAATGTTGAATATCCATGAGGTATCTCTGTCATCACGCATATCCTGCATTATGCATATCGCGTCTGTTTTCGCCCTGGACGTCGACACGGAGGAGGACCTCGGGCGGAGTATAGCCAATTCCACAGAGTAGACTCTCCCGCGGACGATGGCACCGGGCACGGGTACCCCGAGGGGAGGGTTCAGGAGGAGATAGCCGCACCAACTTCGGTCGGCGATCTCATTAAAAAACAATAGAATACAAAGGCTGGCGGAGACGTCGCGCCCCCCGCGTAGCCTTAGCGTATTACTTATATAGATACCAAGCTGTGAGAAAGAATAGTGGAAATTATTTATCTGAGGAGGGACTGGCATTGTACTATTTTTTTCCAAGGGGCAAAGCCCAGAGGAAAAAAATAGTAACTACTGCCAGTCCCTCCGAAAATTTGACACCAATGTAGAAAAATCCCCTTAAAGATCATTGTAAGGTCAACGTTTGACTAATGATTGGCTGGCATATGGTTTTTAACATGCCTAATGACATTTTTTTTTCATGTCATCCTGCGCACAACTATATTAACACACATTTACTGAGACAAGCTAATTGCGCATTACTTTTGATTGAACGTGTGATGTCACAATGCTTATCTACCTGAAAATCTCAAAGAGAGCAGTTCTGCCCAGGAAAAAATAGTGAAAAATATTCGGAGCTCTGGCAGAGATTTGTTTTTAATAGTGAAACTATATTTCATCCAAGACCACCAATTGACCAATCATGTATTTAGAACACTCATGAATATTCATAGACGGGATATAATAAAGGATACTCTTTCGTTTTTAGAGCATTTCCTAATGAATGAGCTGCCCACTTCAAATGTGAACCATACAGGAAGAAGGTCTAGGGTATTATACAATACAATACCTTTAAACTTTGTTCAAAAGGGAAAAAAAGAAGGAAAAAACAACTTATTGTTTTGCCATACCCTAAGGAATAAGCGGCATTGAAGAGTCCAGATATGATAGACTGTGTTGCAAGATCATCAGGGTGCCCATACCACCTGCAAGAACCAGAAATCAGAAAACACACATCACACAATTGATAGAATCAAACCTACACATGTAGGCGGACATCCCTCTATAAAGAACACATTTTCTTTTTCCCTTGAATATTGTTTCTCATTGAATTCTGTCCTAAAAGAACCTGTACATTAACTGCTTACGAAGACCAACTTCTTGTCTTCCTTTGATTGGTCTTTATAGGCAGGTTGCACTGTAATACCTAAATGAACTTAGTAACAAATCATAGACAGATAAAGTATTGCTTCCTTGAAATCTATTTATGGTACTATTGCAATGAAAAACAATTTTTGTTTTGTTTTGTTCAAGAGTACTTTTTGGTTTTGTTATTGTAAATCCTATCCAGTGTGATTAACAGTACTTCTGTTGGTGTAACGTCTTTATACTATGACATTTCATAAAGACCCATTGTTTGTCATCCAATTACATTTCTTATAGCTATATAGCCTACCTATCTATAAGATAGTAACTTGTTTTTTTAATAATTTTGCTGTCTTTGGTTTTGTTTTGTTATCCTAATTTCATGTTCCAGTCCCCTTTGTCCTACCTAGCAACATGTAATGTATGCAATTCACAATGTGACTATTGAAATACAATTACTTGTAGCAGGTAAATGAAATAATTTGCAACATGGCATGGCAATTTAATTACGGTACATTACGAAAATGGTCCATTGATTCAAACGTTCAAATGTTCTAAATAATGCATTTTATAATTTTTGTCATGACAAAGTGAAAGTAAACATGTAGAATCAACTCACGAGAAGACCAGAAAACATGAATAAGCAAACACCAATGTTTTTTATGAGTTTCTATAGTAGTGTAAATGGTAGTTAAAAAACTGAACAACTTAAAGATAAACTTGAGTTCTGGTAAAAAAAGAAAATGAATTCTCACAGAATCTAACGCAACTTACACTGAATGTTCAAGATTACAAATAAATGTCATGTGCCAAACAATTTTGGAAGAAAATGTATACTGGCTGAGTAATGAGCTTAGAAAGATAAGGAAATCAGGGTAGTACTAGCCCCGACACCATGTGTGTTGTCCCATATACATCTTTCTGTGTAAGTGATTGTTACTTTACCAAGACTCTGCCAAATTTATGATGATTTTGATGACTCCAGAACCTTGCATTACACACCATTATGCATTATGCATGCTATATGATCAACTTTTCTGATCCATTCCACACCTTTTCTTTCACAATGCAATCGCATTACCAGTACTCAAGTTTATCTTTAAACAATTTGCAATGTAACTGGGCCTGGTGACTGTTTGACTAGCTACTTACTTGACACTTAAAAATAGATCTAGAAGTGCTGGCATGATACAAATTCCACAGATGCAACCTTGAAATCCAAGTGCTACGATGACAATCCACAACCGACTGTAAAACGAGGAAAGATCATCTTAATATTAGTTACCATAGAAATTAGATTTGAACATAGAATAAACATAGGAAGTTGAGACATTGTAAGCATGAAACTGTGCTTTGTTTTCGTTGCACTTAAACGTTTAATATCTCTTGGTAGAAGTGATTTACAAAGCTCATATTCTGCATATAGAATAGCGATATGGACCTTAGAAGAGACATTGTACAGAACAAGACTTTTGATTTTTGATTTTTGATTTTTTGATTTTTTTTAATTTTTTTTTTTTTTGGGGGGGGGGGGGGGGTGATTGGTATAGTATTAATGACTCCTTTGAGAGAAATAGTTGTTTTTATACGCTCAAGGGAAGGTTAGAATTGTGCTATTACCCGAGGCGTGCCGAGGGTGATAGCCCAATTGTAACCTTCCCGAGAGCATATAAAAACAACTATTTCTCGAATATTAAAGCAGTCATTAATACTTTTATATGCCAAAAAAAAATTTAAAAAAAAGAAAAAAGAAAAAAAAAAAACTTTTTTCGAAGATGGGATTTGATCTCTTGCGTACAAAAGGTGATGTAAGTAAACCAGTGCCTTAATCCGCTCGGCTATCGCGCTCTGTTACCATACATAGCAGTTTTTTCTTATATATACATTAAAATGCATTGAAAACGGCTTCGCGTTGTGGATGCTTCACGGCTGCTCCATTAAACAGGCCCTTCTTTTACTTTTGCAATGCATATTGGCACGAATTTAGATCAAGATCCATCGGCAGATGTTGTTTTTTTGTTTTTGGAAGTTTATTTTCGTCTTCATGTCAACAATGCAAGATAAAATTGTCGGTAAGTTCGATCGAGATTCAATTGTATTGAAATTACCGACCAATTCTTCGCACACGTATGGTATCCTCGATCGCTCAGACCATTTTTTAACATGTAAACCTATGGGGTAACCATGGAGACTGACCTATTTTCCCAATAACCATGGTTATTGGGATTTTGAACTGTTTTTTAACCATGGTTACCGGGAATTTTCGGGAACAGTAAAAGTTTATGAATGCAATTTCGACCAATCAGATTGTTGGATTACTTAAGTGAGGTATATAATTCACTATAATGGTGCAGGCATTATTTAGTATACCCGGTAGGTATAAGCATTCCCAGACAAGGTCTCAAGAAACCCAGCTTGTATCAGAAGAGACACTAGCTTGCATGGCTCGTCTAACCCTGATCTGACACTGAAGGAAGGAGGATGCCAACCATCCAGTCAATACGCTGTTTGCATACAAGATACCGCAAGAAACTGACCACTTTAAAAATAAATTTTAACTGATTTTCATAAGAATTGAAAAAAATGAGGTTCAAAGGTGACAGCAAAAAAACCAAACACAGATTTTCACACGCGTTCCAAACAGGGGTCAAATTAATTTTTTGTCCACGGGGGCTCTTCCCCTCAAAAAAATATCAATGGATATTTGTATAAAAAAGAGCCCCCGTCAGTACTAAAAGAGCCCCCGCCTTCTCATGGGGCTCTTTTAGTACTGACGGGGGCTCTTTTTTATACAAATATCCATTGAATTGGTACCTATGATACTCCTCAATTATTTTCTATTTCATCATTATCATTTCAATCAGCATTTTCCCTCTTACAAATTTACAAGCTACATAGCTGTTACTGGCTTGTGTAGACAATATATACGCACACAACACTGATCTTTATGATGTCTTTAACGTGACATATCTTCTTCTCCCCTTGCAAACGAGAAAGAAAACAAGGTCATTAAAAGTGATTAAGTGACAAATAATGATTGTGATTCAAATTGATGCGAATATTTGTTTGAATAAGCACTGCTATTCACCCAAATCTTCTTTGTAAAAACAACTTTTACAAATCTCAGCCATGCATGCTTACTGAGTTGAGACGTTCCATTCAATGTAAAATACTCATTAAAGAATACACATCTCCTAATCTGAAAGAGACCTTACAACACAGTGGCAGATTTGCATGGCTGAGATTTGTAAAAGTCGTTTTTACAAAGAAGATTCTGGTGAAAAGCATTGCTTATTCAAAAAAAATCCTCGCATCGATTTGAATCACAAAGATTATTTGTCACATGATCCTTTTATTAAATAACCTTGGTTTCTTTTTTATTTGCAGAGGGAGAAGAAGCGATGTCACGTTAAGAAATCATAAAGATCAGTTGTATTATGCGTATATACATATGATACCAGAACAAATGTTGATTATCAGAATGTCATTTTGGAATACCTCTCTACAAATACCACATTGTCTTTAGCCCGTATCAGTATTAGTATGATCCATTAGATTATTCTATATTTAATTCAGTATAATGCTTTTCCTCAAAAATAGTTTTGTTATTTTTTTAGGGTTGAGACGCTAAGAAATGGTTTCAAATGTACATTACACAAACCCTGAACCATTGCAAAATGATGGTGGCTCTCTCTCTATCTCTCTCTTTATTTTAATCATGCATTATCAACTACATATAAAGCAGCAACCAAAAACTTAGGGTTATCTGCTTCACTTCTCCCCGCCCCCTGAAAAAAATAAAATAGATTAGTAGTCCTCCTCTCCAGCATCCCCCTCCCCCCGCAGCCCAAGGTGGGGGGGGGGGGGGGGGGGGGGGTGGGGGGGGGGGGGGGGGGGGGAGGAGGGGGTTAAACCCCTTAAAACCCCCCCCCCCCCCCCCCGTAGATCCGCCCATGTTATCATATCATTCCACGACATCTTGTTCTCTTCATCTTCCTCTTCTTCTCAATATGGACTTTTAGATTTGGGTGGACGTGTTACTTCCTTTTAAGGCACTGGCAGGCACACGTCACATCCTTTTAAGCACTGGCAGTGCCTTAAAAGGAGGTCACACGTTGCAGTCCACGTTCTCAATGTGCAAATCTAAAGTCCCTAATATTGATTTACTGGTCGAGGTTCATTATTTGCTGACAACGAAAAACTGACCATGTTTCTGCCCTTGCGCGATCGCCTCCAGCTCCAGCAGACATGGCGCGGCAGCGTGCACACGTACCGCTAACGGCGCAGTAGGCCTATAACCACTGCTGACGGCGGCACTGCACTGCGAGCTGAATCGGTAATAATAGGCCTATAAAACGAGATATCTTGCACGCTAATCTTAGTTCCATTTCATTGGTTTAAGGTTTGAAAATTGAAACTCAATATTGTGTTAAAGTTATAACAGAAAAGATAATCTTTATTTTATAATTCCACCGGGGCGATTTTTAATTTTGCAATCGCCCCCGTGAGCAACCTGACGGGGGCGATTATGTAGCTCACGGGGGCGAATCGCCCACCGCCCCCGTGTATTTTGAGCGCTGGTTCCAAACATAGATGATCTTTGCACATATTCAAACAAGTCGCAAACCTCACCTTTGTTCGGTCACAAGATCGCAGACTGCCTGAATGCCCACCATGATGGGCATAACAGCAAACAAATTTTGTACGGAAGTGAAATGCATGATGGGATGTAAAACATCAATGTTCCACCTTTACATACCTGCCAACCTGAGACAAGAGAAATTAGGAGTAAATTTTTCTGGATGGACTACGAGGTCGCGAACCACCAAAGGATTGGGGTAGTAGCCCGTAGATTGGGGGGGGGGGGGGGGGGGGGGGGGGGGGGGGGGGGGGGGGGTACACAGGACTTAAGGGTCTATTTTTTTTTCTCTCCATTTTAATGGTGCAAATGGGCTTTTTCCTTCAACCTTTTCGCCCCACACATAAACAATTTTTGAAATGTGAACCCTCACAAAACTACATGTTTCACTACCCACCTCAGTTAGGAGCCCTATTTTGCAAAGGTATATAGTAGTAGTAATCCAAAATAAATCAGAGGAAGTCCGGTAAATAACAAGCTTCCACGATCGCAGTCATCGCACAAGCATTGAAGAAAACACGCCAATGTATACAGTGTTTATGCACGGCGTATCAACTGCACATGTAATATAAATACACGTGGGCTATACGCAGGTATGAATAAACATCCCCAAATTGCTGATGTGAGATGCTTGTAGGATACTTTACAGGACAGAATGGACATTTTGCCATTGAAAATGGCGGACGCACACACAAAATATTAATTTAAAAAAAATTATTTAAAAAAAAAAAAAAAAAAAAAAAAAAAAAAAAAAAAATTAAAATAAAAAAAAATCGGAGTTTTGAGGCATGCACTCGGAATTCGGAGTTGGTATGAAAAAAGCGGAGAAACTCCGCCTAAATCGGGGTGGTTGGCAGGTATGCCTTTACTTTAATCACAGGTACAGTGCTTGCTAAAAATAGGTTTATTTAAGGCTCTTTCAGCAATGACGGGGCAAAACTATGTGTTATTTATGATGATCTTAAGTGTAATACATACCCTTCACGTACATTTCTGTATCTTATACACAGAGCTTTTTGAATACGTACACTGTCTTTACTGCGCACAGTTGCCATTCATTTACAAAATACAGCAGCAGCAGCATTTTTGTGGTATTTTACCACATCATATCTGAACAAGCCTTCAGTATGGATTGAACCACGGTCCAAACCTCACTAATAATTTTGTTTTTTGTTGCTTTGTTCGGACGTATACAAACTGGAGGTTTGGCGTCGATGTGAATGGGTCATGTGGCAAGGAAGGGATTAAAAGTAGTTACCTTGGGAGATTAAGAAGGGGGCTTGGACCAACCAACAGATAGGAAATCCCAGTGAAATAGCTTCCTAAAGCCATCATGAGGCGAGTGGTTTTCTGTATTTGAAATAATAGTAATAATAATGAAACGAAAGAAGGAGAAGAGGAAGGAAAAGGAGGAGAAGAACAAGAACAAAAACAAGAATGAGAAGAAAAAGAAGAAGAACAAGAAGAACAAGAAGGGGAACTCTAAACACTCTGTGAATACATTTTTCAATAACAGGCAAAAAAACAAAATCAGCCCATGATTCTTTTCTTCTCCCCCCCCCCCCCCCCCCCCCCCCCTCTTTCATTTTTGCTTGGCTGAGGGCAAGCCCCCGTGTGACCCCCCCTCCCCTTAACCAGATCCATCACTGCAAATAAGAAATAAAGTTTAATTAATTTTTGTCAGTGTAACGTCAAAGAAAATCTTCTGAAAAATAACTTGCCGTTTTGTCTGCTACATAGCCCCACACAGGAGCAAACAAGGCGTACGTTCCTCCAATCATCAAGAACATCACACCAACCAAGGATGGTTCAATACTCAGTGGAGGCTGAAAACAAAATGTGATGATACGATTATGAAGCCTAATTTCAACATGATGCAATTGGTAAATCAACTTTAAAAAATGCAGCAAAAATGAAATGACAAAAGCACATCAACGATCTTTATACTATATTATAAATTAAACACAGGTACCACATATACAGATCCCCACTTGCCATGACATTCATTTAATCACACACATAAATTTTAAATTTTCAATTTGTTAATGTTTCATTAGCATTCTTTCCATCATTTTTTGCTGCTGCAACTGCTTCTTACCTCGAACGTGGATTTACTACTAGTCATTGTTTTAAGTGTTTTTTTTAAGTCAGGCATGTCAATTACGACCAACCCACTGAAAACCTTTGTTGTTCTCAACCTTTATTGATACTTGAATTTGATTTGATTTTATCCGATTGATTAATTCATCTTTATAATCTTTTGTTCAAATTTATTGATGCATGATCAAAGAATACCGCAGCAGTAGTCCACAGGGGAAGTGCATTTAAGACTCATACGTATATGCCATGGTTTACTGCACTTCACATTTCTGTATCTTATAACAAACCGATTAGCTTTTTTGTGTTTTGAAATGAATGGGAAGGTTGTCCAGCACTATGTCACAGTGACATTAATACCGATCCTGCCAACATGAAGTGCCACTATATACGTATCATAATACAACTTTCAAAAAATTCATAACCTTTCTTATACTTTGTCCAATCTTATTAGAAATTTCACCATCTAGTCTGCTTCTCTGAGTTTCTACTCTCTTTTAGAGTACCGGTGGTGGTCTATTACGGTAGTGATTTTCCTTTAAAGGTAAAGACCAGTATTGGAAACGCCCCAATTTCAAAAAATGAAATGGAAGCTCTTATTACCAATCATGTGAAAGAATATGTTTTGACTAATACATGATGATAACATTTTTGCAGGGAAACCGCCTACTAATTGATACATTTGGTAAACTAGTTTATCTATTGGACTGTGAGAGATAAACGCACGTGTCGCGCACGTGTGCGTAGTCCCATATACATCTTTCTGTGTACAGTGCTTGTAACTTTACGAAGACTGGGCCAAATTTCTTATCATTTTGATGATTCCAGAACCTTGCAGTACACACCAATACTTATATGCTAGATGATCAACCTTTTCTGATCGATTCCACAACGTTTCTTCCACAATGCAATCGCATGACCATAACTGGTCTTTATCTCTAACTACGTTACTTACAGATGTTAGATGAAGAGCTAAGGTTGGATCAAAGAACCCATAGCTGGCACTTCCCCATGCAACAGTAATAAGCACCAGCCACACAGCAGGTATCTTCAGTACCTCTAGAACGGATCCCGGGCGACCGTCCTCTTCCCTCGATGATGCTGCCAAATTACAAGGATTTCTGACATCAAATTGGCAACAATGGTATATTTTTTTATGCTACCTTGTTCTGACAAAAATTTACATATCTGATTTAATAGAAAATACAAATGAATTGATGATGTTATATCGAAGAGCAAATACATTACAAAGCATTACCGTAAGACTGCATAAGATTTCAATTTGTCAATGTTTCACACGATATGTGTGTGCAGTCCCATATACACATTTGTATGAGTAGTGCATGTGACACTCGACAAGATCAATATGATGAAACTAGCTGTAGCCTCACAGTATACATCAGTTCTCATGTTCTATATAATTCACTTTTCCCAATTGCTTTCAGACAATTTCTTTCATACTCCATCGCTTGGCCAGAACTCAAGTTTATCTTAAGCCCAAGATACTTACATGTACTTGGTATGATGAATATATTCAGGATGGTAAGCACTATAGATGTACAGCCTAAGACTATGAATGGAAGCTCGTAGCCTCCAATCTGTACGAAAAACAATAGGAGAGAGAGATATATGGGGCCTGTCACCACGAAATGAGTCCAGTTGTCAAAATTTTTATTCCTGTTTTTAAGTATTATATGAATCTACATTAAGTAAGCTTTAAATTAAGGGGTCACACATTAAAATTGATAAATTATATCCAGAAATATGAACAAAACCTAATTGGACTTTATAAACAATGGGATTACCCAGTTTTGAGATAATTAGGTGTAAAGTTAATGATGCGTAACATTAGCCTATATTATTTGCCAAAAAATGTTAGAAGGAGATATTTTCGTGACCTAAGCTCTGGGGACATAAACTACAAGACATTAATAAGTCGATTTTTGGATAAATCTTAAATGTGGTAGGTGGGTCAATTTTCAGTACATACACACTATACATCGCTATTACTACGATTGAGCCTAATGCGACACTGGACTCATTTCGTGGTGACTGGCCCCATATATGTAAATTGGATATATTTATGTAGAGATAGAGATAGAGAGAGGGGGAGAGAGAAGGAATAGATGGAGAGAGAGAGAAAAAAAAAAGAGGTTAGAGAAGTGAAAGAGAGAGGGAAAGGGAGATGGGATAGATCATTGGAGAAAGAGAGAGAAGGGATAGATAGAGAGAGAGAGAGAGTGAAAGAGAGAGAAAGAGAGACAGGATAGACAGTGGGAGAGAGAGAAGGGGAGAGGGTTAAATGGGAGAATGGTGATTGTTTGTATTAGTTTCTGAAAGGAATCAATTGTTCAACCTCAAATATCATTCCCTTAACAAATACCTCAATCCACACTTTAGTGCAATATGAAATGCAGAAGATGTGGATCCACTGAAAAATCAAATTAATAAACAAACAAAAATGCAAAAATAGTATGAAATTTAAATGCTTATCCCATACAATATGTTTAATTATCTATCTTCAAAATAAAAAAACCACACTGTAGCATGATTGGGGTGATTGAAGGGTTGAAGTCTAATAATCTACTCAAATTTACTTCATCAATAAAGCTCACAGTGTGAAAAAATGAAATAATAC